TAGATGTAGAAGTAGTAGAGTGAGGAAACTAAAGAGGAAGTCGCGTAAGTTGCACTTTCCAGTTCGAGGGGGGAAAGTGCCGCTATTTAAGGAAAGAGGGGGGAATAAGGAACTATCTAAGAAGGCCTATATGAGTTAGGGAATATACCTCCAGGGCTGGGTCCAGATATGACGATGACTTCATTGATATCTGGGCAACGGGACTGGCCTCCGCCTTGTTTTCAACCAGTCATAAGATGAGAGCATCATGAATGTACCTGTAATCCTGTAATCCTATATTTCTATATTATTTCTATATTATTCCTATATTATTCTCATATTATTTTCATATTATTTACTATTTTATTCTATAATTTTCTTCATGTAACATTCTAAACAAGAGGATTATTGACCCGAGATGTTACACTTCTTTCTCTTTCCCCCCACTTTAGTGTCTGTGCAACCAATACTCCAACAATTACCGCGCAGTAGGGGCATCCTACAACATATACACTATTCCTATTCTAGTAAATTATAGGTTTCATTTCATGCGCATTCACACGGCCTGAACCACTCACCGGCAAAACAAAGAATCAATCACCGGGAAAACCCGTCCACATTCGTCAATACTTCGCGCTTTGACAAGAACCTTGGCGAAATGTAGACTTCGGAAAAAATCAGCCGACAAACCGGGAAAATCAACGGAGGACAGTGGTCCTCGGCGTCTGAGCCATTATACGGAATGTACGGAGTGATCGGGTTGGGGTAAAACATGTGGTTATTTCAAGAATATTCGAGACTATTCAACAGTCCCCATCCTTATAGATCCTTCAAACTGATATCCACATGTGGTGACGTCGGATGAACGGTTGATAGCCCCCGACCCAGTTTTTTCCCCGTTAGTCGCGGCCAGCTCCATACCAAGCCGAGGTGTTTATTCCAAGTGTATCGATTGCCTTCCATGCCCCAGTGCTCTAGCCCCTATGGAATAGACTGGATTGCTGCCTGGTTTGCACTGCCCAACATACCGTAGCCCCTGGAAGTTAGGGGGAAAAAGCCTAACTCTGGTACCTCCGGGCCCCTGACCATTGGCCCAAACACCAGAACCACTCAGATATCCAAAAGCAAGTAGCCGAATTGGCAACTTTGCCATTTCACTTGAAACAGGGTTCCTAGTTAGATTGGCTACTATTCCCTATTAGTTACGGAGGAGGGAAAAAATAAGATAGTGGTATCGTTCGACTCATAAAAAATGGCTCTCTATCTACTATGGTGATGTGATTATATTCGATTTCGCGAGTTTCCCCGACTTCCGCCCCCCGTCTGAAACCTGCGCTCTCCGACTGGCTAACATCACCGCTACCATATTTCTTTTGGGTTCCCATTACCCCTCTATGTCCTTTGAGACGGGCGCAGGCGCAGGCGCAGCCCGTTTGTTAACAAAGGCATTCGCAAAGCAAGCAACGCTACCGGCGACCAACAGCCCCACCGCGGCCCAAGTCATCCCGAGGAATTTCTCGCCATACTGGGCTGACACGTTCGAGCCCTTGCCGTGGGCATTAATTAGAGCGACAAATTCAAACCCGATCACCGTGGCGATTATCGATGCGATGCTGACGCTAAAAGACCCGAGCTAATTAATGATTCCGTGTCAGCCACTTTGTCGTACTCTGGGGAAATGGGGAAATGGGGAAATCGCGAAATGCACCTCGCTGAACTGGGAAGTGCACTGCCTGCATAGATGACATGCAGAGACAAGGTTCATGTAGAGGGGGTAAACTGCATCACCAAATCGTTGTCCATGTATAATGTAACTCACCACGAAAAACCAAAATTCCAGCGGGCCCTGGCTCGGTTTCGGAGCGAGAGTCGCCCATACTCGTACAAGCATCGCAACCCCCATCGCGCCAACTCCGATACTGTACATCACGGCCATGACTTGGGATGTCATCTTGAAGGCGTGGAAGTCATCGCTGATAACGCGCGGCCACCCCAGCTGCAGGCTGGAGGTGACATCTTCCGGCCAGGCTTGTGTCGGGTCGAATGAGGACACAATCGTGCGGTTCGAGCATTCAGTCACGTTGCGCGTGACTTCTACACCGGCGTCCGTTGTTATCAATGTTCCCTGGCAGTAGGACAATACATGGACGGAATAGAAATCATGGGTTCCACTGCCGGTGCTGACTGAGGGTGTGGAGAGCTAAATGGATCGGGCCAAGTCAGTCTTCTGCCACTTATATGATTGGAGATGATCGGACTTACTGTCAAGAGATCCACATCTTCGAGGAAGCCTTTCTGCGTCCCCGCGAAGAGACATAGGAGGGTGAGTATAAATGCGACAAATATAGCCACGGTCTGAAATAGGCCCTTGAAGCGCGACATGGTGAGTCTGAGTCGAGTGGATGTGTTGGTCTAGTTCTAGTTTTCTGCAAGATGTAGTTGGGTCCAGTATGCAGTATCTGGTGATAACCACAGCAGATGGTGTGAAAGCTCGATATTCAATGAGAAGAACCTGAATCTGCGGTTCTCACCCTCATATACATAGCATCCTGGAGATCGGGGGGATCGGGAGGATCGGTATCTTTTCTCACGATGGCTTCATTCCAGACGTGGGCTGTTGGAAAGGGCGAGAGCACATATGTTCTGTATAATATTGAGCTTGGATTTTTCGTGGAATGTATGCATTACACATGATCGGATAGAAGGCCACTAGCCATTGAAAATGTAAGTCCGGAGTGGCCAAGGTATGATGGCTGGGTGGGAAGGGGATGATGTGTGAGGTCCCGTGGGCTTTAGGAATGTTCAGAATGTTACCAGCCACCAAGGATCTTGCATGTCGACCTCATACTTGTGTTTTATTCGTGGGATCTGACATTGATGAAATTAATTTAGATATGAATTGGGTATGAATTTTATCTATGGGCTGGGTTCGGGGAAGTTTTCAACCTCAGAGATGAAGGGATGTGCCAGGGTTATATATTAGCTCCCAAGAAATTTGACGTCAGCGACAGGGGTTGAGATGAAGTACTTATTACCTTGGCCACTTCCCAGATTGGCCCCTTGTCTACTTCGTACATATGTCCTTACACCAATTCCTAAATTAGAACATCTCGATTAATTTCGTGTCTCAAAGGTATCCTCAACCAGTTCAGATTCTTCGGCCAAACTGGTTCATAATTTATATATATATAACCTGACAGAAGACGGACCAAGTCATTTGATTTGCTTCGGCGAACGAACAATAGCCAATTATTATGGTAAATGCGGAAAGGAGACAAGGAAACACCCCTCAATCACTATTGTCCCACCTATCTATGCCCGCTGTATAGGTGCCATACGACAAAACCCCCTTTGTGGGTATTATTGATGGCTAGATGCTCAATTATACCCAGGAGCTATGCATAAAAATATAACTGTATATATGAGTGAGAAAAAGGCGTCTGTAGAAAGTATTACTTTTCATCGCTTTCATATATCTGAAAAGACATCTAAAAAGAACATCTAAAACGAAGCTTATTAGGCCTTATAAGCTGCCAACTACTCTAATATCCATATGTCACCACCTTTGGGGGGTTTTAGTGGCTCTCTACTCTTAAATATAAAAATAAAGTTTGACACTTATAAGCTATGAAGTACCCTAAAAAGTGGGGGATGTCTAAACTTGTGTAGGAAAAGTAAAAGACACTCTCCATCTGAAAACGAAAGATACCCATTATGCTCTGCCCTTTCCATCTGCGCCCTCAATAGCCGCAGATGATTCCTCTCCATCCACCAAGCTTTCAATCATCTTATCAATCCTGCGCTGCTAGTGAACAGAAAGCTCGGAATAACGAGTGTATGGAAGAACCAAGACATAGTGTTCTAACCCCCGCAGCTTCTGGTAGAGTAAGAGAAGCGCGAGTACAAATTGGTGGTCAGTGTCGTGCAAGTTGTCGGCCATCCAGATCTTGTTGATGGGCATCTTCATCAAAACCATCTCATGTCTGGTTTTATTGTCGGGCTGCATAGAAGCGGCGGATCTCTCCCATTCGATAAGCTGCGCAAAGGCTTGCCCATCTTATTGCTTGCATTTGGAGATAGTTGAAGGTAATATGTAGAAAAGGCTCTTATATGAATATGCTTTTTTTTACCGCCCTCGTACATATCTAAAAAGATAGCTAAAAGGACATCTGAAAAGACATCTGAAAAGACATCTGAAAAGACATCTGAAAAGACATCTGAAAAGACATCTGAAAAGACATCTGAAAAGACATCTGAAAAGAACATAGCGGCCGATTACAATTCTTATCTTATTGTATATGCCTCCGGCGGTTAATCACCCATAGTCGTCTTCATCTTCTGCGGCCTCTTCATCCTCAGGCTCATCTTCTTCACCTTCAGAGAAATCACTTTCGCCCGGTGTTCTCGAAGAAACAATCGAATCGGACACTGAACCGGCACCCTCACCCTCGCTTGAGAAACAGCTGAATGATATGTTGAATTGCTTGGTTCATCTCTTTCTAGAGACTGAAACTCTGCTGAGGGCCCGGCAGCTGGGATTGCTATATGGCGGGGATGGAAATGGGCACCCGTGTAGTAGTCTGGCCTTTTTCGCTTGCAAGATGCACGCTCAAGGCCCTCACATGGCACATTTGGCGTTAATCCTAACTCTGACAGCTCCTTGCTTACTTTTTGCCAGGCAGGAAATCAAAAGTTCATACATGGAAAAGTCCCTTGCGTAGAACATGCTTTTTTTGCCGCCTTCGTATACACCTAAAAATAGTATCCAAAAGACCATCTAAAAGATATGACAAGGGTGTATAAGCGGCCGACTATTCTTGTCAATGATAAATTAATAATCATAATAGAGGTGTTAAACTATATCGACGCCACTAATCTCGACTCTGGAAGTCGCGCTTCCACGTTCCAAATACAGACTACCATGGGACCCTCGAGTGTTCTCCCAGAGCGAGCAGTTCAGAGACAGCATCCGGCGGTCTCTAAACTGCCAGGAGTTGGGCCTCGACCTGCGGGACATCCTGATGAGATATGATCATGCAGTCGAGGACGAGTCCCGAGACACTGACGGTTTCAACCAGGACTGGAAAGGCATCAAAGAATTCTTCGACAATCCTCAATACTCGAACTTTGTTCTCGAGGTTCGCCTCAAGCCATTCGACATGTATGACGACATGTTCATTTTGTATGAAGATGAAGGTAACCCAATTTTCCAGGATATATAATCAATCAATGAAACAAATTTCAATTAACCTGTTGCAGTCTAACTAGTTGCGTATCTCTATGCAGGCGCTTCATCCAACTGAAGTAAGAACTTGAATCCGAGCGCCGACCTGGGACCATGTAATGTATCCCAGAGATTATACAGATGCTGATTTGTAAAAGAGTGTGAAATTAGCCTATTCCTGTAACTAGTAAACCCGGAAAATCCAAGCCTATACATATGAAATAAACATATATAATGATTGTTGTGGAGTGCACCCTCCACCTTCTATCTTTCACTTCTCCCTCTCACTCCACTCTCTCACTTCTCTATCACCCCCTATCCCCCTCCCCTCCCTGCCTCAGTTGCAATTGAGGTTGACATTGTCGTATCCAGTTGATCGGCATGTTTGTCGACTTTGGGTGAGTTCTCGTGTCACAGCATCGTGTGTCGTCATTGGCTAATACCTATCATCTTCCACACCTAGGTCCAATGCCGCGAGGCCTGTTGGTTCGTTGTCATCGTTTTCCTCCTCGATTCCAATGTGTTGAAACAATTGGAGAAGACCTGTTCGGTGCATAAAGTTGACCACGTAGCGGTCCAGGATACGTACCTTGCCATCCAAATCCCACAAAAGATGGTTCCGCAAAATAGCCAGATAACTGACAATGTCCCTAATCTTTCAATATAGGTTACCTCCAAGTACAATCTGCATGTGGTCAGAATTGATGTCAAAGACTCACATGATCAGTTCTGCAATCATCGCCAGGCTGAAAACGCGAGTCTTCGGCTCACTGTCAATGCCCGAGAAGACAACATCGAACCACTGCTACTCATACGCCTCGGTAATTTCCGGTCAGAGGTTGATCGACTCTCATCCACGGGTAAGGCCACAGAGCCCCGCCGCAGAGTTGAGGAACTTGACGAAGACTACAACGCGAAACTGGCGGCTTATATTGAGGAAAGAGCTCGATCGCGAGCTCTGAAGGACACCGACAGACCTACCCGGTTGGCGAGATGGCATCTAAAACCCGCCGTACACGGGTGGCTCGTGGCTAGAGGCCAGTCCGACTACCTAGTTAGCTAATAATAATGTGGTAACACACACCAACCAATTGAGACATCACCCACACTATATATCTTTCTGTATCCTCTGTAACCATTCGAAAGGGAAAGAAAACCGAGGGGTTGGCTGTTTTGAGTTTATGTACCGTATTAGGGAGTTGCTATACAGATATCTTAGACACAAGCTAGTATTCCTAATTCTGGGTTGATAGGCGTGTAACTCGAGATACTCACATATTGTTGCCTTCCGGTACCATATTATAGAGTCATTTCCCCAGTTGGTTCACAGAATCTTTGAATAAACGATAGTGCGCGATAATTTCAGCGTTAGATTTTCCATAGCCTCATGCCTTGCTTCTTCATCCATCCAATATATCAACAGTCCGCTCCGTCCATGTACTTCCACGTGACCCTCTCGGTCGGCTTTATCTTCTTTTCTGTAAGCGGGGAGTCAAATTCTTTGTGCAATTTATCAATTATTCGTGTTAGTTGAGGGCGATTGGAAGATTTTGCTGGGCTGGAAACTTTGCACATTGGCCCTTGGTAAGCCTATTATCTAGGATATCGGATCCCTGGAGATGAAGTTAAGGTTATAGGTGCATTAGCCACGGAAAGTTGTACAGGTGATTTCCAATGTTTGGGTTGGATCGCCCAAGACTGATACATCGGATTATTATGTATTTTATTTTCCTGTTGTTCGTAGGTGAATCGGCTTGTGCGAAACCACCCGTGGACGCCATAAGCAAAGTGTAGGTAGGTCGAAAGATTACACAAAAAATAAATTATCATGCAACGTAGGTCAGATGAAAATTTGTAATGGCACAGTAGGATGGAATTAATATCTCACTCAAATAACTTTGCCAATTATATGGCTAAACCCAGGCATTTGTAATAATAACATCAGGGAAGCTTTTAGTGCACCCTATAAGGGACAGTAACGCAACAACGTGAGACAACATGCAAGGCAGAGACCTCGATGCGAGGAACGGATCGAGTCAACCACTGGGAACTAGTGGCTTGTTCTCAGCAAAATACAGATTGGGAGGTAGGTGTGCGCTTAGCGCTGATTGGATAGAACACTAATGGCTACCTAGATAGCTAGGTAGAATCCTTCCAATAGATCTGGGCCTAGGGTTGCTGTGTGTCATGTATCGAGTCTTGACACGACGCTATACGAAACTAGGGAAAGAAATACCTTTAGATGACTATTATTGATTTTTCCCAACGTCCACGGGTTTGTTCGACTGGCTGTATGTGGTTCAGAGATACCGAGCATTAAACACGTACCTTCCTACTTAGGTATTTAGTCGACTGATATGTGTGATGTAGTGTCGTCTGGAGACCAGTTCCAAGGTTCACAGCAAGAAACATGTGCTCTTCACTCCGTACAAAGCAGCTGAAACACCAGGGCAATATTCTGAAACGGGTTGCTTTTCTAGAAGGCAGCTAATGTACTCCGTATGCAGCCTGTAAAGGGGGCGAAGTGCAAAGGTGGAATTCCAGACCGAGCAGCCAATGAGCAAGACAGAATAAGCAAAGAAAGTCATCTGCCTTCATTGGCCATTCATCATGAGATGCCCAGTATGGAGTACAGCCCGAGATCGTCCAGGTATCCACGTAAAAGTAAACCATCTAACCTAACCCCCTGGGAAAACAAAAGTGGAAAAAGGGGAAATTAGGCCAAATCAATCTGCAGGGCGCATGTCATACGCAAGGCACACCTGAGCATCTTGGGTGGGTACAAAAGTTTCTCTGATGCATTCCCGAGTATCCTAATGTAGGTGGGTGGCCCGAGACATCAAACCACGCGTGAAATGACCTCTTGTCTCTGGACAATTAACCACGCGAAACGCGAGCACGTGCGCGCCATTATCAAATCCAGCCTTAGAGGACCAAGCATTGTAGAAGCGCACTTGGCGACGCCTTTCCGGTACGCTTGCCGTTGCTTGACAGGCTTGGAATTGCTTGGATTGCTTGGAATTGCTTGTACCAATGCGAAGGAACAAAGCAAGCTTTGGCCAAGATTCTGGAAGGTCTTGATGTCAATATGCTCGCATGCATCGATGTCAGACGCGTTTTTTGGCCCAACATGGTCGATAGTATACAATTTTAGTTTCGTTTGAATCAGATTTCGCCAGACAACTTGTATCAATGACAATCTAGTTCATGTCATCTGCTAACTACACCGGATATATCGGAATTTAGGACAGCAGTGACACGCAACGTGATAACACGTGTTGGAGGTAGGTTTAGATTTCGAGGGAAGGTGCGGAGAATGGGGTTGCACATGTTCAAATGCTGCACGCTGATTGGCCAGAGATCATGCATGGAAGATGCCGGGGTGGTCAGCTAGCGCAGAACTGCCTTAGCCACTACGTCAATATCCAATGGCCCAGATGCGGCCCGTTTTGGTACTGGACCATATGAAAGTGATTTTTGGGAGAAATGATTTCTTCCTTGCCTATGGAGAGATTGGACAATCGCCATAGAAAGTCTGCACGTGTGTCCAAGCGTAAATAATATTACCCTGGATCCCAGATGAGGTTCGGCTCCGGGACTAAGTGTTTGGATACGGCGGTTGCCACTTTGCCCGATAGCATCCCATTGGCATCCTATTGGCATATTGGCATTGCATTGGCAGTACCTTGGCAATGAGGATTTAGCCAAGAGTTGATGATTAAGTCCATGCATCAAACCTATATCTTGCAAACACTTCATAACTACTATAAATAATGTGATATTGTAGATAGTCCATACCATAAAGAAGTAATTATTATTGAATGTCTAACTTAAACGGTGAACAGAATTTATCGCCCCCGCGAAAGTTTGGGAAGATCTGCCACGAACCGCAGGCGGTGGCGATCAAAATTGAGATTCTGCCCCCACGTGCACAGTTGATTGGTCCCCGGCCGCTCCATATAAGACCCACCGGACCCACCTAGATCCGCTAAAAGTCGAAATTCTGCTTCCGGAGCCAAAACCAGCAAGAGCGGACCCATAACTACACCCAGACAGGGCCCCAGAGGGGGCCCTGACCCCGAGATAGAGTGGTTCTTGCCTTCTGACTTTCCAATTTTTTTTTTTTTTGTTGGCCAATTTTTCTGAGTTTGCAGTGGAGACACTAAATTGTGCCGTTGCATGTCTTCCACGCTCCGGTTCTCTCGCTTCTCACTTCTTCTTCTTCTTCCCACCCTTCTCATACTTAAAAGAGGTCAATCGCCACTTTTCTGGGTTGAAGTCACTCACCTTCCCCAACAACTGTGGTCACCTCGACTCTTCCCTTACCCGGAATTGAACTTGTTCACAGACAAAGTTCTTGCTCACGCGACACTTTTCAGTGAATACTACCACCATGACCGACTTTGGTCCTCGTGCCCCTCATGGGCCCGACATGTCGGGAGATCACAACCCGCTGGAGGATATGGACATCAACGAGAAGGGTGCTTTCGATTCCCTCATTCGCCCCGATGACAGCTACACCCCCGAAGGTGTCTACTGGGCTGATCTCCCGCTGTGGAAGAAGATCACCTTCGTCACCTCCTACAACAACATGGAGGCCAAGCGTGAGCTGAAGGAGATTTGGGATATGATTAAGGTGGACCCTCTCTCGCCCGTCTCTTACTACTTCCGCAACATGGTCCTCCCTGGTGCCGGTCTCGGTCTGGAGGGTTACGTGCTCTTCTCTATCGGCAACATCAAGCCTCTCTTCCAGGCCGCCTTCCCCGATTGCTGGAAACACGCCAAAACTTGCAGTCAGCAGTGGATCTACGCTATTGATTACCTCGAGATCATCGGTATTATTGTGGGTCAGATTTTGGTCGGTGTCTTGGGTGACTGGTAAGTTGCAATTGTACCACCCTTGGAAATGAGACTATGCTAACGTGGGACTAGGATTGGTCGTCGATGGGGTTTGATCCAGGACGCCGTTATTATGCTTCTCGGTCTTGTTATGTTGACTGCCGCCTGGGGTGTTACCCAGAATGGCTGGATTATCTGCTATGCTTGGTGTCTCTTCATCTACGGTATCGGTGTTGGTGGTGAGTACCCCATGACTGCCACTAGCGGTATGGAAAATGCCGTCGGCTCTGGAAAGGTCTCCACCAAAGAAGATCGCCTGCACCGTGGCCGCAAGGTCACTGCCGCTTTCTTGATGCAGGGTTGGGGTCAGTTCTTTAATCAGGTTATCCTGATCATTCTCCTGCTTTGCTTCCACCACGGCAGTGGCAACAACCCTTACTCCACCGTCTCTGTTCAGTGGACCTACCGTGTCTCTTTCGCAATTCCCGCCGTCGGTACTTTGTGGCTTGTTTACTATCGTGCCTACCACATGAAGGCTGCTAGCAAGCAACTTACCGCTGCCAAGAAAAAGGCTTCCGTCACTGGTTATGATGCCGAGTCCTTGAAGCTGACCTTCAAGCACTTTGGATTCCGCATTTTCGCAACTGCTGGTGGCTGGTTCGCCAACGATGTTTTCTTCTACGGTAACAAGCTCTTCCAGAGTGAGTTTATCAAGGTGATCAGTCCCGCATCTAGCTCCGTCATGCCCACCTGGCTGTGGAACTTGGTCAATGTCGGTGTCTCTCTGTGTGGATACTACTTGGCCTCTTTCCTGATCGACAACAAGCTGTACGGTCGCAAGTGGATGCAGATCGTTGGTTTCATGCTCTGCTTCATTCTGTTTGTCGTTCCTGCTTTCAACTTCGACTACTACCGCCGCCCTGAGAACATCAAGGCCTTCCAGACTATGTACTTCCTGAGCTCTTTCTTCAACCAGTTCGGTCCCAACTCCGTCTCCTTCCTGGTTGCTGCCGAGGTGTTCCCCACACCCATTCGTGCCTCCGCCCACGGTATGTCCGCTGCCTGGGGTAAGGCCGGTGCTCTTCTCGCTGCCGTCCTGTACAACTACATCGATACCCAGACCAAGTTCTACGTTGTGCCTTGGTTCGGCCTGGCCGGTGCTGTCATTACTGCCCTCTTCCTTCCCGATACCACTGGCCTGGACTTGAAGGAACAGGAGCGCCGCTGGCAATACCTCCGCAGTGGTCGCGAGGAAGAGTACCACGGCCCTGCCGTCCACCCCAAGCACCTGTCATGGTACGAGCGCTACGTCCTGCGCAAGTCCCGCTACTACGATGCCGAACTCGACTACCAACAGAAGGTCGAGGAGTACCGCATCGAGTGGGAGACCGCCATGGCCGCCAAGTCCGCCGAGAAGGATGCCGCCGATGCTCTGGATACCGATGACTCCCTTCTCGAGGGCCACGTGCACACATACTTCCACCGCACCAGCCCTATGTTCAAGGGCATGGAGAAGAATGCTCCTGCCAAGCAGGATACCTTCACTCTGCCTCCGGCTGCAGAGAGCGAGTCTGAGGATGCTTACTCCAACGAGAAGCACTAAGCGGTTACTTTGCTCGGTCCTCAGGTTATTGCCTGTGATTTGGCCATGAAAGTTTTTTTTTTTTACTTTAAGCTAGCTATGAATAATTCCCCCTTTTCCAATTTTTCTTTTTTTTTTTTTTCACAAAACTTATCATGCATATACACCACCACGTTGCTTTTGGAAACCTTCATGCTTGCTACATGAATTAGCTAGCTTGCATGACTTTTGCTTGACACATGAAGCGGGCCCTTCGATTAACTAGATATTGATACCACTTCTTTGGACACATTGCTACACATCATTTTTGAAGACCATCCATCATATTTAGACTCGTAGTCAACTTTGGAACTTTAGAGACTGAATTTTGCAACTCTTGCCTGAGGCAGAAATGATGACTAACATCATATTTTCATCCACAGGTGGACTTAGGTATCGATGTGTATGGATAAAGCGCACATCCAGTCAAATTTGATGATACCCCAAACATACATAAAATCCCAAAGAAAAGAGAAAAAAAAAGACAGAATCATGAGACTCTTCGCCTTCGGCTCCAACGGATCAGGTCAACTAGGCATCGGCCACGAAGAAGACGTCTCCACACCAACGCAATGTCTCTTCGAGCAGTCAGAGCCATCACAAGGATCCCAAATAAGCACCATTCAAAACACCAACCTCGCAGATGAATCTGAAATAATCACCATCGCAGCAGGCGGAAACCACACCCTCCTCCTAACAACCAGCGGCTCCATCTACGCTGCCGGCTGCAATGAAGACGGACGGTGCGGGCCGCACGGAGCAACCAAAAACCCAAAAGAGCCCGAGTCTGATAACAATGGAAACATCCTGTGCTTTCGTCGGATAATTCTCTCAGACCCAGTCTCCGACACTGAGGTATCTAAGTTCAAACACGTCTCCGCGACGTGGGAGGGCACTATTGCTGTAGCTTCTGTACCACGAAGGAGCAGTAATGACGTCGTCAATGGATATGATTCTGATACAGAAGATCGAGTCTTCGTATTCGGTTCCTCGCCTAAAGGAGAACTGGGTCTGGGATCAGACAACCCCACCCCTGTCCCCGGGACATGTATCCCCTCCTTCCCGCCAACGGGGTTGAGGATCACGGCGCTGGCGAGCGGGATGGCTCATTCGGCTGCTGTGCTCTCGAATGGGGATGTGTATGGCTGGGGCGGAGCGCGGAAGGGTCAGCTCGGGAAAGAGAATCGAGAGGCTAGGATTGCTTATTCTCCTGTTCGAATTTGTGTGCCGTTTTTTGCGGAGGCTGTTGCTTGTGGGAGAGAGTTTACGGTAGTATCGGGTCGAGGGCGGTTTGTTGTCCTTGGGGATGGGGGGAATCGGTGGGGTATATTGGGTATTCCGGAGAGTTTATCTCTACAGGGGGGATGGGCAAGGGGAGGAGTGTGGAGGGCGCAGAGGTGCTATTTTTTATCGCTATACTGGTATTGCGGCTAGTTGGCATGGGGTTTATGTACATGCTGCGCCTGGGCTGGGACGGGTGAAACCGTCGACAACGGATGCACAGACAGACTCTGATTCTGATCTTGTCGGTGGTTCTATTGTTGCGTGGGGACGCAATGATCGTGGCCAACTTCCACCGCCGGATCTTCCAACTCCTGCTAAACTCGCCGTTGGTAGTGAGCATGCCATTGCTCTCCTGGGAGATGGTCGAGTGGCGGCGTTTGGATGGGGCGAGCATGGGAATTGTGGACCTGGTACAGATTCCCAGGGGAATGTATCGGGTACATATAATGTGATTTCGCTCCCTGAAGCCGTGGGCGTGGATGGGAGGGTTGTTGGGGTTGGAGCAGGGTGTGCGACTAGCTGGATTATTCTGACATGATCGCCTTTGGGATCTGGGAGGGGTGAGAGTTGCCGACAGCTGCACTGGGCGTGTTTCCTCAGTCGAAAAGACCATATTGCCGAACCTATCAACTATCAGCATACGCATATCAAAGTCTAGCAAGAACCGGAATTAACATACCTGCGACAAACGCTGTGTCGGTGGAATACCCATTTCATCGTCTGGATCTTCGGCGTGAGAACCATCCTGCTTCGAGAAGGAAGGCTCTGCATCACGAATAGAGGCCCCGAATGCGTCCTGGGTGTTTGGTTAGCCACAAATTTATACCCGCCAATGAAAGAAAAACGACATACCTGTGTTCCCGATGCATCCCATCCGAGAATATCCTGCGGCTCCTCTTCTTCATTCATTTCATCCCATTGCCGGTCATCATCAGCAGGCACGAAAAGGCTATCGAAATCCATCGAAAGCCCAGACGCCGCCGGTCGATCTGCGCTAGCCTTCTGGCTCAGATTCTCCTGCGTCGATGATCCATTGAGAGGACGGATCGATCTGCTTCGTGGTGGTGGCGGGGGCATCTGTGTACTTGGTGTCACCGATGGGCGAGTATCACGCGGTTTGCTCACTGAGATTGGGATAGGCGCAGGCGTTTGCCGTGGGATTGTCGCTCGTGTTGACGACGGGGCGTCATCGATATCTGCCTGGCCGCGGGTCATGACTGTGAATTCTGCGTTGACACCTTCAAATTGGTATTCCAGTTGCAGAGGTTTGCAGGGTCGAGTATACCGTGCTGTTACGGTGGCGTTTGCCGTTTCGGCGTGTGCAACAACGGCCTTGAAGTCTTTCATATTGATCGCGACGTGCATGTTCTCTTCGACCAAGTACTCTTGGAAGTCGCGCTTGTCTGCTGCCACGGATGTGTGGACTGGGTGTTTTAGCACTTCTGTTTGGGTGTTAGTTATCTAGAATTTCGAGACATGATGGAGGTGAACTCGACATACCCTTGCCCTCGGTGATTTTTGTCGTAAAGCTTGTAAAAACCGCTCTTCCGGAATCGGAGTACATGTCCAACTGCTCGGCAGATAAGCTAAAATGCTCAATGAGCTGCTTGAGGAACCGTGGATCAGCGGTCCACATGCTGGTAGCTTTGGATTTATCGAAGATGGCATGCTGAATTGCCGCTGGTTCATAGGTGAGCTTGTATGACTTGATAACGCCTAAATATAGTGTCAGAGATATGCGATCTTAGTTGGGAAAGACAGATCTATGCCGGCGTATATCTTACCTAGTCCACAAATCATCTTCACTGTCAGTCTACACTCGGTTTGCTGTAGATCTTCATGCAATTCCATGTCACAGCGTTCAACGGCTGTGTCTTTATTTTTGTCAATTCTCCCACGGAATATGGAGAGAAGAGCCTGGATTTGATATTAGCACAAAACAAGCCAAGATAATCATCCGCAAACATCCTGTAGGATGCAAATCCAAGAGGAAAAAAAAGTCTATGTACTCACTTTGATGTAGATTTGGCAGAAGAACCGGTCGAGTGAAACACTGCCACTCCTGCCACCACTGTTGGTTTTGAAGGAATATGCCTCAAAGAAAACCCCCTTCTCGAACGCGAAGGAGGCAAACCCTGTCTTGGTGGAATTGAGCACACTGAGGCGGAGCTGGGGTACGGTTAGCCCCAATATTTGATGTTGTGGGTTCCGGAATTTTGGACTGAATTGCTCTCCCTGAAGGTAAAATAACTTACGATGTCAGGCTCTGCTTCGATGGCGACAGTTTCGCTGAATTTGGACAGGCATATTAAGGCGTCGTGGAGCCGGACTAAGGCTGGCGGACCAAGTGATAATGAGAGCGACGTCATGGCTGAGTTTGTGCTTCTTGACCTCTTGATGAGTATCAGATAGGTTCAAGTATAGGATCGATCGGTCGACATCTATTTTCCTATCTCATTGAGCTCATGACGCGCTGTTGGCTGTTCGAGATTCGATTGAAGAAGAAGACGCGGACAAACACACGAGATTACGTAATGCATGTATAGAGCCGGGGAATTGCTACAGACACGGCACGTTTTGCTAGTAGCACGGCACATTAGGTAATATTCCCTTTACATAATCAATTTTGACCGAGATCGTTACCATACATTACCACAGCAACTACATTACTTACTACTGTAGCAACTACATTCTATCTACTACTGCTTCATTACTATAAGAACCCGACCATGAATCAATTCTCTCTAGTCAATCTTATTGTGCTTTTCATCTTATTTACATGCTTTTCACACTCTGCAGGAGCGGATTGTATGGCCAATTTCTCCACAATTTGAGCACTTCGAGGGTGCTTTCTTCTTAGTGACCTTTTGGTTTGATGTTTTGATGTTTTGATCTGATATGTTCTCTTGAGCTGATCTGCGAGTTGGTGGTGGTAATAGAGGATCTAGTATTGGCAGATACATAGATGACTCATTACTAAGGCCAATCCTCCAAAATTGATGGATATCGCTTAGTGGGATTGGTTGATGTTTTGTTAATAAACTAGCGATTCGGTGGGCACACGGAAGGCCCATTGTCCTAGTGAATATATTAGTGCAGTTTGATAAAGGTGCTTCGGGGGTAGCTCTCTTAGCTATAGCAGCTTGATTAGAGATCAAAGATATTGAATATCGTGATGTTCTCTTTATAATATTCGAATAGAGAAAGTGGGAGCAGAAATTTAGTCTCTTAATCTTATCTTCTGCAAGATCAGATTCAAGTCGCTGATACTGAGCCTGTAAAGCATTATTAATTCTCTCAAAAACATGAAGCATATCACCTGAAGATCCCCCTATATACTTTTTTAAAAAAGCGTGAGACCCCTCCACTCTTGATGTAGCCCAGTTACCAAGATGAAGATATTGCCCTACCCAAGCCCTAATAAACATCTCTTTATAGGTTAGCCAAGTACTTTGAATATATCTAAGAGCATTAGGGGCAATTTGATTAAACTGCGTTGTGAACTTAGCTAATTGAGCATTATATTCATCAATATTTGATGAATTAATTAGCTCTTTCCATGACTTGATAAAAGCCTCAAATTCCTCATTTGAAGAGAAATATTGCTTTGTCTTTGCCAGCACATTCTTATTAATATGCCAAATGCATAGTAGATGTGGGCTTCTAGGACAGATAGATTTAATTGCACCTAATAAAGCAAGATCTCTGTCAGTGCAAAGAACTGGAGAAAAGGGTAAGGGGTCAAGCCATGAAAAAAAAGTCTGTAAAGTCCACTTATAGCTTTCTTCCTGCTCATTTTGCATAAAGCAGAAAGCAATACTATAGGATGAATTCGATGGCGAGAGACTAATAATATGTAAAAGAGGCATCTTATACCGATTCGTCTTGTAAGTACAGTCTAATAAAAAGACCCTATTATATTGATTAGCATACTTAATTGATTCAGGGTGAGCGAACATAAAAAATTGAACATGACCTTCTATATCTTGTTTAAATGCATATTTCCATTGATTCTGAATTAATATCTGTTGAAGAAGTTCAAGAGGTAAGTGATTCCTAAGCTTTTTCTGTCTTATACTACCTCTTATATTATAAATATCTTTTGGTCTTATTAAGATATCAGGTTGATCCTTTCTTAATAGACTTATAATATGCTGCGGTCGAGATCCAATATCTGATAGATGTTCAATAGTTTGATTTTGATCTTTAGTAAGCTGTGGACGCCTTGCCATAGGATGCCCTATCATATTATTAGTAGCTGCATGATTATGATTAGGATTTCTTACCTGGATTTCCCATTGATTAGTATCAACAAGCTTCTTTGCATAAAGGCGGAATGGGCAGTTCATCCGTCTAGTACTTGTCTTCCGGCGTTTTGCCCCTTCTGGGGCATCAATATGATCATGGTATATACCGCCTCTATCACAACCAAGACAAATATTCCTCTCCTTAGCGGAGTTGATGATAGTGATAGCATAACCATGAGATAGGGCATGCTGTCGTATCGAAGTAAGGAGTTGCTCTCTAGTCTCAAAGACTTGCTCAATTGGTGGCTCCATGATTAGGTGAAATCAAGTATCAATTGGATGAAGTAAGATCAATTGGATGAAGTAAGATCAATTGGATGAAGTAAGATCAATGAGAAGATAGAGTGGTTCTTATAGCAGAAGTAGATAGAATGTAGTTGCTACAGTAGTAAGTAATGTAGTTGCTGTGGTAATGTATGGTAACGATCTCGGTCAAAATTGATTATGTAAAGGGAATATTACCTAATGTGCCGTGCTACTAGCAAAACGTGCCGTGTCTGTAGCAATTCCCATAGAGCCGCCCCTGGAGCCTCGGGTGGAGCTGGGAATAGCGACACTTTCGAATGATTTGGTTTTTTCATGTTTTTAAATTTGAAATACTTCAGAATTCAGTCGCCTCCTATCAGTATCAACTTCATATGGGATCAAAGATCAATTTTAACCTGGTGAGAACAAAAAAAGGACCAGCGACGAGAACCTCCATCTGCCAAGATGCCAACATTATCTATCCTCTTTAATAGATTAATGATGCTGATCATGTCCTAATTGCGATTCTAGGTGGAATCCAGGGCAATTGTCGCCTTCAATGCATACTGAGCCAGCTAACATAAAAAGTGAACTTGGTTAGTCTCGGATCGTCCCGGGTAGTCTCAAGCGCTATCAAAACTACTCCGTACCTACACTCAACTTATTAGGTACCATATGTGCATTTAGAGAGGTTGGGCTCAATCCATGTATATTAAGGTAGCATTACTAGGAGACCAGAGAATCTTTTAGTGGATACTAGTACATACTAGTGTGTGCTCTTTCGTTTTAGCTTATTGTTTTCATATTTTGTGCGTTCAATCTGAGACAAGGTATACAATTAGCAAAAAGAGTAGCAAAATGATTGGGGTTTGTTCATTGTATATCATGAGCTAAACTTCTCCTGTACCAATCATTTTATGCCCAAGAGACTGGGCTCATCTTGGGAGGGCTTCAAGGAGACACGTGAAAATCTGCTGACTCTACTGCAACTGATATATTGGCCCATATTTTGGCCCCCGGCCAAGGATGCAGTTCTAGTGCTAGAATCTTTTACGCTAGACTTCATGGTTCAGATTATTCTCCTTTTCCTTTTCTTTTCGTCATCTGCTGCATCATTAATACACCACTACCAACGATCATGAGGAGGGTCACTTCCTAACCCACTTATATACCACATCCTATCACAAAAATGCACGTTATTGACTACGTCGTGCTGAGATGCCGACATGTTTTTCGAAATTCCCTAAAGCGCAGCCTTATTCCGATCGCTCTTGTCCTTGCATTTACCATTTTCATGCTCATACCTCGGTCAAGAGAACAAGCTATAGTAGTCCATGCTTCAAGGTACTTCCTTTCACCACCTTGCCAATATGTCTTGAGATATCGAAACGTCGCATTATAGCGAATTTTTTTCCAGTCACTAATACGTTCATTCTTTTATAGTAGAAATAATGCCTTTTTTCTAGGCTCGGGCGCCGCTGATAATGGGGATGGTCTCGGCCAGCTCGTTTTGGAAACTTCGCACGAGTCACCATCCATACCTTACGATCCATATCCCGAATATAACAGCGTTGAATGGAAAAACAGGTGGAGAGGAACTTATCAGCAATGTGTGGGCGCAAATGGTTCAGTCCTAGATCGTCGGAACGCGGAAACAGCGATGAAAGGATTTCGCTGGAACCAGTCAGGTTTGAAATTGAGACAAGCCTATGCTGGCGTAATTTACTTCAGCACTGACAACAATCTAGATTTTCCAGCGCCGATATTTGGATCGTATGAGGCGTGGAATCTCAATCGAAGTATCTGCGTCGACCGGAATTCTCGATATGCGGCGTACGGCTATACAGAGACAGGCGACAAAGGGCAGTGGCAGGATGTGAATTGGGCCAATTTGCAGCAAGATTGCTTGCAGCGCAATGCAGACCGGTATCAGCCTTCGGATATTCGCGAAAAGACATCGACTTTGCACAGGGAGCAGGATAAAGGAACAGATGAACATCATCGGAGAGAGAAGACAGAGACATATCGAAACAATACCTCTGCTAGCTTCAAAACACGGACGGCGGTAGTTCTGCGTACATGGCTCGACATGGAATACACGGAAGATGCTCTTTATTATATCCGGTCGATTATAATGGAGCTATCGCTCTTATCTGGTGCAGAATACGAGGTAATCCTCTTGGTTGATGCAAAAAATATCGAACTGCCTCATCCAACGGACAATGTGGGCTTGGACAATCTGAAAAAGTCTCTTCCGCGGGAGCTCCAGGATCTGGCGGTGTTCTTCAATGCGGAGATACTAAAGGACTGGTACCCGAAGATCGATGTTCACGAGTAAGATTGCTTCCTATTCATATTCGCTCTACAGCTGTCAAGTTTCGAGACGTTGATCCTTTTCCAGAGCCATACTCCAATACTTCCAGCCAATGCAGATTTTCTCACGATTGAACCCACAATACGACTTCTTCTGGCAGTTTGAAATGGATTCACGTTATACGGGACATTTCTATAACTTCCTCCAACAGGCAACAGAGTTTGCAAAACAACAGCCTCGCAAGAATCTATGGGAACGTAACTCTTACTTCTACATCCCCGCCGTCCATGGCAGCTGGGAAAAATTTACCGATCAGGTAGATCAGAGCATGGCAGGCGTTAGTAGTATCTGGGGACCACATCCAGCAAAAGGTATCGAGGTCGGGAATGAAGCATCGGAGCCACTACGCGCAGATCTAGATGATGATTCTTGGAGCTGGGGCGTGGGCGAGGAAGCCGACGTGATCACCTGGCTGCCTCAATTTGACCCTCAGCGTACTGAATGGCCCTTCGCTGACCGGGTGTTTAATTTTCCCCAGAAGGGACGTACTCCGCGCCGGACATCTGTTGTCGCAATGTCCCGTGTCTCGGCACGATTGCTCCGGCTTATGCATAAGGACAAGACTGAGAAAGGTCTTGGACTAGCTTCTGAAATGTCTCCCACCTCCTGGGCTCTTTATTATGGGCTGAAATCAGTTCAGGTTCCTCAGCCTATTTACCATGCGCACTCAACAGATCCAGTTGAGCTCAATCTCAGAGCTAATACAGGCAAGCCTGGTAAAATTAGCGCTGGGCGGAATAGTATCTGGAACTGGAACCAGCACAATGATATTATCATGAAGATATCTTATATGTTTGGGTCGGAATTTTCCGAAAGGATTTATCGAGCCTGGCTAGGTTACGATGGTGAAGAGAAAGTGAGTTATTATGCTGGTGCCTTGACTGGCCCGTTGATATCTGCTGACACGTACGAAAAGAATGGGCATCGCCCTCACCTTTGCCTGCCTCCGATGTTCTTACACCCAGTCAAGAATACGAAAAGGTAGCTGGCTTTCGCAGCATATTAACGATCCATCCTAGTGGCGTTCTGGAATTTTGTACAACACATTATGATTCAAATTATATAGATAGAATTATCAAAAGACAAAGTATGCCTGAAAGTTGATATACAGCTTGGGGTTTTCCATGGTTCCTAGCAAAGCCAAAAATGATAGGCTCCACTATCCGGCCCCAATACCCGGCTCAAGCATCCGGGGGCTGTCGGGTGGCGGTTAGAGCCGCAAGGGGTTTAACGCAAAAACTACGGTAGTTCAGTGCAAATCTTCCAATGGAATTGTTTGATAATATCGTAAAGCTTCGTTAAAAGAGGGATACTGCTTGTGGGGTAGCAGTACCAAATCGGGGTAACTTTTGGGTATCAGATATGTTGGATCCCACTATCCAACATCAGGAGCGATTCCTGTGACCGGGTGTCCCTCCGCATCATCTCGTGCACTTTCCTCTGGTGTATTTGTGTTCGGCCTAGGCTCTCTACCCAAGCCACGGGTTTGATCCCGATCCCGCTGGGGCAAGGGTTGCGGAAACTGCATTTCTAGAAAGCGTCGTCTGCGTCTTCCGGTTCGAACAGCATGCAGGAAATTAACCCCAACCTGAGCGAAGAATATCACCAGAAAGGCCCCAATGACAAATCCCTGAGAGATATAGGTTTCATGTTCCTGCTCTTGTGGGCCGACGTCGCTAGTTTGATCACGTTCGTTGGGTATTTGCGAGCTAACACTAGGGAACGAAACCCCGGAGCGTCTTATTGAGACCGAGACCGAGAAAGAGAATGGTGTCAATGACGTGAATACATTCGGCGTTATCGAGGCGAATAGTCCTGACAATGGCCTCAATAATAGAGGGATTATGCAGAAGATGAGAAGAGGGACGGATAGTCATAAGACAGAGTAAAGTGATGAGCGAGTGGACCTGTTCGAAAATATTAGAATACAATTTAACAGGGAGAATGGATATTCAACCTACCAGTCCCGAGCCTCGAGTTGTCTCGCCCATTTTGCTGAGATTTTCAGTCTCTCTCGAACACTTGTGGCCGCGAGTATGGGATATTTTTCTTCCTCGGAGATGGGCAAAATGCTTGCAAACCACCACGGGAAGCGGGCTGCATCTATGGGAATGGGTCCATATGCTAGCATGACGCGCGGGTGCAGCCAAGGAGCCCCGGATCTGCGTTGATTGCTGATGAATTCTCTTGCCGATAGAAGTAATTGCTGAGTTGACATTGAGTCTAACGGGGGATTAGATTCATTCACTTCTGGCAGAGCATTGACACTGTCTGTCGAAGTTTCCATAGACTCAAGCCGCTCCTCCTCTGCGAGCGAGATATCATCTATGCGCTCTGTTTTGGCAACATAATAGCCATCCAACATACCCGAGTCGACGATCTTGAATCGCGACACTCCTGTAGCCACCACAAGACTGCGACCATCCGGGAGCAGCTCATATCGCTCGATCATCAGGAGCGTTCCATATTGCACGAACGGTACGTCACCTAGTTGGCCTGGCAGTACTCGGCCTTGTCGGTTGTACATGACCATGCCGAACTTTCCATTTCCATTTGCAAGAACTCGACGGATCATAAGTCGGTACCTGGGCTCAAAGACATGCAGGAAAGTTGGCATTGTTGGGAATGACAACGTGCACACGAAAAGTGGCAAGTTCTTCTCGTAATCCGGGCCTGTCTCATCCTGGGCGCTGGTCTCCCGCCTGACTGAGATCTGGTCGGGGAAGAAGTGGTCGATCAGTCGCGCCACAGTCTGATTTATGGGCTCTGACTGTAGATCACTCGTCATGCCTATCTTTCGGCGACAAATTGGGCAAAGATCGGTATGATCTAAGACCCGCGCGACACATTTTCGGCAGAAGGTGTGGCCACAAGGTGTGGTCATTGGATCTAGAACGAGCGCATAGCAAACCTGGCAGTCCAACTCGGTGCGGAGACTGTCTCGCAGTTTTTGGAAGTGAATGACATCCTGCACTTCTCTGCTTGCATCTGGGGTTGGAGAATCCCCATAGATAACCTCGCATGCATCGGACGGGAACCGGCCTTCCAGTGCCATGTTATAGATCCCCTGCAGCCACCCATGCCGCTGCAACTGCCCACTTTCATTCTGATTCTGCCCATCGGATTTCCACCGCAGTAAGGGTCCGTCATCTTCGGACCAATCCCGAGGCACGTTGTTTACCTCTGACCCCAGTATTTCTCCGAAAAGACCAGCCAGCTTCCCAAGCAACACATCAGCGCCACAATCTCCCACACAATGATCCCCAACACACGTCTTATTTCCTTTCCAAAAGCATGTAAATTCCTGGTCCCTCCCTTCAGTCACGGGGTATGTAATACCTGTCCGCGGCCGAAAGGCGGGTAAACATTCCCGACAGACCGAATTCCCGCATGGTAGGCGGAGCGGAGTTCGCAAAGGGCGGGAGCAATGCTGGCACTGGATCAACTGGATGACGAGATGGGGCAGATCTGCCGTATTGCTAGGTGTATGCTCTTCCGAGCTTGAGACATCCGAGGGTGAGACATTCGGGCTCTCCATTACGGTTACGGTCGGGATGGGGTTAGCGTCGGTCAGGTTTGTCGGGGACATGGACTGGGCTGCATCTTCCATTACACAGTAGTTCACTGGTAGCAAAAGCGGTAAATGAGGAGGACACAGAAGGGTAAACAATAATGAAGCTGTTGAGGAGCCGCTACCTGCAGGTGCCGGACAGGTGCGGGTCAACTTTAGATAATCGGATCAGTGGCCACCCATGGATCCCGAGATCCGGAGTCACAGTACATCCTGTACAATACTATTACCAGTGTACATCGAGGTACACAATACTCTGTACATCCATGGATATCACCCTCGTTTAGCAATTGGCAACTTTGGAAGATACAGGCTTTGGCATTGGTATGTCACGTGATCAAATATAAGCCTCGGGTTATTATAAAAGTAGTGTGAAAATATAATATTATATCTCTAGCTTCACTTCTAGAACATTAAAATTTTCTTTTTAAAGGGGAATGTTTCAAAAATATTTCAACAGATAACCGAAAGGACAGGACGCTAGTCTGAATTTAGTTAGCGCTAAATGGACGATGTACTGAGGCCTACTATGTGGGAGACATCAAAAATATTGTTAAAGAGGCTAGGTGGCGTGTCCATATCGACGGGCATCGCGACGCCTATAGTGGGTAAGCCCATTTTGCACCGGCGAAATGGTTCGGGCAAAGGATTTGATATAAATATAGTAATCAGTTCTTCAACTTTTTGCCCGTTAAATTAACACATTATAGATTTTCCAGGCGTCCATGAACAAGTTTCCGTGTGATAAGAAGAATCCGATGGCGTCCATCCCACAGAGGAAATAATCCCACTGTCAACAAAGTGATCCAGAGCCAAACTTCGGCGACCACAACCCAGGCGATGAAGAACTAAAGATTATTAGTGACAGTATCCACTATTAACCAATTATGGTACACTTACTCCTCTACTAAACACAAACTTAGCAGCATACATCGGGAGTGGCCAGAGAACCCAGTGGCCGAAGAAAGTAGCAATGGCCCAAATCAACGCGTATCGTGACCATCTCTTTTGACTTGCTTCGGAATCCTGACCCACTTCATTCTCATCTTTAGTAATCTCAGTAATTTCATTCTGAGGATGGATAGTCAGGCTGATATTGCTCATTGATTTCCAATCGAAGTCGTCCGGCGCAATTAATGTGATTAATACGGAGTATAGCAGCGGGCTAAGTGCAGATACCACAGTGCCATACATGCATGGCAATGTCTGCCCAGTGGAAGAGACTGTAACAGCACCATAGAAACGATGGGCAGTTCCAAGCCAGACAGTGAGGCCTGTGGCTAGTCCGAGATATGCCGATGCAATGACCGCGATTCGGCTTTGCTTTCTCCAAAGAATTGACAGTATCAGAGGGAAGATTCCAGGACACGTTATCACTCCTTGAAGTTATGTTAGAAATATCCAGTATATCCTTGCTGTGAATATTTGAGCTCACCAATCATATAAAGCGTCCAGCCCATATCAATACCAACATAGTGGAATAATGCAGTGAGGCCTGCTGCGACAAGGCCGAATAGAATCACACTCACCCGACTCCAGAAGATTACCTGTTGATTGGTTGCGTTCTTGTTGAAGTAAGTGCGATAGCCATCAAAGGCCACAATCGAAGAGACAGCAATGACTTGTGCTGATAATGTGGATGTAACAGCCATGAATGTCATTAGGAGAGTAGCCACTGCACCACCTTTGCCCGCTACCGCGATAGCCGCGTAAGGCAAAGCTAGCCCATTCGTGACCTCAGTACTAGTCATGGGCTGGAAATATCTTAGTTTCAAGATCAGATATGGAGAAGCAACAGCCTGGACTTACTCTAGGATATGTTGGGAACACTTTCGTATTTTCCAACCCCAAGGCAACCATCCCCATAATTGTTCCAAGAGCCCAAGGGATACTGAAATAAGATAAACCACCAATGACGTATCCAGGAACGACACCCTCTGGGCATGCAGCAAATGCCTTAGTGAAGTATCCGGTGTCCATCTATCTCCAATTAGCACCCACTAGCCGTTAGTAACACGGGTGGGGTACTCACAATGACAGCTCCAAAGTTTGACACCAAAAGAATAATCCCAAAGAAAATTCCTTGTTGAGATGTCATGGTAAAAAGCGAGCCTTGATAATTTCCGTCGACGAGATGATTTGGCTGAGCTGCAACAACGAGATCATACAAACCCCCAATCGAATCAACCTCCACGTTGGTCAACGCTTTTGTGGTTAGATAGCAACATAAAATCAAAATAATGAAAGTATGTATGTAATCAGTTAAAAATCTGCAAATATAATCAGTGTTGTGAATGTATTTCGAGAACGAACCTGACATACGTTGCTTTTATGCCTCCTGTGAGTGTGTAAATAACCACACCAACGGGCAGCAAGAATGTGGATGCCATAATGTGCATTCCAGTTCTTTCATGGTAAGATATTGCATCAAAAGTCTTTTCAAGCAGTTACTGGACTTACAAATATGTAATAGCAACCGAGGCACCCAAAATCATGTTGATGGTGTTGAAGAGATTATTCACGACAGCCAAAAATGTGAAGCTTAAGTGAGCGACAGTGCCTGAAAGTTGTCAGATCTATGCTTTATGTTGACGAACGCGGGAAACTTTACCATATCGCATCTTTATAATTTCCAGAACAGTGTGCGCGCTGGGCACGCGCTTTTTGCAGACAGTGCCGAGATACGCAAAGCAGACAATCATAGGCGAGCATCCAGCACCATACCAAAAGGGACCACTTATACCATATTGATAGGCCACCAGAACGGCACTTAACAACGCAGTGCTCCAAAGCCAGGACTGTTTTACCAGTCAGCATTGAGCAATATTGAGAATTATTCCACATACGGATACAACTGCCGAGGCAACTAAACCTGTGCCGACTCTCCGGTTGGCGACAATGAATCTAGTTGTGGTTAAAAAGATGTGCGATGAAAAGATTGGGGAGAAACATACGTTTCAGCATTCGAATTATCTTCGCCAACTGTACTTTTCAAGGCCTTGGTGACAAGCATCATTCCTTTGTTGAGATCTTAGCATATTAGCCATGAAAAGAGTTGTATTTACCTCCTACCTGTTGCAAATGCCAACCCAACACCAATCACGACTCCATACCCCACGCCTTGTGATAACGGAGGAGATATATCGGACATTGTTTATGAGACTTCAACAAGCTGAATTGGTACAGAGCTATGCGGAACAATGCTACTTATTAATTGGAGTCATGGTAGCCATCGCGAAATTTATATGGGCTCCAGAATGTGTCGGCCGAGTTCACCTTGGGTTCAAGCTAGAAGCATTGTTTTATTAGACGAGCGTGTATATAAAAGCTAACCCTTTCAGGTAGTTGAAAAGAGAAAATTTAGCGGGGTTGAAACTAATTGTATACAATATGACGTGCTTGGCATGCTTCATGGCGATGTTTTTCATCATCTCCGCAAAGCACTAGCTAAAATGATGCAATTAGCAGTCAATTCGCGGCTAGAATAATGTTGCTGAACTCTGCAAATTAGGTCTAAGATTATGGGATTGAAAGACGGTTAGTTGATCGACACTGTGTCAAGAGTGTGTTGAAATCCCCCCTACTTACCTACTATGGCGCGCTCTGGTAATGTACTTCCAACAGTGCCCTCAACAATTTCGGCACCCAGTTAGGCAGTGCATGCTGTAGTCATTGTTTCTGCTGGTCTCTGCGCCATTAAAGGTTCTGCAGATCGAGAATATGTACCGAGGGTGTTTCCAAAAACTTATGGCTTACAATTCAGTGAGGTTCTATGGTGCTGCGTGAGTAGCTCTACTGACAATATGGAGTGAGTGCAAATATATAAAAAGGAATTACCGTTTACGGGAAAGGGGTAATATAGATAATCATCCGAGATAGTTGGCAAGCCAGGCGGCGTACTAAACGAACATTGACAGTAAGGCCTTACGCGAGTTTGATACTACTTAACGCGTGATCAGCAAAAGCGATATTCTACCTGCGTTAGTCTCCCTATGTATGCTTCAGAATACTGTTACTTTTATAACTATCAGTATGAAATGACAGAAGAGACAAGCTGCAAAGAGGAGGAGAATGGAGCTACTAACTTCATTATATTATCGATTAAAAATGGTCATGAGGGACGTGGATTTTGTAATGCCTTCGTTATCTGTGTTTACATTGATACCCTCATATTATTCTAAAGTATAATTTTGTTTTTAATATGGCACTCATTTTATCTGATCCCCTGGAACGGCTTAGGAACAAACTATCACAGTGTACCACGAAAGCGATCTGTTTGAAGAAAATAGCAGCCCCCCAACGTAACGCGTGTCGTAAGGATTTCCTTTAACCTCCTTCAAATATATGGTTTATTTAATTGCTACCTTTGGTGATTTAGGTGATTTTGTCATTAGAATGGATAGAGAGGTAGGTATTGCTCATCGACCTCCAGTTAACGTAAATGGGGACTTTGGTACTGTTGGCATTCATTGTCGACAAAACTGTGGGAATTAATGTTGCTTGTATATTATCTTTTAACCGAGTCTGACTCCTGCACTTGTGACGTGTCATTCATGAGGCGGGGTTGGCTACAGCGCTAGGGGCTCTGGATGCTGTTCTCTCAGAAGGCTACTAGTACGAGCTTAGCTGACCTTAGCGCAACGGCATCTCCCGAGGCCAACACGGCCCCCGACGGATCTCCCGGAAATGGATGGGAACTTGTCTCGGAAAACCACACACATTTTACCACAAAAGTGACAAAAGCACCATGATCCATCTCGGATCATTCAGATTCCGGTCAAGAGGACTCGCGTGGGAGGATTTGGTCACCTCATTTGAGGACTGGATCCCATTATTCGACTGGGGATGGCTATGCCCTGCTAGAACAGCCGGGTAAGATTACCTATGCTTGAAGCTTTTGCTGCCTATTCCACAGATAGCTAGACTAGCTAGGTGAATTCGATAACTATATGAAGGGTCTCCTCTCCCTATCTTTGGCTCTACATCTCACAGCACTTTTCCTCTGTACTCTACTGGAAATATCGGAGGTTAGCCATCTTCCACAGGCACCCCTCCTTCGCCATGTTTATCACTAACTACTGTAGCTGGAAATATTTATCTATAGGAACTTCTCCTTCGGTCGTTCTCTTTCGCTTGTTACAAGGTATGTTAATATAAGATCTGTACTGCAGAATCTCTGAAGAATACATCCATAGCCCCCGGGATCAAAAGATAGATGACCAAGGCGCCCATAGAGACCCTTAAATACCCCTCACGACCTCGATATGCAATCCATCTTCACCTCCCTTGGGTACTTCCTATTTTTCTTTACCGCCATGGTCGAAGGTCTTACCAGGTACCACACAACGCCCCCGAGCGACGTCATTATCGTTCACGACAGACAATCCCTCAACGATCTAGTCAAGGTCTATCCGGATACAATTCTCCACGCTGAGAATGGAGGGTACTACCTTAAGGATATGGACGACGAGGTCGTTGCGATAACTGCCGACGACCTATGCACGGAGCTGGACGCCGCTTTTGCCAGCATCGATGCCAATTTTGTCGGTGACGGCTCTGGATCTGAGGATGGGGGATCTGGATCTCTCGGCGGGGCGGATGTTACGAAGTGGGACGAGGATCTCGCTTGTTACCCCAACTGTCTGCATAACTACTGCAGCCACCCTCGTTGCTTCCGCTCTGCCGTCTGTCTGAGCTACACGAATTGCCACGTGTGCTCCACGAACAGCCGGAAAGTTTGTATCTAGAGTGCGATGATGCTTGGATATTCTAGATGGCGAGGGAGAGAGTGGAAGAGAAAGTCAGAGAGGAACACGTGAATGAGGCTACCCGGCTTTTGGGTTGTTCTGGAAGCTACTGACAGCAGGCTCGCTTTGACAGCATGTGGCCGTTGGTCGATACCACCCTTTGGCGTACTGAGCTTGCTCATACAATCCAACCAGCCATGTGATGCTGTGTGGTCGAAAGATAAGATTTGAAAATCAGAAATATTTGCTCATGACATTCAAGGAATACTTCCCATTCTGGATGTAACGCAGGCACAACCTCATATGGGGAACTCTATGGAATATTTTCCCGTTCTGTCACAGACGTCTAAGTCTATATATTAAACCCACGCAGTCTCAACATCCCAAGACCCCTCACTCCTACTTCCCGCCAACATACTCTCTGTGCGATGCAAAAACTGACCAAAGCCTCGAGCCCCTACGACTCCTCCACCCTCCCGGTCCCAAACCACTTGTCCACGAAGCACAGTGTAGCGTGGCCACTGATTTACCTTGTGTCCCTCGAATGGAGTGTAATCGACGTCATGGTGAAGGATGTCGTTGGTGACAGTCATGTCAAGACTCCCGTCAGGGTACCAGATGACAAAGTCGGCATCGCTGACCTCTGGGATAAGAGCGCCTTTTCTTGGGTACATGCCATACAACTTAGCCGGGTTAGTCGATGTCAGTTCCACGTATCTTTGTATCTTGAGACGATCGGCCGAAAGAACCAATGACATTCGGGTCTCGACACCAGAGAATCCGTTGGGAACTAGATGAAACTGCCCATCGGGGTGTTCCGTGGTCACGCTCGATCCTTTCCCAGAAGTGGAGTCATTGAAGTTAAACGGGCTGTGGTCGGACGAGAGAATGGTGAATGTTCCGTCCTCAAGACCAGCCCAAATAGCGTCGTGGTCGGATTTGTTGCGCAGCGGTGGACTGCAAACGCACTTCGCACCCTCAAGCCCGGGCAAATCCAAGTTTTCCTTGCTGAGGAAGAGATATTGAGGACACGTCTCGGCATAAATTGGAAGTCCCTTTGCCTGGGCTTGTCGGATGTTATCGACCGCTCGAGGATTAGAGACGTGAACGATTAAGATGGGAGTGTCAATAAACTCAGAAAGACAGATTGCACGGTAGCTGGCCTCAATCTCGGCTACAGCAGGGTGAGAGGCTGTATGGTACTTGGGTGCGTATAGCTGGCGCTCATGCAGTTTCTTGGTCATCCACGAAATCACAGAGTCATTCTCGGCATGTACCAGAGTTGTGACCTTGTGTAGACGTGATTGAAACAAGACATCTAAGAATTGCTCGTCATTGAGGCGTAAAGCTTCGTAGGTCATGTATATCTTGACGGACGAGATGCCCATCTCTCGGAAGGCTGGAAATTCCGCAAGTGTCTTTGCGCAAGGGTTGGAGATGATCAGATGGAATGAGTAGTCGCTGTAGCATTGGTCTTTGGCACGTTCGTGAGCGCAAGCTAGAGTCGCGAGAACACTGTCTTCGTGCTTCCGTTGAGGTGCAAAAGCCACAATTGTTGTTGTACCTCCTGCAATCGCGGCGCGGGTGCCTAGGAGGTGTCAATTCAATGAACAATTTAATCTCCAACTCTAGGGACTGGCAAACTAACCGGACTCGAAGCTATCTGCAGTGGAGCCGAGTCCAAAGAGTGGCGGCTCCTGAAGATGAACATGGGCGTCAATCCCCCTGGCTTGAAAGGATGTTAGACTATGGCCATGAATTCACTCGTGATAGAGGTGAAAAAAAAACCAACCGTAACTAGAGCTCCTTTGGCATCGATAATCCTCTTAGATTTTGATCCAGCCAACGATCCTTGAGGGACAATTGAGTGAATCTTCTCATCTTTAACGCCAATGTCACATTTCACAAGGTCTTCAACAGTGGCCAAAGTACAGTTCAGCACTATGAGATCCAGATCAAGATTCGATTGTTCAGCCATACTGAATATAGACAAAACTGAAAGAATTTGGGTTAAATGAAACTCGGTACATTTCGGAGTATCAGCAGGTTCTTAAGAGGGGGGTTTCCACTCCACTCTAGAACTGCCGGCATCCTTATCAAAAAGGCGGGGCATCTGCCCGTCGGCGAACTAATGGGTAGTGTGGATTTCAGAGGCATTTTGCATTGATACACCTACCACGTGGAAATTTTGGGGGGTTTTCTATGATGTGGTTATACTGCTTGGAACAAATTTGCCGTTACTATGGCATATCGGCTGTTTATTTGGCTATCCCTCTAGAAGCTCTGCACACGGGTCAGTAACAGGGAAATCTAGCCCGCTTTTATTGCTATCTTTGTTCTCATCTAGCCCATTTTTATGGGCCATATGCAGGCGTATGAATTTCCAAAGTGATGTACCAAGCTTCTTTAATTTTGTTCAGTTTTCAAGTCCACATTTTTATCCCGTACAAAAGTTTCATTTTGTTTGGATTTATAAACCTCTAGAAATATAGGGATACCTACATTTGTATACGTTCCAAAAGTTTCAATTTTGGCCTTGTAACCCCTAGAAATAATGAGACGCTTGATTTGCACAGAGGCCAAGAGCTTAATTTGTTGGACTTGCAAACCGGCCAAAAATATGGAGATCTGTATTAACAACTTATAGTGCTAATTCAGGTATCCAGGCATCAAAATTCCCCTAAAAGGGGGGGTTTGAACCCTGGCCCCTATACGTCTTCGTATATTAATGCCTTGGAAATGGACACAAATGTGATTTTATACGTACCCGATACTAGTATCTTATCAGATGTATACAAAAAGAAATCATATGTTTAATAATACACAAGGACATTCATGGATAACAGATGAAAAACGTAAAATATCATTCAAAAATTGGCGTCTAACGGCATGCATTGATAAATCGGGCGCCACGTCCCGCTTTCCTTGTTGTATTGATTTCTTGAAAATCCCAAATACAGTTGGTTTGAGCTAAGTGAAAACGGTGCGAGATCTTCATCGGTGATCCACGGAGGTTGCCACTCGTTCGGTCTGAAGATACCATAGTCATGGATACGAGCCTCTTCAGGGATGAGTGCTGCTTGTGATGTAATTGCTTCGCCGTTTTGAGAAAGTGCCGCTGTGTTCTCCCTCATAGTAAGGCTATAGCACTCTTCCAGCTTCATAAGCGTTTCTGACAAAAGAGCCACGGGGGCGCATTTGAAAAATCCTTGTATCGGAGGCGCTAGCCGTAGTAGGTCTAAAGCCCTTCGCCGCAAGATTGGGTCACGACACCTTAACACAGTCATGGCGAGAGGGACACCCACACTCATCTCAAAGGTGAACGGAGGTTGGACACCATTTGGACATGCTGAAGCATCAAGAATTAACCTAGACTGAGCGACGATAGTAGCAAAGTCTGCAAAATGGGCGTCAAAAACGGTTTCTTGTTGCTTCAAGCATCCCGTGACACAAATCAAAGCAGTAGCATGATATGTAAGCAGGATAGGCTCTGGATATATCGGGAGAGTAGGTCTGGATCTGTTTCTTTGGCAAAGGTTGGTGTATGCTCGATGCCATTCAATGAGACGGACTCGGAGCGCTTCTTTTTTCGCGACCATTTCTGGGCTTACGGCGGCTTCGGCACCAACCTCCCTGAGGTGTAAGTTCGCCTCGCGCTCAAAGAGGATAACTTCCGCAGCTAGGACGGACATAATCGATCTTGCAGAATCGACAGATGCGAAACCAGCGCTCATGTCTGTTTCTATAAAGGCAAAAAGTTCAATAGGGAACTGAGTCCCCGAAATGGTCAGGGAACTTGTGCCGAGTCGTAGGAATAAGGGAACAATGCTGCGCTCCAACAGAACACCCTTACTGATAGATACTGCCCCATGTCCGATTTGTACACGGAGGTCAAGTATCAACGTGATACCCTGTCGATAGAGCTCCAAGGCCTGTTCCATATGTCCTTGGACTATCTCCACGCAGATAAATAATGCGCAGCTGATGAGTGCAATGTACGGATCTGCATTGCCTCGTTGGATCTGCGACGAAACACTAGAGACTGATCGCGTGTACCATGTCAATGCATCCTGCTGAGCATGATTAAGCAAATGTGCTTTTTTTCGGCGATCCCTCAAAAAATGAAAGTCCATGCACTGCTTCGGATTTTCATACAATGCGCTAATTGCAATGACTGCATTCCACACAGCCGGCTCACTGCGGCATATCTGAGGCACAACTCCTGTCCAGAAATCTACGTTCATTCCACCTGCCAAATGTTGGGATACATGCTGGAAGTAATATTCAAATGCGCGACATTCTCGTTGCCCTGCATTTTGAGAAAATGACAGTGTGTGTCCGAGTGTAAGAGCAAATGGCGTGGAGGGAGTCCAGAGAGTTTTCTGTCTACCCTCATATTCACATTTCCGTCCTGTGCTTGAGCACCGAAGGCAATTCGGCTTCTCCTCGCCACATTTGACTCTTCGGATTCTGGTCGGCGGTTAGAGCTTAAGTCTAAAAACAGCTGCGGAAACCTACTTGCAGGTTTTACACCCGAACCGAGATTTCACAGCCCCTATACGGCCGCCCATCTGAAGCAGATGGGTTAAGGCATAGAAGTTCGAATTCCAAGCCCTGGAGGTTCCCCGATGTGGTTACTAAGTGGAACTCCGGTCCACCTGTGGATGGCAGTAGATTCTTTCAAGCAGTAAATCCTGACCGCCTGGATCACCGCCTGCTTTCCTTGGTGATTACCAGCTCTATACAAGAGATTTAAAACATGTAACTCTTAAAGATCAAATATTTACACTGCTTTTACTAGATACACAACTAGACATTCTTTATATTTAACTAAATTGTTATCATATGGATCAAATAGAGTGGTATAATATCGAGACGTAAAATGTAGAGAATTGGTGCGAATCGAGCGATATGTATTGTTGATGTGTCAGATGTATCCATAACTCAAATACTTGTATTACAAACATTTTATGACATTGCGGGCAACATCCAAGGTGAGACTTTCAAGCAATGCGTATATGTATTATTTCTCCTTAAACAAACTTTCACTTGTATATCTAAGATCCAGAGTCATGCGAGCTATATAATTCTAAGCCACATTCACCTCTAAAGCTTCCAAGACCAATAGTGACAACCCCTTGAACGTGAGAGACGTCGACAGCAACTCCTGGAAGGGGATATTGAGACCAAACATCTTGAACAACCAGTTGCGTAGCTCAGCACCAATCATACTGTCCAACCCATATCCTCCAACGCTAGACCCCTCAAGGGCAAAGTCCTCCACTGACATCATCAAGATACCTGCACACCTCTGCATGAGGCACGCCGCGACCACATCCACTGCAGCATCAACACCATCACTTTGCGCAACCGCAACCGCCTGTGCTGCGACACCCCCTCGCCGCCATCCTTTGCGTCGTCGCCGTTCTTTCCACCAGATGCCGCCTCAACCAGCGCCTTCAGCCCAATGAACCGGCCATCTTCGACCCAGTCCAAATCGGTATTCTCGCGGGCAGCCGTCCACGCCCCGGCCAACCGGCTTGGGTCCAGACCCAGCAGGATACTAGCCTCCTGATACTTCAAATCCGACCGGGGCCGCGACGACATGGCGGCTTCAAACGTGCGGAGCAAGTCGCGCTCGTCGATTCCATACATACCGCGACGCGTGATCTTCTCCTCCAACGCATCGTTCTCCGCCACGACACCAACGCCTAGAACCATAGGCAACGCCACGGAGGTTGCAGCCAGACCCATATGGTTGCGCTGGCAGGCCAGGTTGTCCAAGAAGCTGTTAGCGGCGGCATAGTTGGACTGGCTGGGTTGGCCAACAATAGCAGAGATGGAGCTTGTCATGACGAAGAAGTCTAGCTCTTGATCCTTGAGCGCATGATGCAAAGCGAGCGCTCCATCTACCTTAGGCGTGATGGCTGCCTGGAACTTTTCAATGGATGTCTGGGGTCCGAAGATGCCGTCCTGGAGCACCATGGCCGCGTGGACAACGCCGCGGATGCGCTTGCCATCGGGCCCGGATGTGATGGCCTCAATGACGTTCTTTACATCAGAGACATTGGAGACATCGCCGCGGAAGATTTGGGGCTGTGCACCCGCCTCACGGAGAGATGACGTCAGTTGCGCGGCTTCTGGTTTGTCGTCTCCGGAGCGCGAGATGAAGGCAAAGTGCCGGGCGCCGCGCTCCATCATCCACGATGTGAGACTGCGGCCGAGACCGCCCAGGCAGCCAGCCAGTAAGTAGATGTCCTCAGAGGAAAAGCGAAGCTTTGGGGTGGATGGTGCAACTTCGACGATGTCACTATCGTAGTTGTATGTCATGATGAATCTGTCAGCGGTGATACTTGTGACGGAATTCACATCGTTTGTGCTGTAGACAAGCGCTGGTTCCATTGTGCTGTCAATGGATGCAACAGTCTCGCGCATGATCTTGCCCAGTGCGGCCTTGTCAATATTGAATGAGGACTGGACTGATGTCGCAGCGAAGCGTACACCGCGCGTGAATGGAGTGACGTCCGATGGGGCAGATAGGGCACCGTGGACATCTTCGCTGAGTACGAACCATCCACCGGAGGGCATTTCGCGCCACACCTTCTGGTTTCTATCGGAGAAGTCCTCGGCCACGACGACTAGCGAAGACCCGGCTGTCTTCATAACTTGGCGGATGTGAGACAGGCCCTCAGCTATCACGAGTGGGAAGTTCAGTGCCCTGCTAATCTGGGCGAGATCTTTGGAAAAGGCCTCCGATGAAGAAAGGAGGAGGACGTGCTTTTGCGTAATCGGGCCCGAGATGCTTGAAACAGCGTTAACAGCCCTGCACAGCCCTGGCAGCGCTGACACGAACTGATTCCCAACGGCAGGATCACACTGGACTGACAATGCCTCTGGAACTCGGACGATAGTCTGGAGTGCGTTCGTCACGTATGTCACCACCGTCTTCCCCAAGAGACCTTCCTCCACATTGCCTCCGACGTTGAGGACGGTGCCAGCAGCTACCCGAAGACCCTCGGCCGAAGCTTGCAGGTCTTGCTTGTATACCTCGCAGGAGGTGACCTGGACTTCGATCTCGTCCGGCTGGAGAGAAATGCCATCAAAGCGGTTGCTGTGGGCAAAGGTAATCTTACCTTGCTCAACATTGGCCTGGAGTGGTTGACCACTAGGCAGGGACATCTGCACCAGCTTCTTTTCATCGACGATCATTCGGGCGTTGAGCTCATCGTTCAGCACAATTCGACTGATATGGCATACACCTTGGTGTAGCCAGTACTCGTTTTCGGTCACCGATCCTGCGGCACCCTGACGGATAGACGCCAGCGCCTGTGCGATAGACTCAAACGTTTCGTTTTGGTCCACATCCAACCAGGTCAGCTTGGACATCTTCTGCTCCTCTCGAAGCACTCGCAGGAAACCGGGGACCATGCCACCATGGGTGGATGTGCACTCGTTGACTCCAGCCGTGATCCATGTGACAGATGCCCCAGACGGGATGATCTGTTTCAGTGCGTCGAACGAGGTCGTTTCCGGCTGAGAGAGGATGTTGGCATATGGGTTGAAGAGAATGAGCTCCTTGTCAGCGGCCAAATCCACCTCCTCGAGAGTTTTAATCAAAACCTCAGCACCCTGAAGCCGTAGAGCGTCTGCTAGGGCGAGGGGTGGAGCCGAATGGAGAGGGGAGTACACTAATTTGATATTATCGTCTGGGCTGCTGTTGCTGGAAGAGCCCTTCTCAATGAAACGGGAGACAAGCAACAATGTCTGCTCTGACGCGATTTTGGCTGTGACGAGGAAGCCTGCCTTTTCGATGCTAGCCTGGACCGTGGGTGCCACAGAGCTATCAATTGGGACGAGGGCGATGCCGGTAACACTAAGGACAGACTCCAGAGAAGCCCACATGTCGGATTCGGTCAGCTGCTGGGCATCCTCGCCCGCGATAAGTACCAGGCTTGTGTCCTTGACATTCAAGTTGGCTAGGTCCAGCGGTCCTTCTGGGATGACGACATTCTTGGTGCGCGAGGAATCTGTCGCCGACGTCTGCACCGCTGCCACAGAAATCTCAGCCGCCGGTGAAAGTGCACTCAGCACAGTCTCGAGATCGAGAGAAGTTGATGAATCGACCAGCAGAGCCGAAGCCACAGGTTCTTTGTGGCACAGAAGGGAAATGATGCTGGACAGCATGTCAGGTCCCAGGGGCACCTTCTGCAGCCCATGAATTGTGTAGTCGGGCTTCCATTCCACTGCGGCATAAGGTGCTGGTTTCGCAGCTGCCTCATCTCCTGGGGGTAAAGCAGCCTCGTATGCAACCGTATGGAGCCCCTTGATGTCGACGACAACCCGCCCCGTTGGGGTAGCTAACTGGGCATCGGTGTTGAAGTAGCGAGCGCGCTCACCGCGGACATCATTCCAAGCCACTGCCTGACCAACTGTGTTGGCAGCATCATCCGGACCAAGTATGGTAATTTCCTCGAACTTGATAGGCACAACACCCCATGGCATTGTCTGATAAAGACCAGCGTGGATGGATATGATGCAGAGCTGCAAAAGGCAATCCACGGTGGAAGGGTGGAGCATGTAACGGGACTCATCCACCATACGTTCGCTGCTGGTGGCTAGCGGGATTTGTCCAACTGCCTGGTAGTACTTATCGTGCGTTCTGATCTTGTCTAGGGTGTCAAATGAGGTGCCGTACTCGAAACCCACGCTGCGGAAAGTGTCGTTCCACCGCTTACCTCTGTGTCGCTGGGTGAGAACCCCAGGGTTCACAGGGTGGGGGCGCACGTCCGCTGATTCAGGTTCAGAGACTGGAAGAATCGTGCCATCGGAGTGAATAGTCCAGTTGTTGTCGGTGCAGGACTCCACGGCAAAATAGTACGAAGGGGACTTAGACGAGGAGTTCTGGGCTAGTCGGAGCTGAATTTCTATGCCGGTGTCGGTGTCTGGGATAATCAGTGCGGTCTTCAGCTCAACATCGCGCAAGACTGCTCCCGACATATTGACACCTGTAATCTCACAGTGCTGACGGGCCGCCTCGATGGCCAGAGCAATATGTCCAGCGGCAGGGAACATATTGGAACCTCCCAGCTAGGTGTTCTAAGTTAGCAACTGTACCTTCTTCTGTCTTGTAAGAGACGAACTTACCTTGTGGTCCTGAAGCCAGGGGATGTCCCGGACTCGCAAAATATTCCGCCAGACCATTGCATGAGATGAAAGTCCGGGGATTTTGCTACCCAGCAGGTCGTGGCGCGCATGGGTGAGATGACGGTACTCGGCACTGACACGAGGCTCCGCCCAGTAGACCTTCTCATAATTCCACTGGTATGGAGGCAGATCGGCCAGGGTGAACGGACGCTTGCCAGAGGCCTTCAAGTCCAGCTGGAAGTCCAGGGAAGGACCGTCTAGCCGATTTACCCTCTGCATGTCCACGGCATATCCTGCGAGGAATAGCTCACCGGCTGTCTTAAGCAGGGAATGCGCCCCATCCTGGTTCCGGATTAGGGTAGTGACATATGTATAACTGGTGAAAGCATTTGCCTGGCAAATTTGCTTGAAGGGCCCGGACAGAGCTGAGTGAGGGCCCACTTCAACAAAACCGGTAATATCTCTGAGTTCCTCTGTCTTTGCGAGGGTCTGTACGGCAGTGTTGAATAGCACACGGCCGGTGAGATTGCGCGCCCAGTAAGCTGGAGTGATGTCTCCTGTAAGAACGGCTTGATTGGTGACGGATGAAACCATAGCCCTGCGCGGGCAGCGCCACTGGCGGTCATAGCCGTCCAATTTGCAGTAAGCATTAGTGACCAACTCAACCATGGGGCCGGCAACGGGCTCCATATGGGGCGAGTGATATGCCATCCCAGTCCGCAGCTCGCGGGCAAAGATTTTCTCTTCTGCGAAGAGGTCCCGCGCCTCATGTATGGCAGCCACTGGGCCACTGAGAGTAACGCTAGAGGGGGAGTTCTCGCAGGCAATTACGAGCTCCTTGCTGAGGCTGGCGAGATATACCTCGACCTCATCACGGCCAAGCCCCACCGCCATCATCGAACCACCAGCGGGTGCGTTACGTCCCAGTGAGTAGCCGCGGTAGTAAGCAGCGATGATGATCTCCGGAGCAGAGGCTAGACCAGCAGCATATGCCGCTGCGTATTCACCTGCTGAGTGACCAACAGTTGCAGTAGGAACAATATTCCACGATGCCAGGAGGTCCACGAGGGCGATCTGGGTGGCTACCAGTGTCGGCTGGGCAATGCTAGCATCGTTGATTCGGCTCGTCTCTGCCGGGGCCTTGAGCTCCTCCTCGATCGAAAAGTTAGGAGGATGATCGATCCCTTTGAGTACCCGATCCAAGCGTCGAATCGTGTGGCGGAAAACGGGGAAGGTCTCAGTGGCCTCTCGACCGAGACCTGCCCACTGCGCACCTTGTCCGGTGAAAATGAAGGCAAGATCGGAAATGGGCTTGGTGCAAGAGCCAAACTTGAAATTGGCAGTTTCCATATCAGATGCCGCTGTGGCCTCGCTAGCAACAACAAATGCCCGCTGGACGAAGCGATTGCGGTGGTTGTTTAGGGTATGCGCAAAGTCCGAGAGGTAGTATTGATCGACTACCTTGGCATGCGCCTCGATGTTGCGGATTAGGGTTGTCTTCTCGTGCGCCGACAAGGTGACAAGTAGTGGCCTGGTAGCTGAGTGATCGTAATTGGCCAGGGCCTTGCGGGCCCCATGCTGGTATTGCGGATAGAGTGCTTTCACCTCTTCTACAATGACATGGCCGTTTGTGCCACCATATCCAAAAGAGGAAACACTGGCCCGACGGGACTCAAATTCTTCAGGCCAAGGCAGGGTATCACGGTTAACCTTCACATTCCACTCTTTCTCGGGGATCTCTGGGTTAACTGTCTTCAGGCCAGCGACGCCAGGGATCAAACCGGTTTCCACCATCAATGCGGCCTTCATAACGGCGAAGATTCCACTGGCTGCTTCGCTGTGGCCAATGTTAGGCTTAACAGCGCCAATAATAAGGGGCCGATCCTCCGACCGGGTGTCATTCATCGCACTAGCCACGGCGCGGACTTCAATGGGGTCTCCCACTGGCGTACCGGTTCCGTGGCATTCAAAATAGGCAGTCTGGTCTGGATCGAGATTGGCGCGCTTGTATGCGGCGCGGATGACCTTTTCTTGGCCCTTCATGTTCGGATAAGTGATACCATAGCCCGGAACCTTACCATTCGTGTTAACAGCTGAAGAGCGAATGGCAGCTCGAATAATGTCACCATCGCGGATAGCATCACTCATTCTCTTCAGATACAGAGCGCCAGCACCCTCGCCACGGCCGTATCCATCGGCAGCAGCATCGAACGTATGACAGAATGAGGTTGGTGAAAGCACACCCAGTTTGGCTGTGTTCATATGCTGATCGACCGTGAGGATCAGGTTGACACCACCAACTAGAGCCGCTTGGCAATCTCCAGCACGTAGTGCATGGCAAGCATGATGAATTGCGTATACTGACGAGGAGCATGCGGTATTTATAGTGAAGCTTTAATTGCATTAGTTCGGTCCATATGTCTGTGAGGCATACATCCTACCTCGGCCCATTTAAGTCAAAAACATTCCCCACCCGGTTACTGATAATACCTGGATCAACACCAGTGGCCGCATAGCTGTGGCGGAAGTCCGGATCCCGGAAGGTCATCTGCTGATAGTCGGCAGTGAAACTACCAATGAATGCACCTGTGTTGGTACCGGACACCTGTTCCAGGGTGAGACCGGCAGACTCGAGGGCCTCGTAACAGACCTCGAGGATCTTTCGCTGCTGTGGGTCCAACCACATGGCCTCGACAGGGGTCATGTTGAAGAATGTGGGATCGAAGTTCTCTGCACGGCCGTCGAGGAAGTAACCACCGCCCACATTCATACTGCCCGGGCGCTCACCATTCTTGTGGAGGTGGGCATCAATATTGAACCGGGACTCCGGGACTCGCATAGTGTTCCCGGCGCCTTTCCTCAAGAGCAGATCCCACAGGGCAGAGGGGGAGCCGACATTGCCAGGGAGGCGGCAGGCTGCACTACAGTTAGTGGAAACCCCAACTTCTTTTGGATTCAAACTTACCCATGCCACAGATTGCGATGGGCTCGAGGCTGACATCTTCAGCCGGAGGAGTGTCGTGTGCGTAAGGCATGGTAACTTAATCGGAATGAACGAGGTATGATGGAGCGTCTGGATAGGAAGTGACTATGGGAACACTTGCTTCTATATCTAGTTATTTGGCAGCCTCCCAAGAGCCATCTGCTTACTACCCCTCCTCATTGTAGCGATAGCGAGGCTGATTCCACCCCGGTGTTCTCCGTACTATGGCGATGCCTCGGATGGATCGGTTAGTCCGCCGAGTGCTAGGTAATATTGACCTTTTTGCGCGAGAGCCCGAGATTGTAGGCCGAAGGCTCGACGGGTCTAATTGCTGACCCGATTGTCAACTCGGATATCTTACGAGGTTGAAAATAGTGATATGTTGAACCCTAATCTTACCTTCATCGGCCGCTCGGCCGCTCTCGCACTTAGCCTCATGTGGATCATCCGCCCCCATCTAACGGCCCCCATCCAACGTCAGAAACCCAACCCGCACTTTTAATTTTATAGTATCACATCACTAAACGTTGGGTATTGAACCATTTCGTGAGTTCAAGCGAGGGAATCTCATCCACGAAAATGGGAACCTCCTGGAGCAAACTTGCCTCCTTCCAGAAGGACCCCAAGCCATGTCACTACGATGCGATCATTGTTGGCGGAGGCTTGTCTGGACTTGTTGCCGCTCGTCGTCTCAGTGAGTTAGAAGACAAGAGAATTCTCCTCATCGAAGCGGGTGCGGACCGTCGAGGAGACCCAAAGATTGATACCCCAGGGTTACTATTCAGTCTTTGGGGTGACCCAGCCTATGATTGGAATTTCTGGAGTGAACCTCAAGTAAGAAATCTGAAACCAGTAAATAACGTATAATCCTAATTGGAATGCATAGGAACGCTTGAATGGAAGACAGATCCCCCAACCCAGGGGTAAAGTGCTGGGAGGATCTAGTGCCATCAATGTGGCCGCCATCGTTTATCCTACGCCCCGAAATTTCGAGGCCTGGGAGAGACTGGGGGTGCAGGGATGGTCTTTCGACACCTTAGCACCATATTATAAGAAGTTCCATACCTTTCATCCAGCATCCAAGGCAACAAACGATCTGCTCTCCCTGGACTCGTACGTAAAAGTTGATAACCAGGGTGCTCAGGGTCCGCTTCCCATCAGCTTCCCCGATGTCTACGGCCCTTTCCATAAGGCCTGGATTGCAGCATTTCGCAACCTTGGGTTCGAAAATGGCCAGGATCCGATTCTTGGAAGAAAGCAAGGGGCGTTTATGCCTCCAAATACTGTTGATCCTGGAACGCACCAACGATCCTACGCGGCTTCGGCTTATTACTCCCCAGAGATCGAGGCGCGACCCAACCTGCACTTGATCACTGAAACGGCTGTGCACAAACTGCTCTTCAGTACTACATCCCAAACTGTCACTGCGACTGGTGTCCAAGTATATGGGAAGGACGGCCAGCTATCCGAGTTTACCGCAGATGAGGTGATTCTGGCTGCCGGGGCCATCCAAAGTCCTCAGATCCTGGAAAACTCGGGCATTGGGTCTGCAGCAATTCTTGGGCAGCATGGAATTGATGTGGTAATCGATAACCCTGGTGTCGGAGAGAACCTGCAAGATCATTCATTCGCCAGCGTTTCATTCGAGGTCGCCGATGGCCAAATTACCAACGACATGGCGCGAGACCCAGCAGTGATTGAGGGTCTACTGAAGCAATATGGGGAAACTCGTACGGGCCCTTTGTCCGGCATACCATATGGCCTGGCGTATGTGCCATCAGTCGACACAGGCGGTCGCATGTCCTCTGAAATAGGGCAGTCCCTCATTGACACGCACCTCAACCTATGCGATCCGTGTCTTTCCCTTACTCACAAAGCACAGTATGAGGAGTTGGCAAATATGATGGTGGACCAGAAGGAGAATACCTTCTGGTACGGCATCACTCCATCTCAGATGAACATGGAGCCGCATGGCAGCACCAATATGACTCAGGTTTATAGTCCACAACGGCCTGAGAATTTCATCACACTGATGGCGGGACTCAATCACCCTTTGTCGCGTGGCAGTGTACATATCAGTAGCGCTGCTATTGGCTCTCCACCGCGAATTGACCCGGGCTACCTATCTCATCCGCTTGATGTTGAAATGTTGGCTCGTGGCATTCAATTCTTGGAGCGTATCGTCGATGATCTACCAATGAGACAACTTTTGAAACCTGATAACCGCATACCGTCTTACGCATCTAACCTATCAGAGCTCGAAACGGCTAGACAGGTTGTGAAAGACAGGCTGTGGACATCATATCATCCCTCCTGTACCTGCCCTATGATGCCACGGGAGAGCGGAGGTGTGGTCAACAATCGGTTGTTGGTACATGGGACAACTAATGTAAGGATCATCGATGCCAGTGTCTTCCCTATGATCACACAAGGAAACATCCAGGCTACTGTGTACGCAGTAGCTGAGCGTGCATGTGACATTATCAAAGAGGATTGGGGTGTGATAGATCCAGCCTCATAAATATAAACCCACCTTACGCGATTCACAGCACAATCATATCTATTTTTTTCTGCTATTACTCCTGTCCGTATTGTGCTATTTGAATGAATTGAAGGTTTATCGAAGCACACCTAGTGTTAAGACTAATATTTTCAATGGTGAAGATACTATGTTTAATTACTGACTGAATATTCTAGGTCAATATAAAGCCAGAACAGTTGGTATCTCTAAACGCTTTTCTGTCCAATATACATAGGCAGGTTCAAAGGCATCATGATACCTCATAACTAATAAATTGATAAAGCTCAACTGGTTTATTGTGTAAGTCTTCTATATTTCAATGAAACTCCATGTTCAACCAAGCAGTTCGTAGTTTGGCAGACCCTAGCCTAAGATTCATCAGGTGCTATGTGTATTAGACCCTGGTGTTTTCCAATTCATGCGTTGTCATAAATGATCCAGAGCTACTGAGAATCCTGGAGCACTTCCGTCTGTTTCTCCCGTCTCTGTTTCGTGGCATATTCTTCACGAATAAAATCCTCCCGTACGTACAAAACTGCTGTAATCATGGCACCGGGACTGAAGATCATACTAGCCAGACTGGCGATCAAAATTCCCCCAACACCGAAGAATGTAGAAGAGCCACTTTCTCTAGAGCTGTACATACCCTGCGCTACACGGCTAGCATAGATGCTGCAGCCGAGTACAACGAGGATGAAATCCCATTGGAGGAAGAATAAATGCTCCTCCACATAGCGCCGCGCTGCCGCCTCGGGGTTCCAAAGATTTTGAAAGGCCGGAAAGAACAACCTCGACAGTGAGAATGTTGGGTCGGATGAGAAAGTCACACGCAGAATCACACCAATATGAGCCAGCACAGAGAATATTCCATACACCGCATATATTGCTTTAATCCAGGGAGCATCCGAGTTGGACGGAAGCCGGGATTCTTCTTCCTTGCCGGATGAGATATATTTAGCAATTCCAGCAGTCAGGATGTAGGTGGCGAATGGTCCAAGTTGGTAGAATGCGATGAACATGTGGAGCTGCGCCTCCGTAGTGCCACTTGGAGGAAAGTACACATTGCGATACGGAAGCACCATGGCTAGCAATGTCGCCGGTAGAAGAGCCTTTGCATCGTAGTAGGAAATGCTGGGGTCGGTGCGGTTGCTGGAGCCGAAATGCTGCGAGAGCTCGACGAAGAGATAGAAGGGGAAAAATATGGCCGTACCCAAGTATTGCCACAGGAACACATATATCGGGACCACTCGAAGAAGTGTATGTTTTTCGCCCCTGCGCATGCTCTCAATTGTCGCCCAAACGGCGAATGTCTGCAGAGGGGCGCAAAGCATGATCGACTGGAGCCGAAGAATCGGGAGATTGGTCGCGACAGGATCCCAGAAGCAGACCGAGATTGCGAGTATCTGGTCAATGATTGGCAGGCCCGTGTATAACTGGTGCAGGTACTTTCCGTCGGCTAATGTCTGTGTCCAGACGGGCTTTAACATGGCGAACAAGCCGCCATCGACCATCAGGATGCCTTCCAGGAGGATGGCAGCCAGAATAGTGAGAACGATAAACGGGACTCGAGCGGAATCCACTGAGTAATGCATTTTTTTTTTCCAGTTCGTTTCTGAATGTGATGAGTATGCGTGATGATTTGAGGTGCTTTTAGATGCCTTCTAAAGAGGTATATTTAGGGCTGATCAGCCTTCGGGAGCTCGGCCGACGCCCCGTAATACAAATAACCCTGCCGGAAATCCGGCCGCTAGGGCCGCCATTTGGGCGTTGTTTTGCATGTATTAATATATAGTTAGTATTTTTTAGTTCCATATCTTCTTTCTGTGTGTTCTGGCATTCGTTCGCTTTGAACTCAATCGGCGTGGAAGACCATCACCCTATCCAACTATGGCGTCCGTCCTCAACCATACTCCTGCCAGACAGCTCTGGGATTGGGTCTCGGGTCAAAATGGCGTGCCTCCAATCGGTGATCCTAGAGCTCCAGAGAGTGACGCCAAGGTAGCAGATATTGAAAAGGTAGCGGTGTCATCGCAGACATCTTCACAGTCAGGAGAAGCCAACGACCTTGTGGATTGGGATGGGCCGGAGGACCCAGAGAACCCTCAGAACTGGTCTACAGCTAAGAAGTCATTTGTCTTCTTCCAGATATGCCTCTTGACCTTCGCTAGTATGTCTCAAACTCCACTCACGATATTATAACAAAAATTGATCATCTCCCAGTCTACAGCGGGTCGGCCATCATCAGCCCGGCAGAACCCATATTCATCGAGATTTTTGGCATCTCACGCCAGGTATCTACGCTAGTTATGTCAATGTTTGTCCTAGGATATGTAAGTTTATTCTCCATGTTGTGTAACCCCTTTTCCTTTTCGCTTGTATTAACAATCACCAGGGAATGGGTCCTCTTTTCTTCAGCCCTCTATCCGAAGTCCCTCGGGTCGGCCGCAATATCCCGTATATGACATCCTTTTTCCTCTTCATCATGATGACGGTAGCCGCATGTCGCGTAACGAACTATCCTGGCCTGGTCGTTCTCAGGTTCCTCCAAGGTTTCCTTGGTGGCCCTGTTCTTGCAACGGGTGGTGCATCTGCCTCCGATATCTTCGGTTTTCATAAGATCCCATACGGTCTGACTTTTTGGACTTGCGCTGCCTACGGCGGTCCGGCACTTGGTCCCCTGCTGGCAGGCTTCTCCGTGACAGAGAGCGGCTGGAGATGGTCCATGTACGAGCTGCTCATGTTGAGTGGCTTTACTTTCATATTGTTGTTCTTTGGTCTCCCAGAGACAAACCCTGAGACCATCCTGCTCTACCGAGCCCGCCGACAGCGAAAAGCCACAGGTAATATGAAGCTACGCTCACAGTCAGAGATCAAGCAGGGTGATATCCATATCTTGCAGATCATGGCTACCTACCTCACGACTCCTTTCCGTGTGACAGTCCAAGACCCGTCTGTTTTCTTCATCAACTTGTACACGGCTCTAATTTACGGAATCTATGTACGTTATTTGCAACAGCCATTGGAGATCCCGCGCTAATATTGGCCACTTGCAGTACTCGTTTTTTGAATCGTTCCCTTTGGTGTACGTCAACATGCACGGCTTTTCTCTGGGTATGATGGGAGTCGTGTTCCTCTGCATCATTGTTGCTTGCATTATTGGAGCAGGTACCTATCTCCTCCTGGTATGGTTCGTCTACGAGCCCTATACCATGAAAATGGGAATTGGAAAGCCTGAACATCGACTGCTACCTGGTGTCTTTGCTGCAGCCCTGGCTCCTTGTGGGTTATTTATCTTCGGCTGGACAGCTCGGCCTGATATTCACTGGATTGCGCCTACCATTGGCATTGTGGTCTTTTCGTCCTGTGTCTTCATTGTAGGTAACCCCCCTTTCCATTGCTATACGCTGTGAACGCAACTGACTCACGAAGCTTGCCAACGTCATCTTTATTTATCTTCCAACCACCTATCCTCGCTATGCAGCGAGTCTTTTTGCGGCGAACAGTAAGTGGCATCACGTCCGTCCGCCTGTACAGAGAAACACAAGCTAACAGGATCACGTCAACAGCCTTCCTTCGAAGTGTCCTTGCCTGCACTGCCATCCATTTCTCTCAGCCCCTGTTCGATAATCTTGGCATTGGAAAGGGATGTAGTGTGCTAGGTGGTCTGACAGCAGGTTGTTTCTTTGGAGTTGTGGCATTGTGGCATTTTGGTCCCACTCTGCGGGCTCGCAGCCGGTTTGCGGAGTCATACTAAACTCTTAGGAGTACTATCCTCCCAGGATATATCCATTCGAGCTGAAGCTCATTGGGGAAAGGTAGGGTGATGCACCTTTCACCGATACATAGGCTCGCCATCTAAATTAATTCTGGAATGGTTCCACGACAGAATACGGCATACTGGTTACTGTCATCTATATAAGAGGGGAAATAAAAGTATTAATCGAAAGAAAATGAGTAATTGGGTATTTCCCCCAAAAGAAGGTTGTTTGGTCTAAGTAGTCCGTGTCAAGTCACTCAAGTGGATGTCCCAGATATAAAGGGCCAAGACCAATGTATCCCAGAATGGATGTATTGTAAGACGTCTTATATTGAAACTATAGAATCAGAGTGAATAATATATGGCGGAGTAGAGCTCCGCAAAGCCCAAGGATTCAGAAGTTGAACTCCCTCGTAGGGTTTTTTAAATTACAGATGTTCACTTAGAAAGTAGTAGCAGTCCTGTTTAGATCCTAAATATATAACTACCAAGCAGTAAAACAACATTTTTAATAGTATCTCGACCTCTACTGGTCGGATTCTCTTTAAAATTAAGATATATACTTATATAGCTACTGTTATTATTTAGGAAAAAGATCAGAATACAATATTGCATTCAATTGAACATCCGGAGTAGCGACCTGAAACATATATTTACTATATTGCGTACAAAAATAAACATGTTCGCATGCATAACACTTGAAATTCATGTGAGAAGGGGTCTTCACACAACATCCACCGGAACTCCTGTAGCTTCTTCAAGTCCTTCACGAGGAACGGTCAGGATCTCCATGCCCCCAGGACACATGAAGCTTTCGTCACCTGGCGATCGGGCATCGAAGCCCAAGTTCAGCCCCAACCCCTGGGACAACTGTTCGTGAATGAGTCCAAGTAGCAATCGAACACTCTCCTCCCGGTGATACGACTCGTTATAGATCAGCTCAATCACCAACTGACCCCTAAATGTCCACATCTCCACCGCAACGTTGGGATAGAGCATATCCAACGAGATCCACAAATCCTGAACTTCTAGGGTGGAGCGCGCACCCGGCTCCTGTGATTGATAGACTGAATCTATATAATTATCCACGATACCAACACTAGATAGCTGGAGATCGGCAGCCACGGGCCACTCCGGTGGTAAAGGCGCCGATAGCGTGGCAGGAATATCCGTTGCCCAGAATGGACTCGCGGCTCGAAGCAGATCATCCTTCTTATAATCCAAGAAGACCTGTCTCGCCATTTGTGCGGTTTCAACAAACCCCGGGGCAATTGGGAAAACACCCGGCATACTGAGAACATTCGGGCCTACTAGAGTGGAGTGATCATAGACCGCCGGATCGATGTACTCGCGCGCGCTGTAGATCGCAAAGGTCGAATGCGTCGTGTTGGAGACTTGCCCATGAATCCGAGCAGCGTGAGACATAGCGGCTTGGGCCGCGGCAGTCACGGAAAATCCCAGTGCTTTGGACTTGGAGGCAATGGCGGCGGTTTCTTCACGGGAGAAGGTAAGCCATTGCATTTTGGCGGTTGTTGCGCGCGCGCCTCTGTTCTCATTATGCACCCGGACCGTTGGGAACTGTGAGAGGAAATTCTGCAGATTGGCATCCCAGGCCTGCTTTTGGGATGGTGTGTATGGCTTCACGTTGGCCATGGTGGTGAGTGGAGGCGTCAGGTTCGATCCCTCCGTGCCAAACGGCCGATCAAGATGGTCTTCGGGACCAACGAGGAGGCGCATCAGATGGTTAAAGAAAGTGACCATACCAATGCCATCGACATGTGTATGAGGAGCTTGTAGAACGAGCTCTTGCGTGTTGGGGAGCACGTGCAGTACCACACGTTCGCTGGGGTTGGTTTCAAAGGGGAACAGCTGTCGAGCGCTGCGCTGCACGTAATGCACATGGAAGGTCTCTTCCAGCCAGGTAGAAAGCTCTTCACCATGTCCAGCCAGGCGATACACCCAGCGATCGTTTTCTATGACAGCCGCATAGGACGGGAAGTCATGTCTCAGCGCTTTCCAGGCTTCACGCACGTCTGCGACAAAGTGGTTTCTGTGAGTGTCGACCTTTACCGCAGTCGTGGTATACCAGTTTTGTTTGTCCGGTCGGCCCTGACCAGCGGCTGCAATGAAGCGAAAAAATGTTTCGAAGTCGTCAATCTGACGCTCATACGTGGACGCTGATGTCTGCGTCCACTCGAGAGTCAGGCTGCGCTCTTCAACCGACATCGTGTTGTATAGAGAATTGTACGTTGGCTGCACAATTTTCACATTCAAGAAGACTTGAATTTTTGATTTATGACTGTCTACATGATCTCATGCTTATGGCTTCCATTCACTGATGTCGACTGTAAGCGTTCGCGCCGTCGGCCGATGCCCCGAAGGAGGCTTATCGGAACGGGATAGATCCATGTCCCTCGTTGGCGGGGCCGCTGCCGATCGAGGCTGTGGCAGCCAATGCTAATCATACGACTTGTTCAAGTATCTCTAGTTTCAGATGTCAGGATGCAGGTCTGCGACAAGGGTATGTGGACCTACAAATGAACAGCCGTATGGCCTGTAAATCACAGTAAATAGAATATTTACGGGACACCATCCCCCGAAAGAAATCATGTCTATAATATCTGATCGTCCCTTCCGTATTATTATTGCGGGTGGAGGTGTAGCCGGCCTGGCTATGTCGCATGCGCTCGTTCGCGCTGGCATCGACCATGTGGTGTTAGAGAAGGGAGTCGTTGCCCCCGACTGGGGGGCAAGCATTTCCCTCTGGGGTAATGGGTCTAGACTCCTTCATCAGATTGGATGTCTCCAGGCTCTTGAAGCTGAAGCACTGCCGTTAAAAATGCTTCATGTGCGCAACCCTGCCGGGAAGGCGTTCAACGCAGAACCCTTTTTCGATATGATGCGCGAAAGGTAGGAGATCCCGGAGAAACACAGCTTTCGGCCAAGTACTCATGTGTATAGAAATGGCTTTGACGCAATTACTATGGAGAGGAGGAACTTTCTCCGAATTGTCCATGAGCAGCTCCCGGATAAGTCCCACATCGTAACGGGCAAGCGCGTGGTAGACGTCGTCGACAACGAGGACGGCGTTGTTGTGAAACTGGACGACGGTACTACTGAAGAGGGTGATATCCTCATCGGTTGCGACGGCGTTCACAGCACGGTTCGAGAGCTCATGTGGCGCAATGCGAATGCCAGTATCCCGAACTATATCAACACAGAAGAGAAGAGATGTAAGTAGCCTGGGCATTATGTGGGCACATAGTAGCTCTAACAGATATCATAGCACTGGTTACCACGTACAACTCTCTTGTTGGTGTGGCAAAGACCGTTCCAGGTCTTGGAATACGTGACATGCATTGGGTATGCCATCCTTATCTCTCATTCCTCATTCTCACCCAGCCGGACCAAACCTACTTCTTCGTCAACTGGAAGTTGCCACAGAAGATGCGATGGCCTACCAAGGCTAAATGGTCCAAGGACGAGGCTGATAGGGCGGCCGCATCCGTGGCCGAATTACCCATCAGTGACTCCGTGGTACGTAGCAATGTTGCTCCCTCCAGAGAATAAGCTAATCTGACTCTCATAGGTATTTGGGGAGTTATGGAAACACAAGATCCGTGCGCATCTGATCGGTCTTGAAGAGGGCATCTTCAAACACTGGCATTTCGGTCGATTGGCCTTAGTCGGAGACTCCGTTCACAAGGTTGTATCTACAATAAAGCACTCTACAACACTATAACTCGAGCTAACGTGATACGCAACAGGTGACTCCAAATTTTGCCCTCGGGGCAAATTGCGCCTTGGATAGCAGCGCGGCTTTGTTGAATGAGGTAGTTAGTCTCGTTAAAAGTGGCCCAGAGGGCACCCGACCCTCACGATCAGCCATATCCGCTGTATTCGAGCGCTATCAAGAATCCCGAAAGCCACGTATGCAGCGTGCATTTGACGTCTCCCACTTTCTGACCCGGATTCAATCGTGCGATGGCCCGCTCAATCACTTCATTATGAGGGTCATCTTCCCTCTCACCGGCCAGGCAGTGTATGCCGATCAACTCGCCGACTTGTGCGCCGGCGCCCCGAAGTTCAACTTTCTACCCATGGAATATCCAAACCATTCCACTGTCGCTTGGAAGGATGAGATCGCGGGTCAAAACAAGGGTTCTGAGACAATTCAGCTGCTCAACAAGCGAGGGGGCAAGCCTCAGCGGTATGTTACCATGGAGCTTGTATCGCTGCTATTTATTTTGGTCCTTTTCTTTACGCTTTTTGCTCCGGGTCGGGATCTCACAGTGTCTGAGTCTACGTATTTGCTGGGAAGGAATATATCCGCTGAGTAGAATACTACGGAGGCTTATAAATAGACCACGGAGTTACTATTTATACCACTACAGGCGAACTATGTGTATAAACACGTATTTATAAAATAGGTCAGCGTGCGTATATCCTGTATTCCTACTGGTCACTAGGCATTAAGCTTGAATGAAGACGAAGAGATGAATGATTAAAGGTGTGATCTAAGATATATTCCAAATCATGTCAGACTCATTACGCTCCCCTAAAAATGCTACCACCCAAATGTCTAAGTCTAGTGATACTCTTGTCTAGCGCTCTCTCATTCTAAAGACTCATATCCTGCTACCCTGACATCCGTTTGTTTCCAAACTCGGTGGAAAATCGGTTCCCAAACTGCGTACGGTCCAAGTACTCCCGACATTCCCGGATGCCAACATCGTATTGACACATGCCTTCCTGGAAAGCATCCATAGCACCACATATCACTTCCATTGAATGCCGAATCTCTCGGTTCATATAATACATGCCCATCCCACTGCCCTGCGCAGAATTCCGCACAACAGACAGTTGAAACTCGGCCGCTAGCGCCAGAGGGCGCATGATAATTACGCTCATGGCCCGATACATGGGGACCTAGAAGCTATCAGCACTGACAGGAAACCGGGAGCCTGCAGAAAAAAAATTACGAGGTACGCACATGAGCAGGATTCAATACGTCTGCCTGTAGCAGTACGTCACACATAGCATTTGCTGCCAAGACACCCGTTTTCTCACTTTCTCCCACCACGGGCCCTAGGAAGGATGCCTTTTTCACGTTCACAATGGCTGCCTTGTAAAGGGTGATGCGTGCACCGAAGGTGACGACTAGCGTCAACACGCGCAGCTCTTTGTCCGGCTCCGTTTGCAGAGAACATCCGGATAAAGCGGAAAGTATCATGCCGATCATATTCTCGATACGTTCGTGGGCGAGACAGAAATTGTAGTCTGGGGCGCCTTTGCCCGAAACATTTGCTTCGGTCATTCGGTGGTGTTGCTCAGTGAATGCAGCCAGTCGCATAGCGAGGACAAATATGGCTAGAGAAGAGAGTTTGTTGTTTTTAGGGTGTGTGGCTGCTTCTGATAGGAATATCTGAGGGATATCTTCGTCACCCTCTGTCCAGTCGCAGGGGAGTGCGGTGTGGATCTATATTCATTGTCAGCCAGGTTCTATAGGGAGTCCAGACGCTTGGGTTCGATACATACAGTCTTTATATCGATAGGCTCACACCGCGGGAATATAGTGGATGCGTGACAATGAAAGGCATATGCAATCCATAACGTGTTTCGAGACTCGTGGATCTTATGTAAATTCTGGAGGGGATCGTCTTGTGTTCTTCTACGATCGATGATATCAAGTTCAAGCAAACGAATGAGTTGCATAAGCCGGGCCATGGTAATAATGGCTCGTGTGGTATCTGTCCGTGTGAATTCGTAGCGAGCAATCAAGATTAATGTTTGTGCAGTTTCGAGGTTCAAGAAGGAGGAGTTTCCCATGTGCGTCTCCGCCATTTCAAGATGGGATCTTGCGGCAACATAGTACTGATGCTCAAGATGTAATGTCGTATTACGTGCGCCCGCCCCAGCCATGGCAACGGCATATTTCAATGCCTGATGCTGATTTAATGTAGCGTATGCGGTCTCCTGAAGGAACTCTGTGGTGTCGATGAGGGGCATTTGTCTATGCACTATGTCGATATAGTTATGAAAACTAGGAATTGTGAGAAATGCGATACTAATGGTGATCTGGGGCAAAAGACATACAGTTGTTCTGTGGTTGCTGGTGATATCTCGCCCACCTCGTTTCTCAGGTCGGGATGCGCATTCTGCTGCATAGTCCGCTGGGCTATATGAAGCGGTTCTGAGGGCCATGGGGCCGAGTCACCATAGCCTGATGAGATAGATCGAGGGGCACTAGAATTTAGAGTTTCGCATTGGTTACTGCTTTCGGTAGAGACATCTCGGTCAAGCAACCCATCTAGGGGATCAAAGTCCATAGCATGGTCCCTATCACATATCAATCATATCAGTATCCGTTCCGCCCTGATTCCAAATTAAAATAAAAGGGTTTGTACACTCTTACCAAGACTCCAGATCAGGTGGTATAACGAGATCTCCCAACGTGGTCTCGGTGGTTACTGGTAGTGCCTGGGGAGGGCTGTTGTTGCTTCTAGAATTCAAAACAGGTCCGACCAGTTCAACAGGAAAGGCCATATCCTGCTTATGCAACTTTGACTCTGCCAGGCCTATGGAAAGTCAGTAGCTCCTCGGTATACTATACTCAGGATACATACGCAGTCGTGATTGTAGACTTCTGAGCTCGGAGTTGATGCGTGTCACCTCCCCACTAGCTGATGGGTATGCACATGTTTGACCCGTCCTTTTGCACCGACCACACTGGGGTTTACCCCTGTCACAGCGTACTTTGCGCTCTCGGCAGAGGTCGCAGGTGGTGCGTTTTAGGTGAGACAGATTTGTGAAGAGTTGCAAGCTGGGTTCAAGGGTAGAGGTATTGGTGACAGAGCGGGGATCCATGAGTGGCTATGTGTCATATAAATGCACGAGAAGCTAAGGCGTGTTTAATTCCTTTTGGCGCAGACCCCTGGTTTGAGGGATAATCCTAGACTGAATGCTCATCCTATATAAGTATTAGGTGTGCTCGGCGGCCCCCAACACAGTACCTATGAATCATGCGTGCGTGTCTTACATTAATAACTTCTCTCGAACTGGGGGCGACGCTTTAAACTCTGATAGGCCTTGATAGGTGGACTGCTGAAAGGATTTTTTGGTGTGGTTTTAGGGTGCAGTTGCATTACAAAAGTTGGCGCAGCGTTAGATCATAACGCTAAAGCCAAAAGAGGAATAAGGCAGGGGTTTACGAGGGCAGCTGGGCCAATGATTCGAATTATCAGCCAGAAGATGACACGTGATGATTACCCTCCAAAGTGAAAAGTGAGAAGTGAGACGGGCCAGCAATCATAGTATTACAGGAAGAAGAATGCGCTCGTCTGTATACGGAGTACGGAGCACACCACAGTACATCACGGGCGCTTGCATTAGGACCAAGAACTCTGCGGCTGAGCTTATACCTCTCGTATGGATTACATCTGTATGCATGTACGGAGTACATTAATAGTAGCACTGGCGAAGGCCCCCATGGATTCAATGTTTATGCCTGCCTTTCATTACCTTACTAGTTCCATATTACATTCGTACTTTTTACCTCCTAATATAGAAAGGTGTTCACACCATGTTAGTATTAACCTATGAAAAGAATTGGATAAAAAGCCATAGAAATGATACAAATGGTAGAAATGATAGAAATAAGCCAGATCGGATATGAAGTCCGATGGTTTTCCTTGTCCACGAGCCCACGATCTACCTACCTACTTACCTACTTACCTACCTAACTAGGTAACTAGGAGGTAACTATGGAGTACGGGTAGCGGGCCCGCCCGCCTCACAGATCGCTTACTATAGTATACGCCTTCCGAGGTCCAGGCAACATAGGTACTTAGGTAGAAATCAAACGCTAGTCTCAACCTTCTCGTACTAAACAATGAGTAAAATAAAATGGATATAGCTAATAGAGAATAGGTCAGAAGAGAAGTTCATCTATTCCCTAGTGAGCGCTGCTACCGCTATAATTCAAGAATATACTTAGTAGTAGAATTCCCATGTGGATGTCTACTCCTTACATATGTACTCCGTACATATACGGATGCACCCGTGGACCTATTTAGGTAGCTAGCTAACTAACAGCTAACTAGCTTGATAAGTATGTAACCAAGTGACGATATAAACGAAAACTATAAAAGTATATAGCCCCCGGGGCTGGGCCTCGGGGTCTGGTCAGATCCGCGGGGAATCCCGGGGGATCCGTGCACCCCCGCCAAGATATCTCACTCCACCCCTGGAAGCCCGCAATACCCGCAAATTCCTGTCGATCTCCCAAATCATATCGCGAATACCTTTCCCGCTCTGTCAGCGCTAGATGTGATGGAACGTGCTTTAACTTTGTCCCTGTACTACCAACTTACGGAGTACTTTGTACAGCATTTGGATGATATTCGAAACACGTGTTCAGCCGCACTCGACCTCGGGATGTTCTGGACCGAGATCGGCAAAACTGTCTTATCTGCCTCCAATTAGTTTTACCTTCATCACGCCAACACAGACAATCTCATGCACGAAATCATTGGACTGCAAATGGTGCATTAATTGATCACACCCTCATTCCCCATGCGTTTCTTGTTTATGGGAAATCTCGAATCTTACATATTTTCTACACAGAATGAACACTCGGACTAGCCCAATGGAGGGAATAGGAGGATATCACCTACATGGAGGTTATAGTAGCTAGTTAAATAGTTGGTTAGTTAGTTAATTTTACCTAAGTTGGTAGTTATTACGCTGAGATAACTACCAATGATATGAATGATACAACTCAACCCACAATTTTAATTATTTCACCGCTAGATGGCTGCCTAGTGGTAGACTTCCTCTCGTAAACATTTGGGATTTTCTTTCCTCACACCGAGTTACGCAATTTCTCCTGCATGAATTCTAGACTCACTGCACGTGCCTCTTCAGCAACTGGCAGACCAGCAAATGCAGTGAAACCATGAGTCGCACCAGGGTAGATCTTGACAATCGCCTCCCCACCGGCAATGCTCCACTTCGAGCTCATCAAGATGGTCTCATCAAGCAATGGATCCTCCGTCCCACAAAGGAAGAGAGCGGGGGGGCAACGATCCCACGGAGGAGGCAGCAACCAGTGCGGGGAGGTCCTCGTATAGTGGGGACACACAAGGATGTTTGCGCTCGGCAGTGCTCATGCCCGGCACATACGCGCTATTGAACCGCTCCATGATTGCCAAATTGATCATGAGAGGCTTAGTCGAAGTTGCGATCGTCGGAAGCCCAAGACCTAGATCAAATAAGCCGTAAGGCAGAACGAGACCCGTCAATTTGAAAGACGGCCGTGATCGTAATAAATGTAAGGCTGATAGAGTGGCGAGACAGCCTCCGGCTGATTCTCCACCGATAAATTGGAGGGGGCCGCCATACACCTCCACCGCATGGTCCACCATGTACTCGGCGGCATCGATGGCATCTTGTACCGGTGCCGGGTAGGGATGCTCGGGGGCCAAGCGGTATCCGACTGAAATGGCCGTTAGCTGGCACTCGTTGGAGTATGCTCGGAGGCTGCTATCGGAACTGTCCAGGAATATTAATAATTTATTTACGTTGGGGGGAGAGGGATCGGCGGAGGGGCTAATTCTCACTCCTTGTGTGTTGCCAGCACAAAGCCGCCACCATGGAAATGCAGGAAGACGCCTTTGCTGGGCTCGCCATTATCGGGCTTGTAAACACGGATAGGGATCTCGCGACCAGCCTCGCGTGAAGGAACAGTGCTATCAGTAGCCCCCGGGAGGTAAACGGGCATGGGCAGCGGTGTATGAGGATGAAGTACAAAGGGAAAATTTAGGGAAATTCTTTCAGGAAAGAAGTCCTTTCAGATTCCGAGGACCCTAGAAATCGATTTATCTACTCCTAGTTTTCTTTGTTCTCCTTCCCAGGTCCACTAGACACACATTGTCCTATCAGGGCCATCATCGCCAAATGCAGCTATGCAAAGTTTAGTTAGTCTCGGGGATCTCCCCGAGCAGCCAGTAATGTGCGAGCCGACGGGGAATTTGTCGGGTCATGTCTTAGTTTCTTTCTGTAACGGCCGCCCCAACTCGGGCCTTCTCATCCTGACTTCACGGCCGCCGACCCGATACCTGTTCTTCAGATGAATATCTGATGGTGGTCTCGTGTAGTAGTAGACCTTTGGGGGCTAAATTGTCTAGATTTATATGTGTGAAATATTCCTTTCCAATGTCACTTCCACCAAAATAAACAACATGAGGATTCTTACCGAAGTAGTCGACCGTCTGGCAGCTGAACAGCCGGACGGTCTTTGGGTGAAGGCTGGGGCACTAGACAATGGAGTTCTATCCTGGAGTGACATTACCTGGTCCCAACTAGCCAGCGCGGTTGACTACATCTCGCATTGGATGGAAGCTCGACTTGGACCCCCAGCACAAAACGAGACTATGGGGTATATGGGAATTAACGATATCAGATATCCCATCATGATCCTCTCTGCAATGAAGATGGGGTACAAGATTCTCCTATCATCGCCCCGTAACTCTCAAGATGCCCAAATCTCTTTGCTCAAATCGACACTATGCAAGAACTTCCTCCATACACCCGAATTCGCCCCCCCAGATGCAAGCCTTGGCCATGCACCATTCAGAGCTCAACCTTGTTGAGATTCCATCTCTAAATGAGATCATGCAGCCCAAGACTGCCTCGAACCCGTACTACAACTTTTGCCGTCCTCGAAAGGATGATGTTGCACTTATCCTACACTCTAGCGGGTCAACAGGCCTGCCCAAACCCATCTTCATCCGGACCGGAGCCCTGGTAGCTGTGGATACCATCACCTCCATGTCCGCTCCAATCGGTCGCAGAAATATGCACGACGAACTATTCGCTCCTACGCTGATGGTGTCAATGATGCCCTTTTTTCACATAATGGGAATTGTGACGCTAGTCCGTTCCATATATCACCAAGGTCCACTGGCTCTGTTGCCCCCCGGGCAGCCAGTCACGGCAGATCTATTGATTAATGCGATATTTCAGGAGAGGCCAAGTGTGGCAGCATTTGCACCGTCCATCCTAGAAGAAATCTGCAACTTACCCAATGGCCTCGAGGCGCTGTCTATGCTGGACTACGTTTTCTACGGTGGTGCCCCACTGGCGCGCTCCTGTGGTGATCAAATCACACGGGTCACCAACTTGCAAGTCACCATTGGCAGTACGGAGATTTTGAACGCACCCAACTACCTAACCCAAGAACCGGATGACTGGGAGTACTTCGAATGGAGTGCCGAAGCAGGCATTGTCATGGAACCGGCAACGGAGCGCTCATTTGAGATGGTGATCAAACAGAAAATGGATCGACGAAATCAAATTGTCTTCCACAATTTCCCTGAGCTCTCCGAATGGCGTACCAAGGATTTATTCGAACAACACCCTACCAAACCCAACCTCTGGCGATACGTCGGAAGACTTGACGATCTTCTGGTATTCAGCAACGGGGAGAAAACGAATCCCGTGGCGTTTGAAAAAATCATAGAGGGACACCCGTGGGTGCAGGGAGCGCTCGTCGTGGGTTCTGGCCAGTTTCAGGCTGGTTTAATCATAGAGCCACACGCGGATCGGAAAGGAGTAGACGAGGAAGCTTTCTTTGACGAGATCTGGTCATGGGTGGAGAAAGCCAATGCTGGGTGTCCAGCTCATGCAAAGGTGTGGCACTCCATGACCATGGTGGCTACCCCGGAAAAGCCTTTCAAACGTTCGGCCAAAGGCTCGATCATGCGCAAAGCGACCTACGAGCTGTATGAGTCGGAGATCGCACAACTATACAAGCGACAGGACGAGTTCTCGGTCCACGAATCCGATGTCATCGACGGTCCAACTGACCTCGCCAGTATCAAGTCTGTACTCAGAGCGGCACTACGTACATGTCTAGCATCGTCTACCCGGGAATATACCGACAACGATGACATCTTTGTTGGTGGATTTGATTCCTTGCGCGTGCTGCAGATGAGCAAAATCCTCTCAAGAGTCTTCCGTGTGAAAGTGTCAAGTCAAGCATTCTGTCCGCCACGGTTGATATACAATAACCCAACCATAAACCAACTATCTCGAGCCATCCAACAGAGAATCACCCACAACGACCATAACGCTATTAAAGTATCACCAACCTTGATGTCTAGAGAAGAAAAGATGTCAGCAATGATATACAAGTACACAAAATTGCTCCCCACCGCCCCAGTAACTGGGATCCCACCCCCATCTGGGAAATACAAAGCAATCCTGACTGGTTCCACGGGCTCCCTTGGGACATATCTTCTCCACTATATGCTACAAAGCCCGTCATTCGAACATATTTATTGTTTCAATCGCTCGGCAGATGCTGAATTCAGACAAAGGAAGAGCCTGCGTGACCGAGGACTTGATGTGAACGACCTAGCCGAAAAGGTTGATTTCCTCACTACAGACCTAACTCAGGCACAATTCGGTCTTTCATCTAGCAAATACCAGGAACTTCAAGAAAATGTCAATGTTTTCCTTCACAATTCTTGGCCTGTCAACTTCAACAACAGTCTGGAATCGTTTGAGTCGACCGCTATCATTGGGGTACGCCAATGCATTGACTTTGCGTTGTCCGCGACGCATCGTCCTCATATCATGTTTTCTTCTTCTATCGCCAGTGTCGGGAACCAGCATATCATTCGAGATGATGGCCCTATTCCTGAAGAATTCGAGGATGATGTCTGTCTTCCACTGAGACAGGGGTATGGGGAATCCAAGCACGTCGCCGGTTCTATTTTATTCCGAGCAGCGAGGAAATCGGGATTGAGAGCAACCGTTCTCCGTCTGGGCCAGTTAGGAGGTCCCAAGGACGGAACTGGAGCTTGGAATAAAGCTGGTAAGTAGTCCGTTCTATACATTTTATAGACATCCAGAAAATCACTAACGAAAAATCAAAGAATGGCTCCCGACTTTGATCGAGACATCCAAGTCCTTACAAAAGATTCCAAGCACTCTTGGAGGCCACGACGCAATCGACTGGGTCCCCGTAGATGTTGCAGCTCAATCTGTGATAGAACTCACGTTGTCCCGACTTGAGGACGACTTGACCAAGAATCAACTATTCGACTGCTTTAATATTGTCAATCCGCAGATTGTCCAGTGGAATGATCTTGTGCACACCGTCTCTAGTTTTTATCACAAGCAGGGATGTGCCATGGAGGAAGTCGAATACAACGACTGGCTTAATGCATTGAAGCAGATTGACCCTGTGTCCGAAAATATCGATAAATACCCGGGCATCAAGTTGGCCGAATTCTATGAGGATATGGGGCAGTTGGAGAACCGAAAGGTACACCTTGCTACAGACCGGTCGTTGCTCAGGAGTGGTAGTTTGGCCAATCTGCAGCCTCTCAATAGTCAGCTTGTTGAAAGATGGCTGGAGCACTGGGCCTTTTGATGGGAGCAGACTGACGTTAGACTATTGTTAATACAAGGATTTAATTCCACATCGTTACTCCCCTTCTCTCCACTCTCATCTAGGACTCCAGGGATATCTATCCGACTTCAGTGGATCCCGTACACCGCGATGACCCCGGCAACGACGTAGCTAACTGCCTTTCCAGAAGCTGTAACTATGAATAGTCCAACAAGTCAAACCTAGTACTTACATACCTAAGTAGAAGAACGGGTCTCACTAAGCATCAGCGTTCAAGGGCAAAGAAAATACAGGGGAGATCAGGATGACACTAGTTTGCTGGGCCAAGGTCAAACTTTATGGATCTACGCCGGTCAAGAAATTTGATGTCCAGGATTTTTGGAGGTCATAGATTGAACATGCGTAAATCGTCGCTCAGAATACAAAAAGCCAAGCACCCAATCAGCCGTCTTGCAGGGTATATTGGCAGGACAGGAAAGTTCAAATGAAAGGAAATGATCAGGGGTTTATTCTGACTGGGAAGTAGTTGAAGAGTCCGATTCCGAGTCAGAATCTTCATCGAGGACGATTCGTCGCATGACGCTCTTGTCGAATAAGTCCAAGGCGAAACGTCGAGCTGGGAGTCTATAGTGATGACTCTCCAGGATGCATAAAGTCTTGCGGAAGAGATGGGTTTGGTGGAAACGCTCGGGTTGTTTGGACTTTAGGCTGTGGTTGAGAATTGTAAGCAAATGTAAGAAGTCGCAGAAAGAAAACTGGGGTCTTACATGTGGAGATCAGAAGCAGCTCGTTTGGAGAGCACGGTGTTGCCCATATCAACGATCAACTTCAAGATCCGTTGATTGGCGGGATCAGAGTCGGTGGTGGCTTCCTTGAGTTTCTCCTTGGGAGTTCGCTTCGATCTGTAATCAAAGCCAGGGAAGGAAATCTAAATGGATGAGCATAATGAGACAAAAGCGAATGGACGGATGATACTCACCAAGAATAGTTTTCGGAAATCTGTAGGGAGGCAAAGTCCCAGTGAATCACCCTTTTGGTCAACGCCGGAATCCCAGCCCAAACCCCGCAGGACTTGAAGTCCGTGTCGACTGCGAGAGATCAAACCTAAAACGAAGAAAGCAGTCCCTCGCATAGTGAGAACTCCTGCACTGGTTGCTATTTGCACAATGCGTTGGATGATCTCAGCATCCAAGAATAGTGCGCCAAGCTCCATTGAGCCGACATTACCGACAGCCCAGAGACATCCTTTAGCCTTGAGAAGCATTTCGTTGTCTTCTTCATCCAGCCTGAAATCACGAATCGTCCAAGCAAACTCATTGAAGTGACCTGACTGCTCCAGCAGCTTACACCCCTCGGCAGTTCGTGCAAGTTCTCGGTAGAAATGCGGTGGGACCAACCCAATATCCTGGAGGTCTACCAAATCCTCGGGGACAAGGCTGGCACGCCGCGGTTGCTCGACGTAAGCTCGGGAAAGAGCAGCCTCAACAAGTCCAACATAGCTATCGTTGCGACCAAGGAACCAGTCGTCCATCTCTTGGGTGATATAATCCAGCCCATCCAGATAGTGATATCCCACGGAAGTTGATAGGAACCGGAGAAGTAGGGGTGCGCCAATTTCGCCCAGATGATCGAGGGAAGGTCGACATTTGACCACGAACTCGAGATAGTCCCGTTGATTGCATGCCTCTTCCAGGATTTTCACGGCAACCTGACAGACTGTGACCTCAGGATCGTACAATTGGGTGACGAGAAGTTTGACCACCCATTCTGCATTGCCGATCGCCACATGAGGCGAAAGAGTTACATCTCCCACTGCATATTTGCGTAGAAGTCTCGTTGCAAAGATCCGGATTTCCTTGGAACCAATTGTCAGGGCCTTTGAAAGCATGACCCGGAGATGACTTTCGCGGCTGTAATCCATGTTCCCTAACAATGTCTGAATGAGATCATTTCGATCTCGCAACTCAATGATGTGATAAAACATGTTGAGCATGTGCCATCGTTCCATCATGAGCAGCCCGTTGACATCGCCACTCAATGATCCTAGCATCGCAAAGTAGCCTCCACTTAGAGTATTGGCCATCTGGTCTTTGGAGAAAAGCGGGGACTCAGACGTTAGCCCACTCATGCGGTCCAGCTGGGCCAGGCATTCTGCAACCTGGCGAAGGAATTTGTTCTCGGCCAAATACTTGGTGCCCTCGGGAGTCGTAACGAGAGTGCGCATGAGAACACAGCCGGTTCGGACATATCGTTGGTTTGCCTTGGTGTTTGGAACCAGAGCGAAGCGATATTTGAAAGGCCGGTAAAATCCAATGAGACGTTTCATGAACTTGGAGCCTTTGATTGCCTCGTCCATTCTTTTTGGGTTTGTGAGAGGACCCTCCACCAGGCGGTGGATAATGTCCCATTTCCACTTGTTGAAGTTGACGGTGTTTAGGACATGAGTTTCCAGGATGGCATTGCGGAACTGGGTCTCGTCCATGGAAGGACTCATCTTGTCTTTTCCCTGCTCAATGGGAAGCAGAGAGCCCGATAAATCAGTCTCCATGTTATATCGGCCCTGCCCACTGGGATATCCACCAGAGCGTGCCAATGTCCGATTGATGCTATCGATTTGGAAGATAGTTGCGGTTGAAAGGTCATGGTTCTCAGTTTCAAAGTCAACAGCGGGTGGGATTAGGTGTGGAAGGACTTGAAGTTTTGCGCTGACGGCTTGGGGTAAGGAATGATGGGCGAGCTTGAGAACCTCCGTTAATAGCAGAGTTGCTTTACGCCTGAGGGATAGATCCGATTCATCCTCGATGACATCGGAGAGAACCTGTACTTGGTCAGCTCTTTACTAATCCAGATCTGAAAAAAAGAAGGGAAAAAAAGAATGCATACCTTTGGGAGCCCTGCCTCGACCAAACCAGCCAGGATGAGAGTAGAGAAATGAGCAGTCAGATCGAATCTGTTGCTATTAGTGTCGTTGAAAGCGCGGCTGGCTCTTGATGTTTCAAGGTCAGAGCGAAGGTTTGAGACTCTGCCATAAGTTGTCAGTCGTCTACCCGCAAGGAAGGATGACGACCAGGAGGGAGGCTTTATTCGCAGAGCGTCAAATAATAGCTCCATAATCAGGTCTCGAGCTATGGGGTCATTGTAATGAAGCGAATCGAGGAGAGAACGTAACGGCTGCGAGTCATGTCTTGCAAGAATAACCAGCCCGGGCCAAGTCTTAAGCATCGCAGAAATTGCCCGCGCTGCAGACTTTAATCGCCCATTGCGTAGTGTGTCAGATAGTGAATCCGTGAAAGGCGTAAGGACAGCCTCAAGTTCAGATCCTTGGAGAAACTTTCGACTGCGGGGTGTGTCCACGACGTGCAGAAAACTTGATATCAGAGATTCCGAGGCGCCAAACGTCCCTTCTGCAAGGGCATCATGCAAAGCAGCGAACCCGCCAGCAGAAGCAACCAGTTCGGGGTCTTTGACCAACATTTCAGCAAGGGTCATGATTGAAATGTTCCGAAGACGATCTTCATGATGTTCAGCAACAGCAACGATGGTCCGCACAACGGCGCGTGATATCTCTCGGACACCATCTTTAACATCCAGGAAACCTCTCACGAACTTCAATGCCTGTTCCCTCTCGATGCTTGCCTTGGTTTCTTTTACCAGGGACAATATCACGAGCTCATCGGTATGGAGCGTTCTGATGATTTGTAGGGATTTACGATCAGCAATGGCATAGCGTGTTAATCGATAACCCGCAGCTACCACCTCTTTGCTGTCACTCAAAAGCATCACCTGAACCCGTAGGCCAAAAACAGGCCATGCAAGGTCATACTTCAATGTGGGATGTCGTTTGAACAATTCAACCAAGCTGTTGGCGCGTTCGACATAGAAATCAGGAGACATCCCCTCTATCTCCAACGCCTGCAGCGTTTCCGAGAGGACATAGGTTGGCGACTCTACGTCGCCCTCGCCATTTTCTTCCCCGTCACCATTGACCGAGCCGGTGGTGTCTTTATTTCGAGATGGCGAGCGCATGGGGCTAGCTCGGAAAAGGCTCGAAAGGCGGCTGCTGCGTGGAGGAGTCGAGGTCGGCGCCTGCGCACGTAATATTTCTTCTTCCAGTTCATGCTGCAATTCGGCCAGCTTGCGGTTCGATGAGCTCAATTCTGACTCGACTTTGAGACGTTGCTCTTTAGTTTGCTTGGGTGGTTTCGCTAGCAGCGCCTCCAGCATATTCTCAGTCCCGCTCTTAATCTTAAGCTCCTTCGCGATCCTGTCTCGAAGGAAAGCCTGTCGCTGCTCGGTTGTGTGAAAATCCTCCTCGTCGATCGATCTGCTGGCACGTCTATTGTATTGGCCGTCCGCCCGGGGTGTGACACTGCGTGAAGTCGTGCTTTTGAGCTCCGAGCTGAAGCTACCTGGTCGGCCGCTGGAGGGTACCAACGAGGGTGCTAATGAGGGCACAAATGATCCTCCCCGCCCACCCATGTTGCTGCTCCCTCCAGACTCGGATCGCCTGTTCCTCCCAATTCGTGATATACCATCCTGCCAGCTCCCATCGGCGGAGCCGCCATCTTGACTGAGCGAGGAGCGTCCATCACTCAGTGCACGATGCTGAGTCGACGCGGAGTATGCTGAGTTGTGCCCGGAAGCCATAGAGCTCCATCTAGCCTTGCTGGCTCGCTATCATGTATCGCGGGTGTTCTGAGTATCGGATTGCTGCATTGAGGTCGCTTGTTTTAGTGGGAGGGTCGAGCGGAGCGGAGCAAGGGTAGTATGGGGAAGCGTAAAGGAGGGGCGCAGTCACAGGTCGCCTGATGTTCAAAGGGAGACAGTTGCCATGCCCACCTGTGAGAAGGGTGATCGTATTTTTAGCTTGAACCCAGCAGTGATCGTGAAACTGCTCTTGTTGTCCCACTACGAGATGCTCGACTGGACCAGATCTGGAGAAACAAACTGCTGACTAAGGGATCTTATCGCTCCAGCTCTGGAGCCCTACCAACACCGCACCATGCGTGAAGAACGGGGTGTTGCTATTGAAGGGATTCTCTTTTCTTATTTAAGAAGGTGTAGTCATATCAATTGGTTTTCATTTAATTTACGACGGAATCCCGCCATCATAGATTCTGATAAAACTACTTGGTATCCTCCCGTTCTTCCCAGTCTTGTGATAAAATGGACTCACAGGAATACCTACATGTAGGTATCTTATAACTGCCGTTATCAGTTCATTAGTTGTTGGAGGTGGTCTTCTCTAGGATGGTCTTCATCATCTCATTGCCAAGCTTGGCAGCTTCAGGGAAACGCGGTGCGAAGTACTCCGCAATGCGCTCAAACCGGTGACGGTAGGACTCAAAGTCACCGAAAGAAACGCAGTCGGACCATGCCTGGTGAAAGCATCATGTTAGCATGAACTAGCGTGTCTGGCATGGCTCGGAGAAGCGCTGGAGATATTGTCCAAAACATACCCTTGCAGCAAACGTGAATTCCAAATCATCCGAGCGGAAGGTGCTGTCATCAATTGCAGTATCCAGTGCCTCCTCGAGGAGGTCCTGGTTGCGGAACAAGTATTCCGTCACACCTAACCAGAGACGGAAAAGCTACCCAATATTAATATAACCGTGGTCTAGCAATATCCTCACCATGGCTGAGTACATACCGGCGTAGAACAGATCATATGATCATAAGGGACAATGCCGAGTTTCGACCAGCAGTCAACAATAGCAAGCAGACTGAGATGGCTGTTCGGCGGCGCCTTCTCACGCGGCCGATTAGACAGAGAGAACCGGTCCAGTACCTCGTCCTTCAGTAACAGATCTTGGCCTTCTGAGCCAGGTCTGAAAACCGACGCACCTGCAGCCTTCACCCGACGTTTGAGCTCCTCCCTCTGCCCTCCAATCATCAATTTGTACAAGTCGGTGACTGACTCGGCGTACTGGCGAATTTGCTGCTTCGCTGCTGGATTGAGGATGGCAAGCCCGGCATAGACGTGCCATTTGTTTGAGTAGATACGCAAGGTGATATTAATCTTGACATTCTCGATACCGCCCACCCATCGTCCATGCTCCCAGGGGAACTGATTGTTGGCCTGCCACGCGGTTCCCATGCTCAGGAAAGCAGCATGGGTGACAGCCTGTGTATCGGCGGTGATCCGGTCGTGCATCTCGCCGGTAAGATGGACATGTTTGGAGCCGAACGAGGAGAGGATGTTTTCAACGAATTTGAGGCTTTCGTCCGATGCTCTGTGTTGGATGAGGACCTAGATCACTGCGTTACTAATGCATGTCCGATGAAAGTATAGAATCCAAGCTCGAGATTGTCCATACCAGAGGTTGGCCTTGCGGATTCACTTTGGGACCGTGTAGCGAATGGCAAGATACAATCTCTACATCCGAGGGCAGGTGTTTTTCGAATGCGGCGAGCTCTGGAGCCTTGCAAGACGTTTGACCACCGACAATAGCACCGACCTTGGTTGCTTGAATCGGAGTCAGAATGAACGTGGATTAGAAGCAGACTAGCGGCTCTGGTTCGAGACATACATAATCCATACTGCGCCACGACCTTGTCGATGACTCCAGCCTCTACACTGTACAGAATGTAATCGCTAATTCTTGAGACGAGGTGTCCATTGGGAAATATGGTGACTCCTTTCTATATGTACAATGAGCTTCTTGAGCTTTGGGTGGCATAATCCCAGCCGGGGGACGTACTTGAGAAGCGAACTCTTGTTTTAAAGATTCAAAATTCTCAGGTCTATCACACGCGTTTATCCTTGATATCAAAATGCAAAGTTAGTTATTTCAGGTCTAAAAGGATTAGTTGTAGGTTTAATGGGAATCTGTAAAATCTTTTCACTTGTTAGTGTATGTTTTTCAAACAGCAAAGTGAAGGTGTATAGAGTGAGATTGAACAGGATCAGACAAAAAAAGTTAAGGTAGCGTGGGTTTAACATCACCGACAGCCAGCTGGTTAGCCATCAACCAGAATGGTGTGATGGCGCCAGCCAAACCGTACTCGAGCCAAATGCACTCATGTCATCATTCGAGGGGAGGGGCAGGTAAAGGAGGAGATAGCTTACCATTTGAAGCATGTTGGGGTTGTGTTTTCAAAAATGGGGGCCAGTTACCTCCATCCTGCGTCGCTCAGGCGCTGGGCATACATTTTGCCCATATCGCCCATACCAATGATGCCAATCGAGGCATCTTCTTTGGTGCGACCCATCGCGACAAGCGCGCCTGGAACTTCAGAGGAATGAGGTGTGACCCTTAAAAGCCAATAACACTAATAACCACTAGAGGTTATTTGGAACCGTTCAAGGTCCAAGCTGGAAGGCTGCTCAGGTCTGGGAAGATCAATTGCAATGTTGAAAGGAAATGAGTTGGGCAAACGAAAATTTTAAATACTGCGCCGAGCTAAGGTCTTCACCGCCCACCGGGCCGACGAGAATCCGCGTACAAACATGGCATATTGAGCCTAAGGCATCCAACTCGCTTGAGACCTACGAGCCAATCACAGTGCGTAATTCTCCCTAGGGCACACACCCACTTTTTTCTTCAACATCCAGGTGGGATCAGATCCGACTTTTCCTTCCTTTCTGTATTCCATCCACACTAACCACCAACAGTCGCAATGGCCCCCAAGACTAAGACCCCCGCTGCCGCTAAGGAGAACGTCTCCCTCGGCCCCCTCGCCGGTGATGGTATGTTTGAACGAAAATTCGAGATGAAGAAGTTGGAGCAAGAACATGAGATCTGACTATCTACACAGGCAAGCTCGTTTTCGGCGTTGCCCGCATCTTCGCCTCCTTCAACGATACCTTCGTTCACGTTACCGATCTTTCGTGAGTCGCCCTCTATCCGCAATTCTCGCGCATTCGAACCATCCAATTGGAGTTGAAATCGAGCGGAGTTGAGACGAACGTAACAAAGGATCATGTTGACTGACAATTGATTACAGCGGTCGCGAAACCATCTGCCGTGTTACCGGTGGTATGAAGGTCAAGGCTGATCGTGACGAGTCCTCCCCCTACGCCGCCATGTTGGCCGCTCAGGACGTCGCTGTCCGCTGCAAGGAGCTCGGCATCAACGCCCTCCACATCAAGATCCGTGCCACTGGTGGTAACGGCACCAAGACCCCCGGTCCCGGTGCCCAGTCCGCTCTCCGTGCCCTTGCCCGCTCCGGCATGCGCATCGGTCGCATTGAGGACGTCACCCCCACCCCCTCCGACTCTACTCGTCGCAAGGGTGGTCGCCGTGGTCGCCGTCTGTGAGCGCTTGCGACTTGGTCTTTCTCTTCCCTTTGCAAGTCATTGCATCGCTGGGTTGGAGGCTATTTGCGGGCTTCTCCTGCATCTGTGGATGGAATAAACGCGAGGAACGGCCTTGATCGCCTGGTCTTCAATTTTTTTCATACGCTGAAAATCAACTCTCTCGGGTTTTGATGTTGGATTAGGTAGTGCTAAATCAACAACTTGACCTATATATTTTGGATTATTGTAAGCTCTTGATGAGCCTCGTAAAATGACGGTAGCTATAGTACATCTAGACTTCCGGGGCCTAGCGGGGAGCTCCCGTGGGGACCTATGGGAGGGACATGGTTTAACAGTTCGTAGTTCTTGTGATTTATAGATGTGTTGATTATGTTATTATTATATTTGTTCTCGTAATTTAATAAATTATTACAGGTTGGCAACGACATATACTTCGTTTAGTCAACGATGTTCTGAAGGATATATATGGAGAAGATCCAAGTCCGGTTGTTAAGAACCAGAGAAAATTCGCCTCCGCAATAGAAGGTAGGACAGCATTTATCCGGGAGCTCTCACTTCCAAGTTTTCATCCTCCTCAAAGCTCCAACTTGCGCGCAATCCCCAAACCAAAACCCTCCAATCCGCACAAGACGGGCGCAATGTCCACCCACCAGCCAACCCCAACAATCCTCCTCCCGGACCTTCCACCAAAAACCCTTGTCGGCATTGACCTCATCACCTTCACATCAACCCCTAACTTCCACGGAATTCGCGACCTTTCCCCAGGATGGCACTTCCTCTACACCGGCGCAACAGAGACCCTCTCCCTACGCAGCGGCGCATGGTTCTACATCGGTGACATCACCACCGCAGGGAAAGGGAGCAGCGACACAGCGCTTGTCACGCAAGGCCGAAACAAAAACGGAACCCAAAATGCACCGGTCCCAGAGATCTACATCTGGAAATGGTGCGCGAACACAGAGTCCCTAGTAGCGCTGGACAGTGAAAGCGACTCCGCTCGCCAGGAGAGCATGCGCTACAAGGCGAATCTAGGTTCTGTGTGGCAGAGTGGCGGGTTATTCAAATATCGCAGTCGGATTGCTCCCTCGATGCTTGTCAAGCCCGTGCCGCAATCAGAATCTGGCGAAAAGAACGAAGAAGACAAACCCAAACCCGAAATCGAAGCTCGCATTCAAACCGAAGATGATGCGCAAACCGAAGAAAACGGACGGAGGGATTGGTCTGGACTAACCAACCGCATTTCACCAACCCTTCTATCGCGCGTTATTGGGAATCCGGAGGTCGATGTGGACGGTCATCCGCGATGGGTGTTATCGTCTGCTTCAACGGCCACCCGAGACGCGGATCATATCCCCGGCATCGACTCGCCCGCCGAGCTGGAAATAAGCGAGGAAGCGGAACGCGAATTCGGTTTCATCCCGGTTGATTTGAAACGGACGTGGAGAGAGGGTGCTGTCGGGCGCGAAAGGACTGAAGCTGCGAAAGATCGGTCTTGGGCTCTGGGAGACTTGATCGATCGGTATGCTGGGGAGGCTTCTGGGGGGGAATCAGTTGCTTGGGGAACTGCAGTTTACTTTCCTCATGGTGCTAACTATGATGAACTATTCGTGTTTGCAGCAGTGGAAGCGGCTTCTTGAGCTCATTCTTACGTCCCGGAGTGCAGTCCTGGATAGAGAGGCGTTTATGAGTGAGGTTATTCGGATTCTGTCGTTGCAGCTGCAGCGATGTGATGATGTTGATGGTGGACTGTTTGAGATCGATGGTGATGAGGGTGGTGCTTTCCTCCGCGATCTACTCATTAAGCTGCGTCAGTCGGTCGATGACCTCGTTGGCGATAGTGCTTCCGAGGTCAAATTGGAGCTTGACAAGCTTGAGGAGTGGGTGAAGGCGGAATATGACTGGGAGCTTCGTCGTGGGGCTGTCGTTCGCCGTGGTATGCTCCAATTGGAGGACGGTGAACAGGTCGAAATGGACTGGGATGGGAATGACGAAGACGAGGAGACTGGAGAGTATGCCCCGGTGATTGTTGATATGTGAGATGCGAGATTAGGACATTGAATTCTGTTCTATTTCTGCGCACTCATGAGATGTGTAAAGTAATTGATGATTTCTTTTTGATTCCCAGCTCTCGGGTGCATTTACCGGCGTCTTGTTACACTCTACAAATCCAATAATAGCTAGGATGACAAAAATTCAATGAAACAGGCCGATATTCTATGAGTGCAGTTTAAAATCTATATACAGTCCAATTCTAGCATCCAAAATACCGGCCATGATGCTAAGCTTCACAAACCCGCCTAAGAGGCATCAACCCAAAAAACAAACTGCTTGCAAGTCTAAATCTAAAACCATCTATGAATCTTTTTATCCATCTATTGTCCCTCATTCTCGATGGTGTAAGCCCAGTCGTGCTCAACCTTGCCGAACATAATGGCCTCGAGCCACGACTTGATCTGCGCAGCATACCCAGCAGGCTCGCCGTTTGCAGGCAAGGTGTTGATATCAGTGTCCTCGTTGCGGATCATGGCAACAGGGGTAATGAAGTACTAAAGGGTGAGATGTTAGCATATAAACTCCAACAAAGAAACAGACAATTGGTCAACTTACAGCAGTTCCAGAAACGAAGGACTCAACAATACGGCCCTCCTTAGAAGCCTTCTCAATATCATCAATGGTCAAAGTACGCTCGACAGCCTCAAGCGGCGCAAGATTGCCAACAAAGTTTTGCGACAAACGCTCGCGCACGAGCTCCAGAACACTGCGACGGGTGACACCGGGCAGAATGAGCTGGTTATCAAGAGGAGCAGTAACAAGCTCGAGCTTGCCCTCAGTATTGTGCCAGACAATGAAGAAGTTACTGGCGCCAGCCTCGGTGACCTGGCGGTCCTGTCCGAACAACCACAGGATCTGGTCGAAGCCCAGAGCCTGGGCTTTGCCGTGAGCCTGCAGGGAAGGACCGTAGTTGGCACCGAGCTTGGCATAGCCAAAGCCGCCGGGCCAGGCGCGGATGCTATCTGGGGAAGAGGCGTAGAGTCTAAGGCCCTTGCGGGGCTCGGCATCGGGGTCCTTCTTCATTTTGGTGAAGTCGGGCCAGGGAACGGCAATAATGAAGAGGAGGGCTTCCTTGGGCACTTGGACGCCGAGGTGGGGACCGTTTCCGATAACGGTGGGACGGATGTAGAGGAACGAACCGGGGTTGGGGAGCCAGCCTAGATGCAGTTATTAGTAAATAACTCTCATTTATCTTGTAGGCAAGTAGCCGCCTGGGGAAGGATATTAGAACGTACGGGGACCGTCAATCTGCAGCAGCTTAGCAACAAGCTTCTTCACCTCGTCGGGCTTAAATCCGGGCAGCGAGGAGCGCTGCGAGCTGGAGTTCAGACGCTCGCCGTTGCAATCGGGGCGGAATAGGCGCAGCTTGCCATCGTATCCGCGGTACACCTTCATTCCTTCGAAACATTCGGTGGCATAGTGCAGGACCGAGGCTGTGGGGGGGATGCTGAGGTTCTGGTAGGGCTTGACCTCGGGGGTCTCCCAGCCCTTGTCTGCGGTCCATTTCACGGTGACCATGTGGTCAGTGCAGTGGGAGTGGCTCAGCTCCTCTGGGGAGCCGGGCAGAGGCACATCGCGCAGGTTGGTTGAGAGAGTGATGTTGAATTTGGAGCCATCCAGTTCGGCAACGTGAGGAGCGACAGAACCCATGATGAGATAGATGGTTGTGATTGATCAAGGTTCTTTCCTTGAATATGCGGGGGGAGAGGTTCTATGAGTCACAAGACGATCAACGGATGATCTTAAGGAGAAAACGAAGACTGCAAGGAGAATGAACCTACCTTTTTAAAATATGTCCACAAAAGAGAAATCCCATTGTTCTTTATAGAAAGCGGTTTGCCCCGGAGAACCTTGGAATGCCCCTCGGAACCGTCTTTGGCCCAAAAAAAAAAGTTTTCCAACGCCGAACGGTTCCCGGGGGTATCGCCTCATCTCTATTTGCCACGAGAGACATTTCTACATTGCCTGTTGTACAACATATGTTGGATATTGAAAAGGGATTGATGTCTTTGGCACTTTGGCACTTCGTAAAATCAACTCCCCAAATTCCAGTCGAACTTGCCCTTCACTCTACTATGAGCATTCTATGAGGGGTCTCATACTGGCTATCTTGAGGCCCACTTTTGGCATCTCCGAGGATAGCCGCGTTGATATCGATCTAATTCACTTACAATATTATAGCATTCCACCTGGCGAGCATTGATGTTCTGGGATTTCATTTCATATACTTAGGGCAAAACTGGTTGATTTGTGTGACTTCTATATTCAAAGTCTTGGCGCTTTATGCATAATCCTTGCACTTGCATCCTTCATCTTCAAACTTCAGTTTAGATAGTACACAACAGGCATATTACCTTTTGTAAAATACATATGTGTATCCTATGCAATTGACCAAGCATAGCAAAACAAGATGCCATCGAAAATCTTTACGGAAATGATATTTTTATACCTAATCTACACTAACCATGATAGCTAAATGGTATTTCCGGCTACACCGCATGACGAACATGCAAATAACCATCCATCTTGAAACTCTACCAACTGCTGCAATGATCAAGTGAAGCTATATAATTGGAATTGGCGACAACGACCATGTACAAAGTAGTTAGATATGAAGTGACAGATATCGCATAGCACATTGGATATCGTCGACTTTTCTACACGTTATGTATATCTCAATATATATATCTCCAACCCGTTGGCTCCATCAAGCCCAAATAAAAGAAATGGTCTCATTCCTACTTTACCTATATCTAAATACCAAGCAGTACTTTCTTTATTTTCACAATTCAATTTTTGCCAAATGGTGGACTACACAAATCGCTGAGCACCCCGAAGAGAGACATGAGATCAAGATAAGGTGCGCGATCAATGCCCGGCGCATTATGTCCCACGATCTGTCTTGGCTCACAGCGGATACTCCTGGGAAACTACTACAAGATCTTATCTGATATTCAGCTGTCGCTCACTGTTTGACCTATGAGAAGCTAGCCCACATGAGACCAGATATGTTTGGAACGTGTCTACGGGCCTGCATAGTTGCAAATGATCTAATGAGGTGGGATGATTTGCTGCGCGCTGCGCTTGACATCTTCAAGTCCACCCGCGACCCCAGCTGGCCCGAAGATCCCAAGGTGTGGTGGCTGTCCAAACATGCTGACTACGGGCTGTGAAGTGAAGCAGCTGTCTCGTCAAACAAAATTTCCAACAAGACATCTCAGCAGCTGTACTTGACGCCGCTCAAAAGTTCAAAATTCCGCACAACAACAGCGACAGGTGGGGGGAATATCGGCTTTTATGGGACATGGATAAATCCCATTACCCTCGCCTCTCTCGAGACCAGTGATTTGTACCTTGGTGACACAAGCGATGTTGTGGACAGCAGATCGATGCTCGTACTCGTGGTATCGAACTCAATTACTAGTACGAAGAGTGTTAAGAAGATCGGGGAGAAATATCACAAAGAGCTGGTTGAGGATATCATTCTCATATTCGTCCTCGCCCCCCTACTAATTCCTGGCGTGGGAGAGCTAGCGAACGAGGCGGGATTGGCCGCCATCGCGATCACGTCGAGGGCCATTGGTGCCGCCGGCGATGTAGGTTTAAGCATTTATGGTATCGCGAGGGCGAAGGATAGTGGACCTACTGGAATTCCCCTTGCTATTCTGGATAGACTTGATGTTCTCGACATGGTGAAAGCTCCTGGGCTTTTTGCGAAGGCGGCAAAGGCGAGAAGAGCAATGACCCCCGAGCATATTGCGACATTGGGAGGCGAGGTCAAGAGCGGAATGGCCCGAATTGATAAATTAAAGCAACTCTGCCGTTAGGTGGACAGGTTGGTAGCTGTAAGCTATCAATCCTCTTGTTTCTGGAAGAATCTCGCTATTAGCATGTATCTATCTAGTTCGTTTTTAGACTGACGTGCCTGTTCTACTTGAACGTGCTTGCTGCAAATAGCAGAATGCATTACGTAGCCAAGTATCTACACGTTTATCTTAATTATACAATTTATGATCCGGTGAGAATTTATTATCCGCTGGGGCACACCAATGCCAGCCAGTAGGTGTGAGTGGAGCTGACACGATTAAACCATAGCTGGATGAATGATAGTCTGCGCTACAAGTCCAGGCTATCGATTCGAGACAAGATGCCACAAAAACGCAGTAATGCTTTGTGCATGTCAAGAACGGACCGAGACTGTTGTTACAGCGATTGGTCGGCGGCTATCACTCACCACGAGGTCTGAGTATACTCGCAAAGGAGTGATCTACCAATTTCCAGGATGGTGCTTCCTTGATATGTGACAGATCTCAGGCCAATAATATAGACTGGATACTGACATGTGCGTATGCCGCAAGCATCGCTTGTTGGTATCCGATGATTGGATACAGAACCGACCAGGTTAAAATCAAGGGGTTTGTGAGAGAAATCAGGATCCAAAGATGGAACGTAATAATATGACGTATGGGATCAGCGAACTATTGTTTGACCCGTATCGTAGTACTTGCACCTGGTCTTGTCCTAAAGATTATAAATGACTCAAAAATAAAAAGAAAGGAAAAGAGCAAACATGGCCTGCGTAGATTGTACGGAGTACAACATAGAATGGCAGGTGTCAGAAACCAATGCCTCGGTGGAGATATGCAAGAGTTGGGTCTATTGGGTTGAATAGAAAAGCAAATAACAAAAAAGACCTTGGCAAATTTGGGTAATTTAGATACTTAAATACCCCGCTACAGCTGCAATGCATTAACGGGCCGTGGTTCTCTGAAGGTAAAAAAAAGATTAAAAAAAATAAACCTAGAAACTTTAAGATATAAAAGTCAAATTGAGTGTTTATATCTACCTCACATATGTTATTAGTAAGAATAACCACATAAATACATGTGTTCAAACTGCAAATTCCGAGTCATCTGAACGAGAGACGATGGTGTACAAATATACAGTAGTAAACCTTGAAAAAAGCGGGGAGTGGGCAACCATGGAACCTTGAAACCACTAACGGTGAACACACCTGACCAACCAAAGACATCTGGCTGCTTTATCCGAACCATTGAGAATTTAAATGACATCAACTTTTATCCATGGATCCATACCCGTAGACGACCATGCATCTTGTATAACTCCATACAAAGTACATCGAGGGATGAGGAGAAGGGAAAGGGAGACAGATCTAACCAAACATAGATAAGCACATGCAAGCTGATTCGAAAGTGGTCTGGTGCCGAATATTCAAATCGAAACTACCAAACATATCAGCCAAAACTACAGGATAGCTGCGTTTTTATTGTCTTGCTTCACGCTAATTCTGCTTTTGGAAGGAGTCTTCCCCTATAAAGACGAAGGGGTGCTTTCATCACACATGCAGGTGATTAAAATTCGTAGCTCACGTTACATTGCAGACAATTTACACCTTCATGTACTGTACTTTGCGTTGCAGGGATAGGGAAACAGTTGTCGAGAATTGAAATATGCCTGAACACCGGAAAAGAAAGAGGGGGATCTCAGCCGCATAGTCGATCTCACTGGCTCCTGATCCCGGGCATCTAAGCAGGGCTGGAACTTGTCCTGCGGGGGCGAAGTACATTTGTGTTTTTAGAGTTTCAAAAAACCTCAAGCGATAGGGTGTAAAGGAACGGGGGCCCAAGATCAGGCGTTATCTCGAATTTCAGTTTACGGGCATAAGCGGCAGTACGCGACGCTAGCATGTATAGTTATCTACGGAGTAGGCTAAGAGTTAGTAAGTTTGCTTTTCTTATTTTAGTTTCCTTTTTTTTCTTTTATCTTTGCTTTGAGGGAAACACAGGCTTCTCCGCGGAACTCACTATCACTATAAGAGATTGTAAGGTTGTAAGATTAATTAGGACGGCCCGAGAATCTGCATAGCCCTGGAGATAGTGCCGGATTAATAAACTTATGCGGAGACTCCTTCGGAAAATTGTCCCACGGCATGTTAGTAATGGTGGATACACAACAGACAAGATACGATATATGTCTATGGAGTACAATATAAATATTCGAATCTTGAAATGTTGCCTAGGCATCCAAGTGGCTGTGGGTGGCAACACCCCTTAGTGCAGCGTTGCCGGCGACAATACAAACCAGGCTGGTTGCTCGATGTTCAGAGTAACTGACAAAATGCCAAGAAAGAAAATTAATTTTCGCTGGCTCCGATTGGCTGTTGTTTGAACCGCCAATGAAAAGCGTTGGAAGAAGTTATGTGCGATGTATCAAGTAAAAAGGAACGCGTTTAGCTTGAAGGAGAGCAAGATCTTGGAAAACCATAGGGGTAAGATAGAGGATCCAGAAAGTATCGAGATAACAGTATATAATTAAGAATAACATATGAGGATCTGTAGATCCGGTTACGAGGTGGAGGTTCAATCGGGATGCATGTTCTTCCCCTGGCTGAAAATCCCGATTCGATCCACAGCGGAAAAGACTTTGGGACAGACAAGGTTCCAAGATCCTCTTTCCGTATGGAGGGGGCGGATCTTGCATAGTACATATACCATGTGTATATATTTGTTTCTTTCAAGTACTCTATATCACAGTATTGTCCCATCAACCAGTGTGCTGGAATTTTTGGTCTGGGGTTGCGAATCCTACCGTTTGGATCATTTTTCCAGGGTCCCGTCTGGGTTGAAATCTAGATTTTATCCTACAGCGAAGGCTGCAGGTGGTGTGAGCGATATTCTCCACAAATGCTTCCCAGGATACAATATTGACATGGGGGGTTCCTTGTAACATTCATCTCAATTAGTTCACGGAGAAAAAAAATATGGATTGTGGCGAGAAGGGTGGAGGTTATGGAGGTCGGGAGATGTGATTGACATATGAGTTTCCTATACAAGTCAACAATCTCGCAATATAATACCCCGAGTACGGAGTAAATCAGACAAGCAATTAGGGGGTGGAAAGAAAAGGCCATCAGATGAGTAGAACAAACTTGATATTGAAAGAATCCCCTTCCAATTAAGGCATTTATTCCGAGAAAGTATCGAAATATGTAAAGATTGCGTACCGAGGCCCTAAAATGTCCATTTTTACTCCGCAGTGTTCCCTCGTACTGATACATCCCTACAGGGACGAGGGTGGATGTCGCCTTTTTATTATTATTAATTTTTTTTTTTTCCCATAGTCTTTTTCATTCTTTTTTCTCATTCCCTTTTTTTTATTCGCCCTTGATTTTTATCTCGTGCTTTCCAAAAGGTTAGTGCAAGTTAATCCAAGCTGTTAGGGTTTCCATATTCGGGCTGTCCTCGATCTCCCGAATCTCTTGACAATATCTCTCAGGCTAGTCTCAACGCGATGCCCCCATTCACTCATCTACTACATACTATCAGTTTATATTGACAGCTTGCTGAATTTGCTAGCTCTCCAATAATTGCTGAATTTGAGCTTGGCCTACCGGGTTACCCCGGTTGTGTGACGGGGCGTCGAACCTCCCCTTCTGTTTGCCAACGCGACTCCCCTCGCTTTTGGGATCTTGTCACCTGCAGGTAGACTTTGATCACTTTGACCGATTCCAGAATAGTTTCTTTTAGTTGTGTCCCACCTTCATGCGTAAATAACGCACCGCACCGTGACGCCCGTATCATTGCGACATGACACTTACCCCCTTTCTGACATCGTGCTGGTGAGACGTTGGAGACGTCGATTTCGATGGCCCATAAGAGGAAGCGTTAGGACCGTGCTTTAGTCTTGTATAGAGGATCTTTTTGCCTGCACTGTCCCAAAAATCAGTTCCTACAAATCGTTGCTTCATCAAATTCCCATTGCCGCGGAAGCTTCAATCACGGTGTATTTCGGTCAGAAATCCCGATATATTCCTTTGGGAGATCATACTCCGCGAGGCTGATCTTTTGAAAACGAAGATGAGCTCACACGAGAACACGAAACAATTTCCCGCGTTGGCTCCGGGACCGCCGCGCATGTTCGCCCCGCAGACGTCGACTGCTGTCAGTAGGCCAAAGAAGAATTCCACAGCTTGCCTGGCATGCAAACATGCAAAGAGAAAGGTGAGTCAGTGCATCAGTTGATCCCTGTTTTCCCTTTCCGTTTCTCCCTCTCCGTATTGTCCGAAAAATTGGAACAAAATGGCTAATTGTCGCGATCTGCTCGATATAGTGTTCCGGACCAGAATCCCCATGTAAAGCTTGTCGATCCGCTGGCACCGAATGTTTATTTGACCCTACTCGAGACCTCAGACGAAAGGTTGCTGTCAAGCGGACGATCCAGGAGCTCAAAAACCACAAAGACCTACTAGATTCTTTGTTGAGCACTCTCGCGTCGGATGATCAAGTCCAGTTTGACAAGGTGGTGGGTTTGATCCGGAAAAAGGCTCCGCTCAGAGATATCGCCCATGCTGTCGGAGCCCCAGTCACGACATTCGGGAACCTCCAAGAGCTGTTGGATGCCAGCAAATCAGCGGGTTTAGACTTTGGGGAGCATCCCATAGAAACTTCGGGCAACGGGGTGAGACGGCCGTCAGACCCCGGGGATATAGCAAGCTCTCCGGATGAGATTCCAAATATGAAACCTCCGCAGTGGCAAACAGCTAGCCCTTACGCCCCTGTCATACCGGATGAGATCCCAAACATGAGACCTCCGCAATGGCCAACAGCTAGCCCGTACGCTCCTGCCACACCGGATGAGGTCCCAAACATGAAACCTCCGCAGTGGCCAACAGTTAGCCCTTATGCTCGTGTCACACTGGAGAGCCTTTGCGACATACCTCTCTTTGAGGTGCCGGCAAAGCCGTGGACAAAGGTCACAGATGATAATTATTTGGTCTCGCACCTAGTCTCGCTCTACTTTACCTGGGACCACCCATGCTCGCAATTCCTTGACCAACGTATCTTCCTCGAACATATGAAACTCGGGGATCGAGGATCTGAGTTCTGCACGCCCCTTCTCGTCAATAGCATATTGTCTATGGCCAGCGTATGAATCCCATAAATGTACACCTTTGCGAAACCATTAGCTAACCCTAACATAGGCCTATTCTGATAGTCCCGATGTTTTTTCCACCCCCGAGAACGTGTTCTCGCGGGGCCAGAACTTTTTCGATGAAGCACAAAACTTATGGGAAGTCGAAGATGATGGCCACGACCTGCCTACCATCCAGGCCCTCCTCATTATGTGCTGTGTGTATGTTGCCCACTGATTTGTAGCAAACGAGTCATGTTCACGATATTGATTTCTTGCAGACTTAAATATCAAGGACGAGTCAAAAAAAGCTGGATGATGCTTTGTCAAGCAGTTCAGCTAGCACGGGATATAGGACTGTTTGATATCTCAGCAGTGTCGAAAAAGGTGCTGCCAGAGTTGGAAAGGGTTCGCACGATCACCGCCTGGGGTGTCTTCAGCATGAGCTCGTAAGCGCTCCCATCCCCACAGAAACGAGTTATGTCTAATCAACTGGTGCAGGCAAATGTCGATTGAGCTGCAGAAGAATGCTCCCTCGGCATATCCCACATCAGATGTCAAGTTGTGTGGCAGCAAAGACCTTGACTGGACCCCATACCCTCGCTCAAACAATATCACATATGACAAAAAGCCAGCCTGTTTGCCTCAAGTTAGGGATGGTCTGGCTGAGGTCAACATAATTTTACTCGATGTCCAGAAGCTCGTTTCTGACAAAAGTCGGGGTGTCAGTTGTAAGGAGCTGTGGAACAAAGCTCAAGATCCATTCGATCGTTTGACTTCTTGGCTACAGCGCTGGCCGGGTGTGCCCGAGATACAACGAAATTCGGTCCCACAAGTCGTTCTCTTGCGGTAAGCATGACTGCTCTCCTATTGCATGCATCTCGATTGTTTCTGTGCTAATACCGCGTGAAGAATTAAATGTCTCCAGTCTATTATATATCTGTTTGAGATGTTAAAAGACCCTCATCAGCCAGAATCTGTCCGAGACGCCCGGTACTATCAGGTTAAGTCCGCCGAGGAAACGGCGCAATGCCTTCGCACCCATCGTCAGTCATATGGCCTCAAGCATATATCCAGCCAGATAATCGATGCCGTACAGACTGGTCTTCGGATCTTAGTTCATCAGTTGGAAGAAAGCGATGAATCAAGACAGGCATTTGCTGAGCTCTGTCGGTTTGGAACCGCCCTTAGTCACAGGTTTAAGCAAACAGGCGACGTGATTCATGAGATCAGGAAGAATGCACTGCATCTAGGCGTCCGACTGCCACCTGAGGCTATTGCAATCTTCGATGACCCGGAACAGTGGAGGAGTCTTGAGCCCTAAAGATTAGCTTGGCGGCTGTGTTTTTGACTGTATCAATCCATCTCTGCTGATACCAGATGAATGATATTGGAAGAGAATTCATCCTGCTGCAGATTTGGGTGAAACAAAGGCAGAGATGCGGAGTGGAGGTGTTACGACGGCAAGGCTGAAACGAGGGTATTTAGGAAAAGCTGCAATATCCTAGAAAGCCGTCATAGCAGAGCAAGCATTTGAACTAGTCTACCTAACTCTTCGGTGATGGCTAGTGAAATCTTTGCCTTCCTGACACTCCAGTCCAGAGACGACGATGTGCAGTATCACCTTTTGTGGTTTGGAGTGGGAAAAAGGGGGGAAAGAGGCGCCGACGGTGACCGAGGGGAAGGGAAGGGGCTGTCACCTGCAGAAGAGTGTTAGCTGATGAAACGCAACCAGCTGTTGGCCTCCTTACATATTTCACACCAACCTAGTTAATGAAATAACATACTCGAGACATCCTGTTTTTTTTCTAGTCCTGGACTTCCCAGAATTCCCCTAGAAAGTACAAAAATGATCACTGAGTTGAACTGAATTGCTAATGTGCTAAAGCCAACCGCCCTCTGTCTGCTGTGATACCGTTGGGCCCTATTACGTCTGTCTGTTAGGCTTTTATATTTGGAATTGCCACACACACTTTACTAGATGGGAATAGGTAAATACAAGCAAATACATAGTTCAAGTATTTATGTACACCTAGTGCACTAAGCCATACTAAACACGTTTTGGAAACAGAGAGTATACAGTATCACTTTTTATATCAAGACGCGGAATGGCTAGAAAGAAGGTTCAAGTATGTTCAGGATGACTAGAGCCCCTTCCATTAGCATGTTGTACATTCAAGAAAATTTACTCTATCATATAACTTATTAAATTTCTACTTATATGTGTAGGTACTTAAGTAACTACATAATGTAGGTGGTTATGAACCTTGGAAGCTATAGCAACGTTGAATTTATGTGTGGAAGTAGACAGTACAAGAATTTACAGCCAAAATAGCTGACACGCTCAGTACCAGGTACTTACACCGTACGGAGTGCACTATGCACAACCCTTGAAAATTGACATAAATGAGTCATCATCCATACTTTATGCGCAGATAAGATAAGCACAAACACCCAAGCGAAAACCCTCAAAATTCGACTTCTTTGGCAAATCGCACACGCCGACGCTATCCCCCCCCCTCCCCACCTCGCCCCTTCCGCTTCCTCACTGCCGTTTCATCTCGGCCTCTTGTTGCATTTTTAACTCTTTCTTTCCCCCCTCCCACTCAACATGTCCTACGAAGACCGCGCCAATGCGCGCCCCAACTTGAACGATGAGTCCGATAATGAGGAGGAGGCTATGGCCAACGACTACCGCGAGCAGGTCAACTACGATGATGGAATGAGCGAGCTGGACCAGACTTTGTCCCACGGTGCATCGCAGACTCAGGACCTCCAGGCCCAGTTGGCCGCCGCCGCCACCCCGCTGGAATACCAGGCTACTCTCGAGACCAAATTCGCTAGCTACGACAACTACTGCAGTCTCTTCCACTACATCCTGAACTCCGATGGCCCCGTGGACTTGGAAGTTCCTAACGTAGGTACCCCATTTCGCCGACCGATTGCTGAACGCCATGAATGAAAAGTAAAAGCTTGGCATTCGGAAATCAACAGGTCGATTCATCCCTCAAAACACAATACAGAAAACTAATGATGCTTTTTTTCTCTACAATCAGTACTACTGGGCTTGGGAAGTTATTGACGAGTTCATCTACCAATTCGAATCCTTCTGCCGTTACCGCAACCGCGTTGCTTCCACTGGATCCAACGAGGAGGAGAGCCAGCTGCTCCGCGAGAACCCGAACACATGGGGCTGCTACTCAGTGCTGAACGTGCTTTACTCTCTCATCCAGCGCTCGCAGATCAGCGAGCAATTGAACGCCACAAAGCGCGGAGAGGACCCAATGGCTGTCGCCGGCGAGTACGGATCGCGCCCCTTGTACAAGATGCTCGGCTACTTCTCGATCATCGGACTGCTGCGTGTGCACTGTCTCCTCGGTGACTTCAGTCTTGCCCTGAAGATCCTCGACGACGTCGAAATGAACAAGAAGGCCATGTTCGCTCGCGTGATGGCCGCCCACTTCACCACCTACTACTACGTGGGCTTCTCCTACATGATGATGCGCCGCTACGGCGACGCCATCCGCATGTTCAGCCACATCCTCGTGTATGTGTCCCGGACAAAGAACTTCCAGAAGGGTGGCAACAACTACGAGGCCATCGCCAAGAAGAACGACCAGATGTACGCCCTGATTGCCATCTGTGTCGCTCTCCACCCCACCCGTCTGGATGACACCATCCACTCGGCCGTCCGTGAGAAGTACGGCGAGCAGTTCTACCGCATGCAGAAGGGTGGCCCCGAGGCTCTGCCCGTCTTCGAGGAGCTCTTCCGCTCTTCCTGCCCTAAGTTCATCAACCCCACTCCTCCCGACTTCGACAACCCAGCCTCCAACGTCGACCCTGTCGACCACCACACCGCCATCTTCATGGATGAGGTCAAGAACACCCTGTTCAACCCCACCATCCGCTCTTACCTCAAGCTCTACACCACCATGGACCTCAAGAAACTTGCAGGTTTCCTCGAGGTGTCCCCCGAGCAGCTCCGCTCGTGGCTGCTCGTTAACAAGCAGCGCAGCCGCCAGATCCGCTGGGTCGACGGTGGTCTCCTGGATGGTGAGCCTGCTATCGCCAACGATCTCGACTACGCTCTTGAGGACGACCTGATCCACGTCAGTGAGACCAAGGCCGGCCGCCGTCTGGTCGACTGGTACCTGCGTAACCTCGCTCGCGTCTACTAAGCGGGGCCTGTGTCTCATAAGTGTGCCGAGAGAGTTGAAAAGAAAAAAAGCGAAGAGTGGTGGGAGCCTTCTGCTTAGAAGAGGAACGGACATGACTTGAGATGAATTTTCTTTCTTTTTCTCTGCCTACTTTGTTTTTTATTTTCCATATTATACTCATTGCTCTCCTCCCCCCTTTTCCCCCTTCATGTTCCTTGTTTCCGTTTGGTTTTTTTTTATTTTTCGAGTTGTTCCCCCGTTCATGGATCACGGAAGTTCAAGGCTTCCTGGTCCGTTCAAAATCAAGTTCAAGTTGGATTATCGCGATTTCTTTGGTGGGCGTCCGCTATTTCATGTGTCACCCTGGTCTGCTGTCGCTGCTTCTTTGAAGGCAGATGGTTTAACACAGCATGGAGAGTATTTGTGTCAGGTAGAAGAAAAACAGTTACTTGATGAAAGCATTAGATCAACGAGAAATACTCTTATATATTTCAAATTTTCCATGGAAGCAAAATCTGGAGTTACTCTAGGATAGGATTTTTGTCATTCGGGAAGCGAATGAGAAACCCTAGAAACTTCAAATTCTCAAACAAAAATATTTTGTAATTACTAGGCCCAGGCCGCATGAGAAACGTCTTCGATCTACATATACAAGTACATCCCTCTCTAGACCGAATTATAACAATAATAGCTCTCCCGTGGCAGCTCCACCAGCCAGTTGTGGCTGATATCCCTGCTGCTGATTTTGAGTCACAACGTACTGTGTCTGAGGCGCACCTCCACCACCGGCACCATCAAGGTCGAGAGAAGCCATTTGCTGAGAGCCGATACCACTGAAGTAAGCGTCTGCTGCATCTGCTGCCTCGTTCATGTTGCTAGGGCCTGTAGTTCCGGGGTTGGCGCCCGGGGCGACAGGGAGAGGAGGAGGAGGCCCGTTGTACATTGGCGTGACGGGATCACCTGTGGTGATGATTGTGGCTAGACCGCTATTACTGGTTGAGGCGGCGGCCATGTTTGCGGAGGGAGGGTTGTATTCGAGCATATTACCTGTGCCGTCATCGATCTGGGAACGTTGCAGGGCTGGACTGGGTAGGAGACGCCGAGGACGGGCAGCACGGAAGACTTGGTGGATGGGCTTGAGGTAAACAGTGGCAAGAGTGCCAACGTTCAGACACAGCTCCTCGAGAGTGCGTGGGTCTAGCTTTTCGCTCTCGGCCGTGATTGGGGGCTTTTGGCCCATGACGACTTGCTTGGCGGTTGCTGGGTCCGTTGACAGCAAGCGCCAGTACATATAACCACGGTCACGAAGATCGGGGTCGTCTGTTTCTTCGGTGCACCATTTCAGTACTTGTGGTACGAGCTTCTGGCCCTTGGTGGGGCGTTGGATGAAAAGTTTGACGGTAGCCGTGAGCAGGGCCAGCTGCACTTCGACCGTTTCGTCATGGAATGTGGCTAAGTAATCCTGAAGGAGACCATCTGAGTTATCAATGCGGTCCGCATATTGGCCAATTATCCAAATGACGGCTGCCTTGGCCTCGGGTTCATCCAGATCGTCGATGTTTCGGATAACATGGCTGATTATACTTTCATACTGGTTGGGATATTTGCGGAAGATGTTGCGGATCACCACTGTTGCTTCTTGAACAATGTATGGGATCTTGGCATCGACAAGCTCCAAGAGCGTTTCGATACACTGCTTTGCGGCAGATTCAATCTTGATTGCCAATTTTCCAATGGCCCGGACGGCCTTGCGCACAAAGTGAACGTCAATTTCAGTGGCATATCTGCGAAGGATGTCAGTACACGTTTAATACGATCAATCTGAGAAGTTCTTACTCTCGGAGCTCCGCCAATACGATCGGGATGTTCTCTTTGGTGGTTAGCATGAACATCAATTCCAGCTTGGTGACTTTGACGTAAATTGGGTCGTTGTAATTGCAGAAGAACACTCGGATGTCATTCCGCAAGACCTCCGGTCTCTTCTGAAGAATTAAGATAGCATTGCGCAGTGCCAGGTATTGGACCTCGGGGGGCTTAGAAAGCAATGTGACGAGGGGTGGAGATAACTTCTTGCATAAAGAGGTGATATGCTTTTCACCCGGAATGTAGTTCATGAGATAAAGGATGACACGGCATGATGTCAGGACGACCGCGGAATTCGAATGTGATAGTCGCGGGGCAACTCGCTCTGCGAGCAGAAGCGCCTCCGCGGAGTCCTGGGGCACATATGCCATTAATGCTTCAAGGATGTAGGTTTGACCCCATCTGTTTGAATTGTTAACACAAAAGTTCGGATATGGAACGGAAGATTCTTACTCAGAGCAGTCCGCCAGAATTGAAACCAATTTCGAGGCACTAACATAGTCGATAGTGAGTGAGATGGATTCACTGCGGCCCCAAATATCCACCAGTGAAGCTAAGACGCTAGAAACAACAGTCGGGTTCTCATCCTTCAACATGCGGTTGAGCCTGTCGATCAGATCTGAGTTCTCAACCATCTTTTTATCGTGCTCATAGAGCTTTGCAACGCAGAAGGCTGCCGTCTTGCGGACATATGGATCATTGTCTTGCATCAGGCGCTTGACAGGCTGGAATGTTGCTTCGACAAATTCTCGGACGTGCACGTATGAGATGGTTCGCAATGCAAGCGCGCGTACAAGTGGGTTGTTATCTCCCATATCCTGCAAAGTAAAGTCAGGTCAACTCGAATCTTCTATTGTAACAGCGGGGACATACATCAACCAATATAGGCAGCGCCTTCAACGCGACCTCTGGTTTCATTCTCGAGTAGTTGACCAGGAACAAGAAGCACCTATACAACGTATTAGCAAGCGAGCCCTATACCACATGGCACACTGTAAGCATCAGTATTGAGTAGAGGGCCTGGACATACATCTTCTTGATCTCCAAGCTCGGCAGATTCATACAACCAATAACATCCGGAAACAGCGCAACCATGTCGTTGTTGCTCATGGTCATATTGGCGACAATCTTCTTAAGTGCGATCTTTTTGGCGGAATAGTTCTTGTCTTTCTTGCCGCCGCTATTGAGCTCTTGCCGTAGCTCGGCAACCTTGCCCTGTGTATTTCGCAAACGTGAGCCATGGAACGAAGGGTAAGGAGCAATACCGATGAACATGAGGGCATATATGATGTGGCTTTTTGGGGTGATGTGGGAGCAAAGCAAATAGCGTATGCCGAATGCAAGGGAACCAAGCAAGATGCAAAGGTCCGAATACAGAGCTCACCAAAGCGAGGGGAAGTGAATGCATGGAAGTAGAATGCGGGGAAGGGGGAAGAACAGCGATGATGCGACGTGGGAGAGATCATGCAATCAGAGAATAGGCTGGGCAAGCTAACGTACCCTGGCGAATAACTTCGCATCTCCTCCAGAACTCATGGCTGCGGTATGGACGAATAGCGATTAGGCACTGCTAGGCGCGATTTCTTGGAATGCGAACTTCGGCAAGCTTTCGTATCTGACGGCCGAGCGATCAATCAGAGGAGAGATTGGTTGGAGGATCGCCAATCGTCAGTGATAAGACGAAAGTAAAGCGCGAAATCGAGTCCAAAGGGTCCGGGCCGTCGGGGGAGTTTTGAGGAAAAGGGTGAGACCGAGGACGTGTTCACTTGTGGCGCATTCGGGATACTCGGAAACAAACTAAATCAGCGATTGGGCATTGTCGTTTTCCCAGACAATAAAGAATTAGAAGATTAACGAAGTGGAAAATAAAGAGAGAGAGGGAGAAAGAGGGAAAGGAGAATTGAAGGCGGCGAGTAGCCACTGCGGAGGGAACCTCCCTACCCAAGCAACTTTCCTTCTTCCCCAGTCATTCGATTCTTCTAAGATCATCTCTCCCCCCACACCACATTTATCTCTTAATTATGTCACAAGCTCGTCTACCACCCCCTCCTCCTCCGCAATGGGTTGTTTCGTTAAACTCCCCGATGCCGCGCCCCTCAAAGGCCGCATCTAGCATCCCGGACCCGCCAGGCTTCTCGAGCAGTCGGGGAGGCAAGCAGGTGAGTTCCACCATGAATCACAATACCGTAGATGCGAGTATACTAATACGGTACTTTTCAGCGCCAGCAACAGCAGCAACAATCTACCACGAAGAAACCCGACGAGACCGACGCGCTTAAGATGAAGAAAGCGTGGGAGATCGCCATCGCTCCATCCAAGCAGATCCCCATGAATGCCATTATGATGTACATGTCCGGCAACAGTCTTCAGATTTTTAGCATTATGATGGTCCTTATGTTGTTTAAGGGTCCCATCCAGGGTCTGATAGGCACCAACGCAGCGTTCGCCAAATACGAAACCCCATCTACACATTCGCGTCTGCTTGGAGTCAAGGTGGTCTATATGTTGATGCAGCTGGTATTACTGGGTCTGGGTATCTGGAAGGTTAATGCGATGGGTTTATTGCCGTGAGTCATGCTCTCCAGCTTTGACAACCCTTAATTTGCTAACATATGCCCAGAACTACGAGATCGGATTGGTTAGCATGGGAATCGGAACGGCAGCCTTTGGAGCGGGCTCATTTTGCTTTCAGGTGATGCGATAAGCTTGGAGTACGGGTTAAATTTCAGAAAGAGGCTGGAAATGCGTCCGTGGACGATAATATGATTTGGAACAACAGCTTATCATGGCAGTGATCATGTTGATCATTTGCCTTCTTGTATTATTGCTTGAAGAGTTCTATAATCATGCATTTCTTGTGCGCAAGTCTCTCAAAGGGTATCGACAGGAAAAACGTAGTTCATGATGGTCATCGGGGGAAGGATATCTCCTTGGTCACTTCTAACTTGAAGCGTTCCCACTCCCAGCCTTCTTGGCTTCCTCTTTCAGACGACGCTCTTCACGCCAACCTGGCCCCTTGTGAATGACGATCAAAAGCAGTGGTGTCGTGGCCAGCATCACTAACGTGATGAATGTGAAGCACCAGCCCCTACCCATGGCAGAAAGCATAGGATCGATGAGTGCTGTCGCGCCTGCTCCCAGCAAGCAACGCACGAAATTATTGGCGGCAGTGGATTTGGCTGCTTGTGTCGGATATAGGTCTACCAGGAGTGTACCTATGGTATTAAATGCCCCAGTCAATGTCAATCCCATGAGGAACAGAATGCAGGTCGGCGCAGCAAGATGAATTCCATAGTTCAAGAACCAGCCAAACACAAGGATGGAGAGGCTTCCTAGCGCGAGAAGAGGGAATGCGAGCTGAAGGCGAGCTTTTTCAATAGGGAAGTTCCGCAGGTCAGTTTCGCGGTTCTTGGTTAGTGGGAAGTTCAACTGCTTTGCAAGTCGGCGGTAATTGAAGTCCAACAGTTTGCCATTGATAATGGAAGCAATGGTCGCACCAAGGCCAAATGGAATATAGCAGAGACCGACCTGGAGGTCGTCTAGCCCGTAGAGCTCATTGAAGATAGAAGGAATGCTTGCGCTCACGTCGTAGAATCCAGCAAAAAGGATAGCATTGCACAAGAGAATGAGACTGATATCCTTCTGGAATACGATGGCAAGCGTCTGGAAAGGATTGGGGAACTTGAGTTTCTGCTTAGGTGCAATTGCCGTAGATACGACGCCTTCCTCACGAGCCTTTCGGGACTTCAGGTAGCTGATCAGGGACATATTCCACTTCTGAGGAGGCAATGAGCCATTACCGACAACACCACGAGCAGTTTCCGGGAAGAAAACCAGAAACGGAATCATGAAGGCCGCTGCAAAGATGGTCAGAAACCAGAAGATGGCTCGCCAGCCCATGTATTGAGATAATAGACCTCCAATTACTGGTCCGACAGAAGGGCCCATGAGAGACCCTGCCGTGACGAATCCCATGTAGGAACCCCGTTGTGATGCAGTGGCTACATCGGCGACCACCCCCGATGAGAGGGCAATGGTGGTACTACTCCCTGCACTTTGCAAGCACCGGAGAACGAAAAGAGCTGCATAGTTATTTTGCAGGGCGAGTCCGATATTGGCTGCAATATAGATGGTGAAGCACACAATATATGCTGGTCGTCGGCCAGCTTTATCCGCAAAGTCACCAATGAACATGGGCGACAACCCTTGGAAAATCTGCATTCTCGTTAGTCAAGCCATAAAATGAAATAACCTACGTATACACATAGGAAGCCTTACCATATAACTCGTCAGGGTCAAATTGATCAACGAATTTGATACATGTAGATCTTTCGCCAAGGTATTCAATGCGGGGAAGTAGATTTGTGAAGAAACAGGCGAGAAGAACCCAGCCCACGAGGCCATGAAGACAATATACCTGCGCTGACTGACAGTGAAGACCGAGTAGTCGACATCGGCAAGATCCCCGCTTCTCGTTCCCTCGTTCACATGTTGACCGGATTCCGGGTGCGAAACAGATGGTTGTTTTATTTCCTTCTCCGCCATCTAGGCTGTCAATGTTGAAACCAAAACATGCGAGTAAAAAGGCCTTGAAGATGCAGAGAAACATTTGGGACCCCCATTTTTTTCTCGCTAGCACGTAAGCGGGAAAGATCCATATCGCTCGCCATTTGCGGAGATAACGGTCATCGAAGGCGTGCCGAGAAGCCGAAGATTCTATACGGTTGGGCACTACTTTTTACCAAAGGCTATTTTGTAGATAGAATTGCCTATCCCTAGAGTGGTGTAATAGCGAAGGATTCAAATAAAGATTTAACAAAATTGACTTCCCATAGATGGATTTAAATATATGCAGTTGAAAAGAAATACCATAGTACACAACAGAATAACAGAATAACTGTCAACGTGCCTTGGCGGCCTCTTTGCACGCCTGCAAAAAGATCTGACAAAATTCCCATACTTCTGTGTAAGTGTTATACAGGGGTGCAGGGGCGACGCGAACCACATCTGGTTTTCTCTCGTCAATAACAACTCCCTTCTCCTCCAGACAATGCAGAACATGATCTAACAGCCCGGGCTGGAGACGTAGACTGAGCTGAGCACCTCGCTCGGCTGGGTTTGATGGCGTGATTAGGGTGAATGGTTTGTCCTCCGGGGCCGCGTCTAGAGGATACTTCATCAGAAGATGTTCTAGGTATCCCGTAATATTGAGGGATTTCTGTCGAATTTCCTTCATTGTGGCCCGTTTGAAGATTTCGAGAGATGCGACGACCGCATTGATGTCTAAAACAGAGGGGTTCGACAGTTGGAATCCAGCAGCACCGGGTTGCGGCAAAAATTCTATATTCGTTAGTCTCGCTCATACATATAGGAGCCAAGATACTCACTGTTTTCCATGTTGAAGCGCGTTTTGATATCTCCCCCCCACCAGCCTGAGAGTCGAGGCCGGAATGTGGCGTCACTTTCAGGTTGTTTCTCATCCACAGAGCCGTGGCGTTCATGGACAAAGAGTCCTGCTATTCCACCCGGTCCGCTATTGAGGTACTTGTAATTGCACCAGGCTGCAAAATCTACATTCCAATCGTGAAGTTGCAAGTCCACATTGCCGGCGGCATGAGCGCAGTCCCACCCGATCAAGATGCCTTTAGAGTGGGCGTGAGCCGTGATCCGCTCAATATCGAAGTATTGCCCTGTGTAGAACTGAATGGCCGAGAGGAGGACGAGTGCGGTACTGGAAGCGTTGTCATCAATCACTTTGATGATTTGATCTGTGCTCAGGGTAGGCTGATCTAGATCCTCGGGTTCGATCAAAACCATGCCGTCCTTCGGGTCGAAGTTATGATGGCGGAGCTGAGACTCCACCGCATACTGCATTGCATTCGTGTTAGTACCAACAACGAAGCACACAATTATACCGCACAACCGAGAGACATACATGATCACTGGGAAAAGCCTTGCCCTCTAATATAATCTTATACTTCTCTTTGGTCGGGCGATAGAAGCTTGCCATTAGCAGGTGCAAATTGCCAGTCAAGGTGCCCATAACTGCCACTTCACTTTGGGAAGCACCGACAACTGAAGCCATAAGCTTGGAGGCTGCGCTGTCAACATCGACAAAAGGAGGCAGCAATTGATCGTCATGCGGTACAAAGTGCCCGGTCACGCCTTTCGTTGCCCAAGTTCGCAGGTACTGCTCGATATATTTCTGGGTGCTACGAGGCTGGACTCCCAATGAGTTACCACAGAAGTAGATAGATTTTTCGTCAGATGCTTCATTGCCTAACGAGACGAAGAAGTCGAAGGTTAGATTCTTAGAATGAACTCTAGGGTATACAAGAGATCCTAATACGCACTCTCGTCAACTGCCAGAGTCTTCCGCTTCAGATCCTTCTTGGATGGAATGATAAACTCATCCCGGAAGTTCCGAAGCGGATCTTGAGCATCAAGAGCCTCGGCATACTCCTTTCTGTAAGCTCTGATATCATCTGTATAGGGAAGCGGGGAGCCGCTTTTGATGTCCCGAACATGCTGTCGGGAACCCATGATGACTGATTTAGATCCAGATAGATTCTGGGATTTGTGTGTATGGTTCACAAGGCTGAGAGCTCTACCAGATCGGAGCTTTAGCAGAGAGTTATACAGCGTTAGAAGGCTGATGCATTTATCTGCAGTCCCCCACCATTCGCCGATCCCTTCCTAATAAGGACATTATTCTGCCCATATCTTCCGACTTAATCTGGCCAATGGCGTCACTGGCAAACTGACTAACCCGATGTAATCGGAATGGAATGATTTGATATCAAGTACTCTTCATCTCTTTGCTTTCTCTTCTTGAAATATTTCATTCGTTCAAACATAAGCCATGTCACGCCCTTTATTCTCATCGACAGCCATCCGGCGGTTATCCCAACCACAGACGTGCCGGCTCTTCTCAACTTCCCGACCGGCCTTGCGCCTCTCCGCATTCTCCGGCGGCGAAGTCGTTCCTCGCCGGCCAAACACTGTCGCAAGTAGTGCAGCTCCTTTCAAGCACTCAGCACCTCAATCCTCAACCTCTCGCTATATCCGCCAGCAAAATGCATGTTTTTCCTCCTCGCCCATCCGCTCTGCCACCAAGGTGACGCAAAACCCGAGAACCGGAGATGATGGACAATCCCTTATGATTGGTATCTCACCACGGGCCGTCGAGGTGAGTTCATAATAAATTTCTTTGCATTTGGTTTGCCTGCTTTTGCTTCGTTTTTCTCTCTGGCTTGTGCTGGGACGGGTGGGAAGCTGTATGGGCTGTATGCGCCTCATGTATCGGGGGGGTCTGTCTCGGTGTCGGCTAACTTTCAGCCGACATGGAGACGACCGCATGGCGTGCCTTGGGCCCTTCAAGTCCTCTTCCAAGCACATGCGACCATAGGGTGTGGAAAACAGGGCTTCCCGTCCGCTCAGCCGTACTTAAGCCACACGCCGGTGAGTTAGTAGTTGGGTGGGTGACCACCAGCGAATCCTCACTGTTGCATGTTTTCTTTTTTTTTTGTCCTTCGTTTTGTTTCCCCTGCCTTTTGAGAAACTTGATATCTTTTTTTATGAATCAACAGCTAACCCAGCGCAGCGTCTCCGCGAGATCACAGACCCAACCTCCTCTCCCTCCGCTATCAAGGAAGAGAATCCATACCACCATCTTCGCATCACAGTCACCAGCGGCGGATGCCATGGTTTCCAATATATGATGTCCCTAGAAGGAGCTTCTAAAATTGACCCTGAAGAGGATACCGTGTTCGAAGGAGAAGCAGATGAAGCTGCAACAGAGTCAGCTGGCGAGGCTAAGGTCGTCATGGATGAGCCCTCGCTTGAGCTGCTGCACGGTAGCACTGTTGACTATACCACCGAGTTGATCGGGAGCCAGTTCAAGATTGTGGATAACCCCCGCGCAACAAGTAACTGCGGTTGCGGGACAAGTTTCGATGTCAGTGATTGAGCAATTTGTCCGTTGGAGGCATTGGAGGGATGATATTTAATATTTTCTTCCTTTTCTTCTATTATTTTATGTACATCATACTGCATTTTACACACTGGAAAGATAGATAATTACATACTATACCCCTCTTCTCTTAAATTGGTCAGACTATCAACGATCGTCGATTTGCTCTTGGGAGTCACGCGATATAAGATCGCCTAAGCTAGAAGCGGTGTGGGTCGAAGGTATGTAGTCTGCAAGGCACGGATACCTTTCTCCCTCACGCTGTTCCTCTCCCTGCAAACGTCTTCTCATGGTCTTTGTACTTCTCGAATTGAATTAATATGGTCAAATTTCCTACCCTGACATCTCTCACATATTTGACGCAAGTCGCTTTTGTAGGAGGCAATGTGCATACCCATAGTTCCCAGCTTAGGGACATCGTTCCTAAGCGTGAGGTTCTCTACGTTGGCGGACGATACACGAACATCACAGCAAGTCTTGATTCCAACTAGCTTTACGCCTATCTAAGATTGCAAAACAGGACAATGCAACCAATGCTACATCACTGGCTATGATAGGGCAAATTTATGTAGAGAAGCTTTCCCCGAAGCCAGCCCCGGCAAACCCACCACTTCCTATTATCTTCATTGCGGGCATGGCCCAGACCGGCACCAATTTCCTTGATACTCCAGATGGACGGCCAGGATGGGCATCCTATTTTATCTCCAAAGGTCACACAGTCTACCTCTCAGACCAGCCTGAACGCGGCCGCTCCTTCTGGTTTTCTGGACAGGGAAGTATGGGGTACATCGGCTCCCCCAATTCTGTCTCTGATATTTTCACCGACGTAGCAAACAACGGCAACCAATGGCCACAGGCGAAGCTTCACACGCAATGGCCTGGCACCGGTCGCATTGGTGACTCAACTTTCGACGCTTTCTACAGAAGCCAGGTACAGTTCCAGACCGACCACTTGATAAGCGAAGAACAAAATGCGCAGGCATATTCAGCTCTAGTCGACCTCGTAGGCGACTGTTATATAATCAGTCACTCGCAGGCGGGTGCATACAGTCAGTATTGAGCCAAACACTATGACTCGCTCAAGTGGTTAACGATTGAGTAGGCTGGAGGGTTGGAGACATGCGCCCAGACCTAGTCAAGGGCATTGTCCAGCTCGAGCCATCTGGTCCACCGTTCACATTCCGTCCACCGTTTGGGAATGACCCGGCTTTCGCTTTCGGTCTCACTGACCTCGAAATCGGATACGAACCGTCTGCAGGCAAGAATGCTGAAAATATGGAGACAACGATCGAGTCAGCAATTGACGCCGATCATGACGAGTGCATCATGCAGAAGTCCCCAGCGAAGCAGTTGACGAACCTGGCCAAAATCCCAGAACTTGTTGTTACTGGCGAAGCATCGTTCCATGCGCCATACGATTACTGCACTGTTAAGTATCTGAAGCAAGTTGGTGTAGACGTTGAGCACGCGGATCTAGGCAAGGAGGGTATTCATGGCAACGGACATATGTTCTTTATGGAGAAGAATAATCTTGAGATCGCAGACCGGGTGTATAAGTGGCTGAAAAAGCACTAATCAACGCATAATAAAGTCAATTTCCTCACTATATTGTTCCATGGTGTCTGGGTCGGGGGTTTGGGTCGTGCGGAAGCCTAACCTTCACTTAGATACTCTCTCACTTTAATCGGGCCGTGCGCAGTGAGCGGATGAGGCTGCTAGGTGACCCTCAGTGAGCACTCACGGGGCTATGGATAGTACGAATTTCACATCTACTAATATCATATCTAGAGGAGGGGATAGAATAAGTCCGCCTTTAACTCCTTAGGGCGTGCGTCTTTCTTATTATTCCTAGAAAAGAGGAGTCATTCTATATCATTAAATATTACCGATATCAGTGTCCTCGGTGATGGTTTTTTTAGATGGGAGAAGCCGAAGAATCAAAATTATATGGGTTGACGTCTAAAACCTGCCGTAGTTGGTCGAGTCGAAAGGAGAGGGTTATTTGCTTGTTGGATCTCTACTATAAGAACCCCCCTAGGACCTCCTGCTATTTCTCTCTCCTTCTCCTTCTTCTTCTTCTTCTTCTTCTTCTTCCTTATGTTTACCTTCTTTAAGTTAGAATGCACTTTTTCTTCATTGATCGACCCGGCACGTAACTAAGATGAGAAAACCCACTATTTCAACAATCTGTGCGGGCATCGACGACTAACTATATTATACGTACACTTTTCTATGATATGCTCCATACAAATGGCCATATTATTTTTCGGGTGTAATATCTTGTAAATCGATGTATTCAATCTTGGACTTTGACGTTAGCAAACATGTATCGGAAATCCTACGTGTAGTTCATCTTCGGTCACTGATACGTTCATTATCGCTGGATCCCAATATCCAATTTCAGCATCCACTGTTTAGAACTACTCCATACTCGTATACTCGTTTTCGTGTCAGGGATCGTTAGTCCATTCCATGTGCTTTCCGTACCCCTAAGCCTCAGCCTTCCGTCTTGGCAGCCTTGGCCCTCTGCCTTGGCAACCGGGAAGCAGGGCGCTGACCAATTCGCGCTTAACCATTTTCAATCTGTACCTCAAACAGTATCTAGTATGTCCTCATCTATCAGGCGTTATGGTGGTTTCGTAGTCCATGGAAACGATCTCCTTTGTGGTCGCGGCCTAGATCGATGCCTTTATATTCCCTGGTGCACTGTCATTCCTAATTTTGAAAAGTGCGCTGGCGATTGTGTTTTCAGCCTAGTCTGAAATAGAAAACGAACACACATCACACCCATTGATTGATCACGGTGTGCTCCTCTAAGTGCCATTGCTCAGTTACGGCTAAAACGCATTTAGCAGGGCTTACGTTGTAAGCCTCTGCCATACAGTTATTCCTACATGAGTGTTACAGTAATCCCCTGCTATGAGGGACACCACCATAGGGGATTGGAAGTTAACGACCGGGTACTGTACCCTGGCACTACCTAACCCCTGATAACACGGGTTTACTATACATATCTAGTCACAGTGTGAAATTGGGACCTATAAGCGCTTACCAGCAGAATCATCATCACATCCTGTTGCCCAACGGGACGTTAAATCTTCTTGATAATTACCTTATAACAATTTGTTGAGTAAATGGAAAAATCTAGACCTCATCTAATTGAACTAATCAACCCTATTTGTTCTATCCAATTTTGATTTTCCCGATGCTGCTCATTGTAATGAGAGATGATACATACTAGTCCATCGGATAATATGCAACTCTTACCTGCCGCTCGTATCTTTTGGTACTGTATGAGAATGCTATAAACTTGTAGTAAATTGCTACTGTAAATATGTGGGAGCGTAGAGGAAGATAGTTACGTGGAAATAGAACTATAACATAAGGTCTATTGTAGATAGTGACACGGTGGCCTGCTTGTTAGAAATGGTGACCTTGTCTATGTCCATGTTTATGATGGCGATGAATAGCATGTTCACGTTTTGTAACTAGGCTTGACGGGGTCGGTTGGTGCTGGGCCTTCTTAGTTAGTGGTGAGGTTTTATAAGACACGCAGAGGTAGACTGTGGAAGGCAGATGTCAATCAGATGGGCGGGGAAGAAAAAGGCTTACCTGGGTGACTGATGACGAAGAGACAATCTGAGATGAGGCCATGGTCTCTCCACAAATTCCCGATACAAAAAGGGGAGTATATATTTGCGATAACGGCTTCTGACGGTATAATTGACACTCTTGCCCCGATGTGGCATACAACCAGGCAAGACAGAAATCTATACCGGCACATCTTTCAGCACAAGCAAGGGCACTGGGGACCTCATATGAAAAGGTAAAAGGTGCATTGCTGAAGAAAGAGATGGTGTTCTCTTTGACTGATTCCGTGCAGGTTGAAGAGGAAGGCGAGATGGTTGCTGCTGCCCGAAGAGCAAGCAAAGCACTGAGGCTCACGAAATTGAATATTATGGTTGGATTGGATATAGGGTATTCAGCCAGGGCTCTGTATCTGATGCACACTTGGGACGACTAGATACTCCGCAGCTAGAGTACCTACATTAGTATGTCTGGAGTTCCAAGGGCTGGTGGATAAGGAGTAATCTACCAAGTAACGAAGGATCCACTGAGGTTAATCTCCACAATAGCATAGTCACGCTGTGGAAATGAATTCAAGACAAAGAGAAGGACTGAACATTGCACGGAGAACTAGCCCCAACAAGCTGGCGCTAAAGGGCGCTATCGTGGCGCCGACATAAGAACATTCACTAGCCTCATGTAGAGGAAATTTCACTTGGACCAATTGGGACAACACCGACGCTAATGATTACCTATCCTTATCTGTATCTCCCGGCAACGCTTTTCTGAATTGGTGTCTCCGGTAGGGTTGAACGTAGGCGGTGCTATAAAACGGATGAACTGCTAATGTTACATTGACAGAACTGCTAGCTATAGCACTAGATCCTTGGGCTGTAGTAGTGTTTAACTTCCTCTGGCGACTTTTGTTTTTCTCTTTATCTTGTTTCATGAAATTTTAATTTGTTTTGTGCAGTCCATATAAGTCTACGCATAGAAGTTTTCACACTAAGCTTAATGAGTTCAACAGATTCCCGACATGTAAATAACTAGTCTTTTGGCCCCATCCCATAAATTATTTCCTATGATTTGATGTGCCTCGCTCGTTAGTTAAGGAGACTGTGCATCAACACCAGTTGACTCAGTAGCATCAGTTGAATCGTAAGGAAGTATCGCACTAAGGTGGTACCCCTCGCTTTTCTCGGCCGCTTCTTGTGCGTGTTGGTGATCACGTCGAAAGTCTTCGCGCAGACGCCGTGCCTCCGCAGTAGACATCGGCCACCAGTTTGTCTGCTCCATCACAAGATGGACCAGTTCCGGAGGCAAACGGGCGTCTAAGTTCGATGCATGTCGAGCCTCGGCAGCCCACCACTCATGCTGCACATTCCGCGTTGAACAAATTCGATAATGAGGGTCTACCAGCCGGAGCTTAATAACAGTCAAGTTCCCAGGCTGCTGTGGGTTCGCTAGCGAGAATGGCTCCTGTTTTGAACGGAGGGTATTAGGCCAACTCAAAAGAAGACCCTCAATCATCGGAACAGAACCTAAGGTGTGCACTGCTGGGGGGGAGGTGTGTTTCTTCGTATGGTTCCCAGTAGTCAACATCCAAAACCTCTGACATTGCGTCTGGCTCTTCACATTCGAGCTCGCTTGCATGCACCTTGTCTTCATGCTGGAACGCCACTCGGGCCTGCGTGATATTTTCCGCATCCACCACATACATGGTTGTAGCCACAATATGTTCGTTCCGTAGACCTTCGGCGTGGAAATACGTCTCTCCTTGGTAATTCGGACCTCTGGCAAGATACAGGCCAGAAAGTCATATGGATAATGCACAACAGGGCAAGACGGCCGTTGCAATGTATATGCATCTTCCCGCGCCCGTGTAGGTCGGAGTATCCCAACTATCATGAAAAAGATTTCTGACCTGACTTGGTAGATGCCTGCTTGTCTCACAGGATAACCATGAGATATTCCTGACGATTGCCTCCTATGAGCCCGAGTATGTCGAACGCTTCGAGGCAAATTTTTCGAACCCTCGAGCTGTGACTGTCGACCAAGCCACTACTTACTACTAGCCAGAAGCCAACAGCTAGTCCGAATGAGGAAAGAAAATGGTGGAAAGGAGACATAAAGGCTTTAACAATGGATATCATTGACATGTGTATCAAAACTTCTGGTAACGCTAAAAAGAGAACAAGAACCCATGAATGTAGACTCCGAAGTAGCGGCAAATTCCCAAGTCCGACGTAGAAACCAAGACGGCCTTAATCCTCCTCCATCTTGGCAAGTCCACCACGGCTACGCCGAATACGTTCATCAAGAGTATCCTCCTGTACTCGTTTATTGACATCAGACATGAACCTGCCCCGGTCTGAACGCAGCCGATCATCAGCCTCGCGCTGTTCTTCCTCCTTGGCAGAGATTTCCTCGATTCGCTGGCGTCGCTCTGACTCGATTTCTGTAGCGTTGTTTTGCATCTCTGCCAATTTGCGACGACGTTCTTCTTCCAGTTCTTTGGGATCAGGCTTGTTTGCCGGTGCCCGACCAGAGTCACGCCGATTATTGTATTCGCGCCGGGGGAAGTCACGGCGACGATCTTCGTCGACGGTGGGGCGATCTTTGCGGTCACTAGATGGACGAGGAGAGCGGGAGTTACGGGTTGGTGAACGGTCCCGTCCACCTCTGTCTTCGCGATCTTGGTGTCGGCTAGAGTAAGAATCTCTGTCTCTCTTGTCATGGTAGTCGCGACGGTCTCGGCCGCGATCCCTATCATCCCGGCGAGATCGGTGCTCATCGCTTCTCCGATCACGGTTGTCTGGGCGGTATTCATCGTCACGACGTTCACGATCACGGTCACCTCGGTGTCTGCGCGAAGATCGATCAGGCGAACCGGGTGATCTAGATCTGTGTCGCCGAGGTGAAGATCTTCGGTGGTGGCGGTCACGGCGGTCGTCACCAGCATCATCACTGTAGCGTCTGCGCTTTGAGTCGTGGGTACGATGATGACGTTCACGATCCTTTCCCCGATCACGATCTCCGCGCTCCTTCTCTCTTTCCTTGCGTCTGAGCGTCTCTTTCACCATCGCCTCGTAAGCGGCCTGTTCTCTCTTCTTCACTTCGAGTAGCGGGTCCGCCATAACCTTCGACATAGTATCGCGCGCCGAGACAATAGACGAGCCGGCTGCGACACCATTGCCCACCACCTCTGAACCCTTCTCCAGCTTCTTAGTGTCAGGGTCGTTCTTCAGGAGAACTCCGTCGATGCGTCGCTTTCCTAGTAGGTATCCCTCCATCTCCTCGGAGTAGTGCCCGCTCTCGGTTGAGGGCGCCTGGTACATCCAGTCAACACGGCGGGTTTGCGTTGTCTTTCCGGAGGCTTCTTGGAGGCGTTGAATCTCTTCCATCTGGCGCTCCTCCTCGCGCTCACGTTGGAGTTGTGCGATCCGTTTGCGCTCTTCGAGAGCGCGCTTCTCTTGCAGCCATACGCGCTCCTGGTTCTTGAGCAAGCCTGGGTGCCATGACCTGGTTGGGCGGTTAGTGTTATGCTTCTCTCTTGGGGTAGAAGTTCAAGCCGGAACTCGTTACTTACTTCTTCAGGTTCAAATCTCCACCCATGATGCTTGAAAATGTGAAGAATAAAGTTAAAAAAAAGTTGGTATGAGGAAGTCGCTATGTCCGAAGGTCCACCCCAGGTAAACCCAAAGCTCAATCGCCACTGATCACGTGATCACATGGTTGCGGGACTACAACTTTTTGATAGTTACATATAGAATTTGTTCTATGAGCTCTGAAGAAAAATACAATACTAAAATGTGAGCTTTATCTTTGATATTTTAACTTACAAAAATGAGTGTAGATATCTATACCACCTTAAATGATTACCATAAACCAAAAGCATTAGAGGTGAAGGTGAGAAAATTTAGAAACAAGAACGAGAAAATAACAAATAACGGGGGGTTAACTCTAAATACAAGTGAGGAATCGAAACAAAACGCGTCATATCATATCATCATCGCCGTAGAACTCCAAGAGAAAAGCCAGATTACCAGAAACTACACCACCCAATCCAGTGTTGACAGATATTCTCAACATTGGTTGCCTGCGCAATGAGCTTGTCCACCTGGTCGCTGACACTCAACTCTTCGTTATTCCTGAAGTCTCGTCCAGTAAGCTTCTCCTTGACTCGGGCGAGAACCTGCAGAGCACGGGCATTCTGTGCCTCGCGGGCTTCTTGTGGAACGCCCTCGGGAGCATCGAGAATACCACCTTCAAGCATAGATGGGCGGCGGCGACGGGAGAAATCGCCCGGCGGCTGGGCGCCGGGTTCGAAATTGACACCTTCCATGATAGACTGGCGGCGATCCGCAGTGAGAGACACTCGGTCGGGGGATGACTCTTGTGTACCCAGACGCCAGTTGATTAGAGGGTCGTGGATGAACTAGAAAAGTAAGCGTTAGTGGATGTCGTTTCAGAACATGAAAGAATCAGGTCACTTACAGCCTCCAAGACCGCCATCAATGAATCCTTGTGCTCTCGTAGAACACGCATGACAGCCTCACAAGTGATGCGGTAGCTACCCTCAATGTTGCTGACTTCCATGGCGAATGTCAACATGCGAGTAAGTCGGAACGGAACTCGCTCCGGGTACTTCTCTCGGTGCATTGCGATCTCGAAGCAATCACCAAAGTCGATGTGAACCACACGGCCATTACCACGATCCAGCAACAAGTTCGATGGATGTCTGTCTCCCAGACCAAGGATGTAACCGACCATAGACATAACACCGAGCGATCGGGTGTAGTTCGTACGGCGTTCGAGCCATGCCTCGGAGCTCTTACTCTTGAGCCATAGCACACGGTACAAATCTTTGCCGGTTGTGTTGTCCATAGCGTAACCGAAGACTTCGACCTTCTGCATGAGAGTAAGGCTATCGTAGTCGGGTGCCATTTGAAGCATGATCCGGTGCTCGATGTTGAGTAGAATCCGACGACTTTCACGATATTCCTTGATCAAGGCATGTAATGTATCACTGTTGGACACCCATCCCAGCAGACCAGAGCTCTGAGACAATGGAATAGCAGGGAAGCGCTGGACCGACAAGTGTCGCTTGAAACTCTCGCCATCGTTATCCAGCAAGGTATTGCACAATCCGAACAGTTGCATGACACGCTCATCTTGTCGGATATCTTCATGACCCTTGACAAGGTACATGTAAGAGCTACCGTTGCTGCCCTTGAGCGTCATGCGACGCGGTCGTTTCTTTGTCTGCAAGACATGCAGTATCGGGTCAAAGCTCATGATCCGAATGACTGGCTTACCACTCTGGTATGTACCCGGAACAGCAAGGTCAAGATCTGAGCAATCCTTGAGTCGAGGAGACACGTATTTGAGATCGAGAGTGGATAGCTGTGGCAGTTGTCGGCTGATCTTGCGGAACACGGTGTAATACAAATCCCAAGCTTGGTTGAGATCGCCGATTTCCTCCGATTCACGATACATCATGCAGTAGTGCTTGGCTTCAGCCAGATCGCGACCGAAAGCTTGCGCAAATGACACCTCACGAAGGGTCTCAGCGCCCTTGTCTAGCATATCATGGAATGGGGCAAGTGTTGAGAACATGCCTTCGACATTGTGATCACCGAAATAGAGACGAGAGGCTTCTTCGAGACCTTCATGCCAGAGTTCATGCCACAAGACCGCAACTCGGATAAGCTCATGACTCACAAGATCTGCTTGCTCGACAAGTTTGGCGCTATGTTGTCGCATACTTTCCATAATGTTGCTAGCAGATTGAGAGCGTCGAGTCACGTTCGATTTCATTGCCACCGTCAATGGATACACAAGGGCTTGAGGATGCGCTTTGCCGACCTCGGCAAGCAACCTATGTACCGCACCCCTCACCCTGATATTGGGCTGATTAATGCGAGCGATAAGTTGAGGAGTAACAGCAAGCCAAGTGTCAATATTGACAGCTGTAAATCCTTCCGTGACGACAGTATTCACCTCATGATCTCCGCCATGATTGAACCACAAAGTGAGCAATCTTAAGGTGTCTTGCAGCGAAGATGTCAAGGACAACGCGATGGAGCGAATAAATCCGCGAATGGCAGGAATCACATGCTCCGTAACAATATGAGCAGGAACCGGCGTTGGCAAGCCCTCACGGCTAGCCTGGTTGGCAATCGTGGTAACAACTTCAAAGTTCGCAAGTGCCCAGGAGTGCCACGCCTTGTATGAATCGCGGTTGTATTGGGTTGCTGCCGAGTAGGCGTTGAGAACCTCTCGGACGTGTTCTGGCCTCCAATCACCCCTTTGTAGAGTTGTCTGCCACTCTCCCTGTCTAAGATAGCTCTTGGAGAGAAGTTTTCTGAATTTATTCACGTCACCAATCCGTTCATTCAGGCTGATAGCGTCTGGGTGGTTCTGATCGATAACCCCGTTGACTCCATTCGCGCCATGATGATCGGTATTTGATACCATAAGTGTGTTGTATCTGGAGAAATCATCGGTCAGACCAGAGGTAAACTCCTTCATCATTTCAAGGGATTCTAGTTGGTGACCATTTGCCCAACTGAATTTCAGCCTGGCGTATGTGACTTCGGGTGGTGCAACAGTGCGCGTTCCATTGGCATCGGACACCACTGTCTCTAGAGATGCAAGGGACCGCTCCGCAAGACCCATGCGATTGGACTTGCGACAAAGATTGGCGAACTTTATGGACATATCAAGATTCTCACGTGGGGCAGTGACAAGAGCCCTGACCTTGAGCATACGCTGCCACACCTCCACGTTTTGCTGACACCCAAGCAATCGTTGATTCCAAGTTTTACGCATGGCGTCTTGCTTCTCAGGGTCGCCGATGTTTTGCTTGTATGTGATGATCTCTTCCAGCTCAGCGAGCATCTGGACTCGAACAACAACATTGTAGGCACGATTGTATGACTCTCCGAGGAGAGCAGACAATTCGGTATCGAGACCATTGCGAGCCTTCTCAATGTACATGTTGGCCTCTTCGAATTGGTTACGGTGGATTGCCAGAATGGCGCCAAAGAATGAGCGATCTGGAGACTGCTCTTTCATGACACCAAGGTAAGAGTCCATCAACTCCCACTGGCCCCGACCCCAGGCAGCGGCAGCGGCAAGAGGTGCAATAGCTCGGCGATGCTCGAGTGATGCTTGGTTCCACTTTTCTTGAGCGAGGTCTGAGAGAACCTTCCACTCGCCAAGAGCGTGCAAACAGCGCATCTTACCCATTGTGATACCAAATGAGTCTGGATCCGTCTTCTCGCGTCGTTTGTAAGCAGCAAGGGCTTCGTCCCACCGTTGAAGCTTCTCGAACCACGTTTCCTTGAGCTCCACATCACGATACGCCTGCGCTTTGCGAAGGATACCAATGGCAGCATCGGACTGTTGAAGCTGGTTGTTAATGGTAATCAAGGCTTCAACTGCACCCGAGTTCTGATCTTGTTCGAACTCCAGTTCTTTGTAGTGAAGGGCTTTCGCAAAAGCATGACACTTTGCAGCATACTTTCCAAGAGTGCGGATGTCGATGGGAAGAGCCTTATCATCGTGCTCCATGAATTCGGCCAGATTGAGGAGAATTTGCAAAATCTCCGGGGAGATGTTGGGAGAGGTAAGCGCCTTTTCAATTGAGCGGACGAGCTCTTCTTGGTATTGATCATACAACTCTGTCCAGCACGAGACGAAAGCAGCATTGAAAAGGTCCCTTGAGAGCGGCTGGTAGATTCCTGCCAAGCTAGCACATGCACGCAATGCCGGGGATGGAGATTCCTTCAACAGCTCAATGCTGAAACGGCGTATCCATTCCTGCCAATCCTCACGAGTGGACTTTTGCGAAGCATCCCACGCGTTCTTGAGATGTTGCTGGTTCACAACGATCTTCTTTTGTCCAATTTCGGAAAAGTTGGTGTCATCAGTGGGGAAAGCATAAACCTCTTCTGGGTTGAGATCCTGCGGGAGTGGGTCGCCCTTCTGGAGTTTTGACACCAGGATTTGGTAGTTGACATGTGTGATCTGATTGGTTTTCAGGACCTTGTTTAGGAGATGAATGTAATGCGTGAAGTCCTGTCCGAGCTGGAAAATAAGAGCACAAATGCAGTCCATCGCAGCTTGACGCAACACACGATCACCGCTAGCCACCACTCGTGACAGGGAATGAATCATCAGGGATGCAAAGTCAGAGACATTAACTTGCCGCGATAGTTTCGTTAGGCTATCGATGGCGGATTTGCGGATGCTCTGAGGATTTTGTGGCCGATCAAACAAATGAACAATGGAAGGAATAATCAGGTGCATATATTCCTCTCCGCTTGTACCGAAAATCAAAAGGGCGTGAAGAATCTTCTCGGAGGGCTGTCGACGAGGTGATGTGTCTTTATCAAGTGTATCCAGCATCAAAGGGATCAGGCCAGCAAGATACTTCCTGAATTCTCCTTCCAACGACCTAGCAATAGCCTCGACCAAGGATATAATCGTGCCCTGGATTTGATATGAAGCATCCCAGAAATCTCTAATAACCTCGATTATCTCTGGCAAGAAAGTGCGAATATGTTGTCGCACAATATTCACCAGGATTGCCATCTGATTGAAATAGG